GCGGCGCAGCAGGCGGTGCTGAAGCTGCCTCTGCTTCCCACCACGACGATCGGGTCCTTTCCGCAGACGCCCGAGATCCGCCGGGTGCGCCGGGAGGTGAAGAGCGGAAAGTGAGCCCCTGCTGATGATCAAGTGCTCATTGCCATTTCTCTTGGACAACCAACTTTCTGCAACGTCACGAGAGCAATCAGGGACAAACAGAAAGAGCAAAACCTTGAATATCCTGTTAAACCGTCCTCGCAAAAATAAGTTTCAAAGCAGGAGACCCGAGGCCTGAATTTTTTTTCGTTGAGTAGAGGGTCCTCACTTTTGTCCTGACGGGTCGTGCGCTTCCGTCACAAGTCTTGCGTATTTGTGTTTGACAGTTGAAGGCCAGAAAGAGAAACGCCGACAGGCTGAGAAGTTTCATTCCGTTCCCCGTTCCCTCTCATGCGACGACTCATGTCTTGCGCATGATGTCATAACCAAAAGGTCTCAAGTAAGCCAAACTTGGCCAGCTTCGCAAAGCTGACGTCACTCAACCTGCTGACGTCAGGATCTCGGAGGCGGACTACACGACGGCGATCAAGGCCGAGATCGAGAAGGTGATCCGTCTGCAGGAGGAGCTGGGCCTCGACGTGCTCGTGCACGGGGAGCCGGAGGTAAGGGCGGTTAACCAAGTTTAGCATTTCTGGGTTTGTTTGTTTGCTGGGTCTGGTTTCAGAGATAAGGTTATATCGAACCCTTTCGGGGTTCGAAGGGTTGAAAAGGCCTGGGCCTGGACGTGCTGATGCACCGGGAGCCGGAGGTAAGAGCTAAGCAAGTTTAACCAGGTTAACGTTCCTTGGTTTTTCAGTATGCTAGGTCTGTGTTTAGACGTCAGGTAGATACAAAGCCAGGGGTTCGAACATTTACGTCTGGGCGAAAAGCCGAGCCAGAGTGCAAACTTTTGGGTCTGAAAACCGTGTGGGTTTATTTGCTCTCGGTTAGTATTGTATCCGAAAAACGTGCGGTAAGAAGAGCTAGGTGCTAGGAGCGGGAGCCAAAGGAGACATCGCCTTTTAGCTTTTTTTTCATGGGTCTGATCTACTGAATTACAGGATTCTTTAAACTGGAAAGAAGAGGTGAGACGTGCTTACGTGTGGCAAGCCTGGAGGCGGGGCCGGTTTTCAGCTTTTGAAGACACTGATTTGATGGCGGGTTCATTAGGGAATTGCTGGCATGGCTTCGCTTGTACTTTTGCCAGGCACGCACACATCGGCTACTTTCGGATTTCTGCCGTTCCTCGTGAACTCAAATGTTACACCCTGCTTTTTGTTCTCAAATTTCAGATTGATTCGCTCTCTAACCCGACTCCTAACCCTGCAGCGCAACGAGTACTTCGTTGAGCAGCTCCGCGGGTTTGCCTTTTACCCTTGCTAGTCCCACGTATTTCGTTTTCAAAATTTTAAAAACCGATATTTCGGAGGTCTTTTCCCTTTAATATCGAAGTTACGCCCTCTAACCCGAAGCTTACCCCCGCAGCGTGACGACATGGTCGAGTACTTCGGCGAGCAGCTCCGCGGCTTCGCCTTCACCCTTGCTAGGCTTACGTACCTTAGATTCCTCTGAAACCGAGAATCCGAAGTCCCTTTTTCCTCCGAACTCTGTAGTCACGCCCTCTAACCCGAAGCTTAACCCCGCAGCGTAACGACATGGTCGAGTACTTTGGCGAGCAGCTCCGCGGCTTCGCCTTCACGCTCAACGGCTGGGTGCAGTCGTACGGCTCCCGCTGCGTCAAGCCGCCCATCATCTTCGGTGACGTCAGCAGGCCGAGCGCGATGACGTCAGCGTGGTCCGCGTACGCGCAGAGCCTGACGTCGGCGCCCGTGAAGGGCATGCTGACGGGGCCGGTGACGGTGCTCAACTGGTCCTTTGTGCGCGACGACCAGCCCAGGTGAGAGGGGGGGAAACGCGGCCTTAAATCTGCATCTTTTGCCTCATACTTCATGCTGTTGTTACGTGCCTGCCACTGACGCTTGCAAAACTTCCTTTGTAGAGTTTGAAATCTAGGAGCCTTGAAGTAGTACGATCTTTTCATGGGTGCAGTTCCCGCCACTGTCCAGCGCCCATGCGCGAGCCAGCAACGCGGCTTGCTGCGGTAGGGGCTGAGACTGGGAAGTGTAGTTGAACCTCCTTGCACTGGCCATTCGCACTCGTCAAAACCACTTCCATTCTCTTCCCCGCAGGAGCACAACGCGCCTGCAGCTCGCACTTGCACCCCTAATTAAGGTACTCAGTCTAAATTGAGCGAGGAAATGCATTCGACGAGGTCGCTCTCCACCTGCGACCTTCGAACTTCCTGAAATCAGAAATCCCTTTGCACCGGTTGCTCGTATCTCCCTTACTCATATCTCTCGGATCCCCAACCCCTTTACCTCGTTCCCCGCAGGTCGGAGACGTGCCTCCGACTGGCGCTTTCGAACCTTCATAAGGCGCTGTATCTAGAGCGGGCGGAATTTTTTCCACATTATTTGACGACCTCCTGAACCGCTAACTTTTGGTTATCAACTTCAACTCTTTAAACCCAATTTTCGTAGGTCTGAGACGTGCCTCCAGCTGGCGCTCGCGATCCGTGACGAGGTGCTGGATCTAGAGCGGGCGGGAATCAAAGTCACTCAGCTCACCGAGCGGGTTTCTCATCTCACATGCTGGAGCCCCTAGATTCGCAAACCTCCACACTAGGCGTTCAGTACATTACTAAACCTGCTAACGTTTTCGTCCTGTAACTTTCGCAGGTCCGAGACGTGCCTCCAGCTGGCGCTCGCGATCCGCGACGAGGTGCTGGATCTAGAGCGGGCGGGAATCACGATCATCCAGATCGACGAGGCCGCGCTGCGCGAGAAGCTCCCCCTGCACCGCTCCGAGTGGCAGACCTACCTGGACTGGTCCGTCGGCTCCTTCCGCATCACCGCGTCGGGCGTGAAGGATACCACGCAGGTGAGGGGGGGGGGCGAACAGAGAAGTACCCTGTAACATGAAAAACTAGTGCCATTGGTGCCGGTTCTGCAGTTTGAGCCGTCGGATGGCCAGGCTTCAAGATTTGGACGGTCCAGGAGTTGTATCTTTCCAAACGGGGGGATGTCACGCAGCTGGGGGGAAAGGAACGAGGATATAGTTAAATCTGGCCTCATCCGGTTGCCTGTCGCCAATTCTTTATCGCATCGGTTTTGCGAGAGCTGTCCGATGGCCAAACCTTTGCACGTTGAACAATCCGCATGTCTCAATTGCCCGAGGAAGGGAGTCGGCTGCAGTCACATTACATAAGTTAAAAAGAGGAATGAGATGATCTTCCTGGTCTCTCCACATGCTTCCTTCATTCTCTCGAAAACAATCCTTCACTCACGAGGACCGGCCGCTGACGTCAGCCCCCGTGCGCTCCGCGCAGATCCACACCCACATGTGCTACAGCCAGTTCAATGACATCATGCCCGCCATCGTGGCCATGGACGCTGACGTCATCAGCATCGAGAGCAGCCGCTCCGACGAGCGCCTCCTGGCCGTGTTCCATTCCGGGGGGGTCAAGTACCCCGCAGGAATTGGCCCCGGAGTGTATGACATTCACTCCCCGCGCGTGCCGGACAATGCGGAGATCAGCGCGCGCGCGCGCAAGGTAGGGGGAGACTTGTTTGTTTCGTCATTCGCCGGAAGTGTCTTTGACTGATAGGGTTGAAAGCACTCTCAAAAGGCCGTGAACGCTACTCATACCGCTTTTCAGTTTGTAAAGCGTAGATCGGACAATTTAATTGGAGAAAATCTCGCAGATCGAGGCCAAATCGTGGGAGGACCTCGGCTTCGGGAAGCAAGGTCTACGCGTTAGCGCGTGAAAACTTCGGATGTTAAAGAGACATTCGTGAGATTAAGCCGATCTGTCTTCCGTCCCGCAGTTTTGCCTTGGTGCTTTTCTCTGTGCTCCAGTACCCTCAGAATCATTCATGGCTCTGAATTTCTACCATTTGGACGCTACCCGTCTGCCTAACTTTTGGTAACAAACCTTAAAACGAGACAGCATCTGCCAGTCCGGGACCACGAGTTACCTCCCGTCAACTTCGCAGACGCAGGAGGTTTTGAAGGACTGCCTCAGCCTCGGAGAGTTATCGAACTTCCCTAACCCTGTTTTTCAACCCTGCCAGATGCTGGAGGTCCTGGACGCTAACCAGCTGTGGGTTAACCCCGACTGCGGCCTCAAGACCCGCAAGTACGACGAGGTCGTGCCGGCGCTGGCCAGCATGGTGACCGCTGCCAAGGAAGTGCGCGCCGAGCTGGCCGCGAAGAGCGCCTAAGGGTTTGCATGGCGGTTTAGGCGCGGGCAGGAGCAGCCGCGAGCAGGGGAGTGGCAAGAAGAGCACCGAAAAGTTGAGGGATTTGTGCACCGGATGGAACGGCCGTGGGTTTGGTGGGAGATGAAAGTGGGTGGCGAGATGGGCGCAAAGAGCGCTGTGAGTTTGAGAATCTAAGCGCAGGGAGGAGCAGCTGCGAGCCAAGATTTAAATGGCAAGAGTGCGTGTTTTGCGATTAGGGTTTTGTGATTTTCAGCCCGGTGAAGCGGCTCCGAGCGCAATTTGAGAGCTTTTCGCACTAAGCGAGATAGGGGTGCCGAGATGGAAGGCCGGGTAGAGCGGCTGCGAAGCGGGGAGCGCGCTCTGCCTTCGGGCATTTAGATCTGGCATGCCCGAGTAGGTTTGGCGTTTTCGAAGTCGGCAGGAGACAAGGACAGAGACAATTGCAATTAGGTTCCACTTTGCGAGATGGTTGACAGCGAATGAAAGGATCTCATCGTAGGATGTTTGGAAGCCGAGAAGAACAATGCTACCTATGTGCAACGCCATTGAGGATCCAGACATCTACATATAAGTTCGCTGTTACTTTTGTTAGAAGCTCGTACACTTCCCGTCAAAACAACCATGCACTCCGCTAGTCTATTTTACTGAACGAAAGTTTTCGTCCTTCTCTAGTACGTTATCGTACAAGGCGGCCCTTTCCATCAGAGGCATCGCAGTTTGAAATTATATGTCATGCACCCTGTACCATGAATGTACGCTTCCGGGATCTCAACGTGGAATAATATAAGCATGAGTCGCGATGCATTGTCGGCCCTGAGTAAAGCTCATTGACTTTCTTGGATCGGAGCCTTCCGACAGCTCGTGTCTGATCCTAAGCTGAGTTTGAAAACGGATGACCAGACCTGCAGCTGAACCAGTGAACTGCGTTGATCTGCAAGCATCATGCCAGCGCGTATGTTTGCACTTCATTTTCACATCAGTGCCAGCACAGGTTCTTTCCGTAGATCCCGAACTGGTGCGTATATAGTGACCAGCTGGCATGCCGGAGATCGCGACGAGGCGGCTGTACATGTATGCACAGAAGCATCTAGGAGGTTTTGCTGTTCAGAGAATCACATGCACGCGCAGCAACAAGGCGGCCTTTGCCAGCCCCCGACTTTGTACATGACAATGTACGTACGTTAGTACGAAGGCAGACTCGTCGTTCAAAACGAGACCGAATATAAACGGAAGCATTCCCCCTAAAAAACTCCCGGTGAAACTTTGCGGTCACTCTGACAAAAACCATGCAGACGCGCCAGGACACGTACCATGCTTGACAATGATTGAAATCACGATCAGATATATTATCAACCATACGTCTCGCATTGCAAATCTGCATGCGAAGACGTTGATTAATTTCGACGTCGATGTAGTATCCGCAGCCGCTTGCGCAGCATCCACACTCCCGGCTTCGAACCTTACAGTGTTGTCGACATTCTGCCACTCTCGAAAGCGGGGCGGATAGTTTCTCGCAATCCTGGCCCAACCTTTATGCAGTAAGCTTTGCACCTGCAGCGTTTCCCGCGCTGTTGCCCTTGAAGAGCGGACTCGATAGCAGAGAAACTTTTTGATCGGAAACGGCGGCGCTGAGATGAGCATGAATGTTTCCGCGTCCCATGTTTCCGATCTGAATTGTCCACTCGCTTTATGCAGGTCAATAAGCTTGCCGTGTGCCAGCGGTGAAGCAGCTTTGAAAGCTGAGTGACACAACGTGGAAACGAGAGCCTGGACGCTGCGGAATACTACAAGGAGGTAGGGCAGAGCTTTGATCGTCCCAACTTTTTCTTGTAGTCCTAGAGTTCTGCATCGGCTGTAGTCCGCCTCCGGCTGTAGTCCGCTCGGCTTTCGACTATGGGAACGATAGCTTGAAGCTGAAGGGCGCTCGCTCGATCGCCCGCGTCACTTCCCTTCGCTTGTCGCCGTTTTTCCACTCCGGGCGATCCATAAGTAACTTCCGAAGCAGGTCAACAGCCGTCAACGCTCGCAAACATTGAAACATGGTGGTGCAGACGTAGTCTTTTTTGGATCTTATGTTGAGTTAGGCCTGCTATGGTGAGTTTGATTAGTATTTTGAGTTCGAATTAAACAGACTAAAGTCTCTAAACTCAAATTTAACATCATGATGCTCCACACCCGTACCCACCCTCATTTTCCGAACCAACCCCACCCATCCCCCGGCCATGACCTAATAAAATAACGTAGTATTGAGACTACTCAGCATACGTGGTTTGCTGAAGAGGACACAATCCGATTGGATGACCTGCTAGAGCCTGAAGTCATGGCTGTGTTTTGGCCATACAGTACCAAACAAGTAAGAGATTCAGAAATGAGGTTGCCTGGCGCGCTGTAAGAGGGCTTGGGAAGCTGTCCATTCTGCAAATTTGTATCCCGTTGTGGAGTACTAGTCGGCAACAGATATTGCTGCTTGTTCTGTCACCCGCTGGATCGAAAGCTGCTGTTGCTTTGGGTATGAATCCCAACGGCTGAGTTTGAGACCGCTTAGTGTTGCAATTAACGGGTAAAGCCAGAGTTTCTGCAGTCAGTGGACCTGCCCAGTACACGTAGTAAAACCGACGGGGAACTAGTTGCAAGCCTCAGAATATTACAACCCCTTGTACTAGTAACGACGGCCTAATATTGGTAGCGAGAAGAGTCTGCGCGCTGCATGCTGCATTCAGCAGGGACTTTACCCCGACCTTGAGTTCAAGCATCCAACTTGTACTTTCCAGCTGGATGTTTTAGTACACTCCAATTGCAGTGGTTTGCAGTGGTTTAATGCAGTGCCAAATCTGTAGCGGAGTGGTTTATAGCAGGACTGTGATTGGCAGACCCTGAGATACCATGACCATATCAAAGTATCAAGACGTACCAAATTCCAATGCATACCGATGAATCAGAGGGACGCAGAGTTGCTCATGAGTATCCCGAATGTCAAGGTCGAGATAACCTGCGACGCCTCTGAGCACCAACTTTCGCATCGCCGCACATGATATGGATTTGAACATAAACAGCTAGGCACATCATCACTCTGTGACTGATCTGATAAAAGGGTTTGTGATACTGTTCTTTAATCCAAAGCGCATCGCGGTGCAGGGGGTTCCAACTCCAACTTCCGGGGGTTCCGAAAGCCACACTGCAGCGCCATCGCCATGCATGCCGCCAAACGTCGCAAACGATCCCCAGCGGAACGGGCTCCCATTCTCCCATTCGCCCCTCTGTGCGGCCTAGGAAGCGCCGGAGGGAGATGAGGGCCGGGGGCCGGGGCCATGAGGCCATGATAGCCGGGAAAGATACGGAGTAACTTTCATGGCCACCCGGCCATGATTGCGAAGTTGCCAGCTCACCCGGGCGGAGCCCAGTTCATCATGACTCTCCGACAAGTTCTCCACTTGGGCCCGGGGATCCGTTTGTTACTGAACTTCTCAGCACACGTTGTCCATAGAATCGGTCCATATTCTAAATAAATGCGCGTTTATCGTCGAAACGCCGGATTGGATGCCGCGCGTGCGGGCTATTTTGCATTTTAGCGACAGAATTTAGTGACGGATCGTACCTCACGTCAATTCTGTCAAACAGAATCTACGGCCATTTTGAGACGCCGTCGAAAACGACTGCTCGGGGAACTTAAGTAGAGCGACTGTTTTTTAGAGAAACATAGGCAATAAGTCGCCGCGTTGAAGTATCCGGGGTAACAATGCGAAAGTAGAATCGACTTTCTCGAAATGCGTTAGGTACCTACCTAGTACCTACTACCGTATCACCGGTACCGGGTACCTATGTCACGTAATTTATAGGCGCACATTGTGACTCTGGGGCCGGTCGTCAGTCCCGGTTGACTATATGTGCTGCGTCCAAAGCCACAATAGCCTCCCGGTAGCCAAGCTCGGTCCTTCGTTCCACGCTTCCGGCAAACTTGGTCCCCGGAGATTTGTAGGCGAAGTTCAGTATCACCTCGTAGATTAGTTTCGCGCTGGGTCAGCTGCGCGCGCGCCGCGGTGGCATGCATGCCCGCATGGGCGCGTTGCTCATTGTCATGTCACCATTCAAACGATAGGAATGGCCGATACTGGTGTTCCCCCGAGCTTTTTCTGTAGTCTGCGAGTGAGATTGCCGGTGACCGGTAGACTCCCGGTAGACTGGTAAAGTCACAAAAAGTGGCAGTCCTGGTACGTGCGAGCCTGCCAAGTCACAGCGCTGGGGTGAGCCAGCTGTTGAGGGCATCTAACGGGGGCAATGTAGCCTCTAGGGAACCGACATTCTGCCAGCTTTTTTCTTGATTGGGTAGGTTTTCCGAGTTCCCCATGCCGCCAAATCCTGAGTGAACGACTGCCCAAATTTAAGTGCCTTCTCTGATACGGGCCAGCTGCCGAGCTGTAATGTGTGCACTGTTGCCACCTGTCAGGGGCACCCCTCTGTTCCTGATCATCTGTACATGTGGCAAAAAGGACTAGGCTCACGCACTAGAGTCATGCTGAGCAGTGAGACTGCCTCAATAACGAAAGGCCAACAACGGATGTACACAAGGACACTGCAGTACCGAACGTGACAGCTTTGGAGTCATGGGCGGCACTGAAGCGGCAAGCTTTTAATAGAATTGCAGATTCAATTACACAGGGATCCGATCAGTTGCTGAAGTATTCCTCAGTTCAAAACATTACAATCTGTCCACAATCCACCTGACCGGAATCCGTTTGCCAACGCGCTTCTGCCCAGCGCAGCTTCCAGCGCTTCTACAACCAAACAGCTCCTGGTATAGCCATGGATTTCAAGGTGAGAGGAGTGCTTCTTTTCGAAGTTGTCACTGCTGATACACTAGTGGGCTGGTTCTATCCTTGCCAGCAACTGAGCCCAGCTGCAATCCAGGTGGTGGTGTCACGTTTGGCACACGCAAAGCTGTGGATTGATGTGCTCACCACTGCTGAATGCAGATCATAGTTGTCAGCTCGCAAATTCAATAGAAAAGACACAGGGAAAGTGTCAATGGATGCTGAAAGACTGCTGCAATGCACTCAAGTTGTTGAACTTGACAGTAGGTTTGAAAAAATGAGTCACCAGTAGAGCTTCCTTCATACCAACTTGGGGAGTCTTCTTTCAGAAGTGAAGGCTCGTCATTTTTTAGCAGATAGAGTCTTTGAGCTCGAACTTAAAAAGGGCGCCGTTTCTCTTTCCTGTTGGATGCAAGCCTTGGTTTGACACGAAAAGGACACAATTCCTTGTTTTACCTGAACCCAGCCACCTGCTTGTTTCACAGACAAGGGTTCTGCCAGATCACACCTTCAAGTCTTTCGTAAAGGTATAGCCAAAGAGGTATGCTTGCCTTCGAGACGTTTTCTCTACATTTACTATCTTACACAGCGCCTCAATTGACAAATAAGAGAAATTACGCACCCCTGTTCAGAAGCCAAGTCTGACACCATTTCCAGTGCACCAGAATCTGTTCCAAACTTCCGCTTTGACCTGCCCTCCTAGCCAAACTGGTTTCTCTTCAGCTTGATCTGCCTTCCGAACCGGACTCATCACTCTTCAGCTTGACCGTCCTTCCTAACCAGACTCGTTTCTCTTCAGGCGAACATGACCGGGGTTACGGCTGCCCTACTGTGCGCACTTCTCTGCATGGGGTCTGCCGTGGAGGCTAATCCTATTAAGGGGCTGAAAGTCAAGGGCAAAGAGTTTTCGGGTCAGGCATTGATTGCTAACTTCTGAGAGCAGACTGCATATCTTGTTTTCAGGTTGGAATTTGCATCAGGGGCAGAAGCAATTTTGCAATTCAGGGGACTAGGAGATTTAATGTGCCCTTCTCTTCGGAAAATACGCTTTATCTCCGGTTAGAAGGATCAAATCAAGGTTGAGCTAGACGGGACCTGTGAATGTTGTGGCCACTCATGCATTCACAGCTTCAGGTTGAAGGGAGAACTTTCAGAACATGAGACGAAACGATAAGAATGGAAAGCAGAGAAGATTGCTGTGCTCACTTTCTGAACGTACATACTTGAGAGTGCAGTTCTGGTTCTGGCCTTCCAACGCTTGAAGTTGGCCCAAATGTAAAACGTTATTCATAACCGCTTCGAAGAGAGCCTGTGAGCAAAGCAAAAGCTTGAAGTACTTTATTATTGTAGGTCGCACAACAACGATGCTGTTTTCAGTTTGAACATTTGAGCAGCTCTTCGACCAAGAAAGGGGGACTAGCCGATCCCGTTAGCTTCTCTTGAACCCCGTTCCTGCAGGAAAGTCAAAATTCTCGTTTTAGGCCGTGCTACTCACCTTCAGAGCGTGCTGTCCCTTCGTGGCGAATCTCCTGGAAACGTACGTGGGCGATTCCATCAACTACGCTTTTCGATCAGGTATTCAAGTGTTGTTCATCTGTTCAGGAGTGTTCAAAACGAACCGCACCGTTCTCATGTTTCACCCGTACTGAAATCAGAACCATTTTTTCATCGCAGGAAAGATCGACATCACAAGTTTCAAGCAAAGCGATGGCCAGCTCATCGCGGTTGGTACGTGCGCCGGAAAGAAGTCCAAAGACAACTCTGACGTCAGCGACACCCCGTGCCAGATGGTTGTGACGGACTTCAACGGCGTCGACCCCGCAACGCTCCCCAAGGATGGGTCTGGCAACAGGAAGCTCCTGGCGAAGAAGGAGAAGAAGACGGTAAGTGAACCGGAGTGCTAATACAGGGTGGCTTGGCCATCAATCTAAAGAATTTGAGTTGCTATAAGTCTGTGGTATTCAGCAAGTCCTAGGATGAGCTCGTTCGATGGGATCACGATTGTCGTGTCCTCGAACGACTTTCAACTATATGAAAACTTCGTATGACGGTTAGTGTTGCTGACGACAGGTTAGTGTTGCTGGATATGCAGACGAACGAAGCCGGTGACGTCCATAAACGACGCTCTCTCTAGTGATTCGTCACATCTGAAGGTCCAAAAAGTAAACACGAGTCTGGCTTCCTTGCGCTTCTTCCACCGCGTATCGATCCTGGCGAAAACGAGAAGCCTGATCACAGAAAGCTCAGAACTAAGCGCGACATGTAGTTCGAAATCTACAACCCTGACACAAAACGTTTTCGTCTACAGAAAGCACCAACAGCCCCCGCCGAAACCGCTGCCACTGTTGCTGACGCTGCTGCCGTCACTCCTGCCCCGACCACCGAAGCCCCGACAACCGCCCCCGTAACCACAACCGCCGCAACAACCGCTCCAGCAACTACGACTGCCCCCACATCTAGTTCCATTCCGGCCTCCACGTCATCGTGCCAGGTGGCAAAGTTGAGCCTCCAGGGACTGCAGCTCGAGCTCCTCGGTCTAGTTGTGTCCATCGACCAACCGGTCGTGATCACCATCGACGCAATCCGGGGGACGGTGCTCGGGGATCTGCTGTGCCCGCTCGTGTCCGCTCTAGTTACGCCCGCGCTCGCGACGCCGTCGCTTTCGACGGTGATGGTCACGCTCACCCAAGCTGTGAATGCGGCGCCGTAAGTCGTCGAAGTTTCAAGCTAGAAACCTAGAAGAGGATCTCTAGAAAGGATCAGATTTGAAAAGTTGAGGAGGATGTAGAAGAATGAGGAGAGAAGGAGTTCCCCCTCCGATTTTTCGCGGCGGTCTGTATCTTGCAGTCCAATGTCTTGGAGATCATTGTAGAAGATAGAGTAGGAATTGCTCGCGGGCACGTCATTCTTTGCTAGGTAGATCAGTTTTAGCAATGGTACGAGAAGATTCTGTCTTTTAGAAAGTACGTCTGAGTTTTGTGGATCGAGGCCTTCGATTCTAAGGTGATTTTGAAGGTACCGCATGACTCGTTGGAACAATTTTGAGAGGTATGGGTGAATACATCAAAACCGGAAAAGAATCATTGTAATTGTAGGATCATGCAATCTTATGAAATTATCTTCAACGTTTGCACGAGCAACGCTTGCACGAGCCGATTCAATCAACGTTTGATGCACAGTAATTTCACAAATATGTGTGCTTTTCGTCTCGTCGTTACATGCAGCAAACTCGCGCGCGAATGATAGAATTGTTGTCGATCTTGGTGTTAACAACATCTCAAACATACGTACATCATTCCATATACCATGCATGCTATGTCCGATATTGGATGATCGAATTCCCTGGAACGATTAGCTTTGCTTATACAAAGCTTCAATGCTGAGCATCATTCCCTGTAACATATAGTGCAGTACACTGCATACCGTCACGAGTCGGCCGGCCTGACTGTGAAGTGGAGAATTACTCCTTCGTACAGTGATACGTATGTATGCCATCGAATGCCTCGTGTGCATCCGATAGTAAGATGAAGAAAGTACATCCAGGCGTGTATAGCCTGGACGTTCAATTGGGCGGTTGTTCGGAAAAACTTTGGAACGTCAAGATGTCGACTCAATGTGGTGAGTGTGCGCCAATTCACTCATACGCGACAGTCCTTAGCGCCGCCATTGGCTGTGAAATAGGAAAGCCAGTCATTACAGCCAGCATCTAAGTTAGCACGCTAACGACGACTTTTTGTCGACTCTACCTGATGTCTCGGCTCTACTTGGCCGCCACATTCGGCCCTAATGGCTAGATCTTGTTACAGAATGCTATTCGGTTGCGCTGCGATTGACGTTCGGGTCAACTCGCGTTCACAAGGAGGAAGGCGGGCCTCGACCCGACCAAACCCCTTCGCTTCCATGTATTTCTAAGACAGAATGGTGTACATCTAATGACAGCGACAGGTCCACTTATTCAAGTGTAATGCTTCCCGCTCAGGAACCGTCGTGAGACGACTCTTCTAGATACCCCCAAGGTGTAAGTAAGCTTCTTACAAGCCCTGAATAAAGTCTCAGCATGTCGAGATCGAAGACACCCCAAAGGAAGCGTGCTGGGGTCTACTGGCCGTCTCCTAACTCGAGCTTTCTTTCACAGGCACTCCATAATTCCTTGAGGCGGAAGACCGCAACTCGCATGCTTTTAAAATCCGCTCAGAACGTGACGTCACCTGGGTGGCGCAGCGAGGCTCTGCTGCTGCGCCTCCAGCAGCTCCATCTTCCCCTCAAGTGACGTCATCTTCTCCGCCAGCTGGGCTAACCGGTCGCGCGTAGACGCTTCTGCAGGGTGCAAAGGCTCGCTGACGTCAGCCAGGAAACCGAATTATGGTGCTTCATTGGAAGGCTAGGAAAGGAAGGGTGAAACGCAAGAGCACGGAGGAACAACGAGCAGCATTCTTGGACGTCTTTAGGATAAGTAGTGCGAAAGGTTGCCCAAATTAAAGGCAACTCAGAGCGGCACATCGAGCAATACTTTGGGCAGTCAAAACATGAGGAGATGTTGCTCAGAGGATCTTTTGTTTCCGCAAAAGTGGGATTCAGGGGAAGCAAGTTGGTGTGACACACGTGGGCTCTTGTCTCAAAAGAAGGGAACCCCCACAACTCTTGGCCTCGCATTAGTGCGCTTACGATCTCAGCTGACAGCAAGCGCATGACACAAGGGATCTGAGTGGCAGAGGAAAGGATCACGCGGAGGCAGATCTCAAGTCTTCATCCTCAAGAACTGACACAGGAGAGACATATCATGGAATCGCTCTCTTGAAAACTAACAGGCTCACACACCCTCTGGAAAGATGGCGACGTGCGGAAACAAGGGAGGGTATTAAAGCGGCTCTTTCCAAATGGCGCTTGAGTTGGCGACACCTGGCAGACTGACAAATTTGTGCACGGGGAGGGCTCAGGAACAGATCCTCTGAACGAAACTTCAGAACTGCTACCCGAGTTTATGACTGAGTTTGAAGAGAAGCAGATTCTTGCTGGACAGAACACAACGCCGAGTGATTTCTAACAGATTATCTTAGGTTGAGGCTGCGGATAGCACAGCATTGAATGCAAAAGCCACTTTTGACAAGTCGATACATAGGGCAGAAAGGAGAAGTCCAAAGGTTGTTCACTGCTTTAGCTCAAGCCCAGAGCTGATGAGAAAGACTCACCAAAGCGCGCCAGGAACTCAAACAGCTGCGCAATGCTTAGCTTCAATTGGTCGGCGAACTCCCTGTTGTCCCAATCCTCCCGCACCGCCGCAGAAACCTCTTCGGACATGGCCAGCTATGAGACAAAAAATCAAGAAACTAGCGTCTGCTTTGGGAGACGAAAGTATGTCTGGGGCGAAAGCAGTACGTCGCAGAGCCAAGGAGTCAAAATTTTTGCCTACTGCTGTTTGGGTGCGGAGTGGACTCCATGAGACTTCCCCCTTTTGGAGAGAGTTTCAACGGCCACAGAATTTCCTCTATGTCTTCACTCGTTCATGTTCCTAGTAGAGACGCAGCATTGGAGAAGCTGGTTCTGATTCAGTCTCTCCACATTATTCAAAAGAAGCACCCCTGACATAGCAGCTAAGTACTGACATCCCTCTTGCTTCTTCCTGCCAAGAGTGGAGCCAGCGCAAACTGGGCCGAAAGAAACTGTCTCGACAGTGAGCAATGCTCTGTCGGGGATAGATGATCTCTTCGAGTTGAGGCTGCTCTCTTGCAGGATCGCCCTGCAATGGCTTTCTTGTGCTGCAACTTGCAAGGATTGAAATGGATTCCTGCCACTCTCTGCAGCTCCTTGGCCCTGGGCCTGGGCCTGAGCCTCCCTCTGTGATTTTGCAGAGCTTTTCGCCATAGGTGCACAATTTTGACCTCATATTTAATATAGTACTTTGTTTGCGGATTTTTGAGACTGAAATCCTAAGCACCGGCATCCCGTCGGTGCATTCCTGCTTTCGACATCGGTCAAAGTCAGTGCATACATGTGGATTGTACGCATCGACAAACAAGAGCCGTCAGGGAGCCCTTCGAAAGCCGTGACTCTGAGTCAGAGTTGTTGCGTTTGTAAATTCGACATCGATTCCAGAAAAAGCGCAAAATAAACAATGCAACATGGCTGTACAGCTGTAGTCAGAGTCACACAGCTGGTGCCTCGCACTGCTCATTGAGTCGCAGTGCTCATTGAGAGAAAGGAGCAGCAAAAGCTTACCTTGGCGCTTGTCAATGGTGGTGCTCACTCGCTAGAGCAGGGCTCGGCCAGCTGGGATCGGCAGTTGCTCGTTTCTTTTCATTTGACTCCTTTGGGGGACACGATGAGTCATTCAGAGGATGGACCCGGGGCTGCGCAGCACTCGCATTACTTCCCCGTTCCTGGCTACGAGTCACCACAGCCTTCCGACCCTGAAGCATACACCAAAAAACTGAAGTGGGCGTTCCAAGCTTCATGGGCGGTGAATTGGTTCCTCCTGATAGCCAAAGCGTACATCTACTTCGTCTCAAACAGTAAAGCAGTGTTGGCGAGTCTCGCAGACTCGGCGGTCGACTTGGCGTCCCAGATTGTGATTTCGCTAGCGGAGCATTATATGGCGAAAGCGAGCCCGCTGTACCCAGTGGGGCGGGCCCGTCTAGAGGCACTCGGGGTCATAGGGTGCGCGTGTATCATGAGCATGGCGTCTCTAGAGGTTCTTCAGTTTTCCGCATTGGACCTGTACGATGGCTTCGTAAAGCATAAACACCCAGAGCTAGACTTGGGGGTCTTGATTTACGTTGTCTTTGGAATAGGCACGCTGCTGAAACTCGTGCTCTATCTGTACTGCGACTCGCTGAAAGCGCGCTCGGACTCAATGGCAGCACTAGCGGAGGACCACTTGAATGACGTGATCAGCGTGGCGGGAGCGCTCGTGACAGCTGTCATCGCGTCTCACTGGAAGAACGAGTGGTGGGTGGATCCGGTCGGCGCCATTGTAATTTCGGTCTGGATCATCTGGCGGTGGGTTAGCCTAACCTACAGCCAGGTTAAGAAGATCGTGGGTTACTCGGCGCCCCCCGAGTTTGTGAAGCAGATTGAGGACTTGGCGCACGCGCACCATGGAAATTTAGCTGTAGACTGCACTCGGGCGTACCATTTCGGGTCGCGGTACAACGTGGAGATGGAGATCGTTCTTCCGGGGGACATGACGGTGACCGAGTCGCATGACATCGCCCTCGAGCTTCAACACAAGATTGAGGCGTTTGAAGATGTGGAGCGGGCGTTCATTCACGTGGACTACCGGAGGCGAGACTCACCGGAGCATAAGGTTGGGGTCCTTTTAGTCCTTGTTCGTTCCTCGTTCTGTTTTATCTCAAGGAAACTTTCCGGTGAAAGAATTGCCTGAGCTTCAGGTAGCCGAAAAGATTTACCGTTTCCTTACGTCGTTTTTCACGTACAATTGTCTGGTCTCTTATTTCAGTCTGTTCCTTGATCTTTTTCCAGATTGATGCCGTCTTCACTCACTTGCTTCCCCTCTGGTTGCATCATTTGTTCCATCTCGCTGACTACTTATCTTGCAGCTCAACCTGTTTCTTGGACTCGATTCTGTGCCGTACTTTGTTCTCTTCGTTTCCCTTTTGTTGCTGGTTGTTTCTCTAGTGTGGCAGCTTTGATGTTTTCTACTCCTGGTCGTATTGCAAAGAGTATGCGGGTCGACGGTTCTCTGCCGACTATCGACATGTCTTCAGCAGACAGCAGGAAGTCGAACTGCCTCAATGAGTCGATATGGCTATGATTACACCTGACTTTTCTTTCCTACTTACACAGGTGGAGCGGATGCTGTTGGAGGCGCAGGAGAGAGAAGAGCAGCAGGCACGGTTAGAGAAAGAGGACGGGCGGGGGCTTATACGGCAGCTTGCGGCACAGAACTCCCTCGTGTGAGCAGGGAGAGAAAATGACATTTTCACGTGCTTTAATACGAAAAGGTAAAAAATCTCTGTTCAGAGCAGCATCGTTGGATTTGGTTATGAGAAGTAACTTACAAGAGGCTGCATATGGCAGCGTGTTGTCTAACAATGAGAAGGAAGCCGCCCTGGCATTGAAGGCTGTCAGCTGCCATGTGACATGGAAGCGGTGCTTCTGGAATCGGCGTCGGAATAGCATTAGAAATGCTGGGCGTACATCGAGAGGTGCCACGCCGAGACATGAGTATAAGCAGGAACTATCGAAGAATCACACGGTGACACAGTAGCGGGGTGCTTAATTGGAGCATCATTCAGCTCGCAGACTAACAAGGGAAGAACGATTAAAGACTTGTATAAGGCGCCCCTGTTGCGTAAGCTCATCAATGTGACGGGCCACGTTCACACATGGCAGCTTCAGTGGTACACCCTTTTGCATATGTGCTCTTAATCAAGAGGCCCGCGGGCTGATTGTGGCAATTGCAGAGCTAGGTACTCCGGGACGCAAAGTGTGACTTCTGACTATAGGACCATGGTCCAAGACCCTAATTTTTCTTACGGTCCTGGGTTTATGTGCATATTAGCTTGCCACGCAGCATATGCTAGCTCGTCCTACAGCAATCGATCTCGTGTGCAATGCAAAAAGGCTGGCCCTGCCCTGACGGCAACATGCGAAGTTATTCACGATCTGAAGTAGCTGAATGATCGTAACGCAGTACCTGAATGGTCTCAATATGTTCGATCTGGTCCTGATTGGATCCACTGCAAATAAACGCTTTGAGGAGGTGAGATCGGGCGCCGCCAGCTCTGCAACCAACGGGAGTCACATGCTTTATATCGAACTGCGGCTCCAATGCTTGATTGAAGGGTGAAAAGATGAAGAGAAAATGCTTCGCGCTGGACACATAATCTTCTAGGCATGCGCTGGGATTCATGTCCGGTGGGCCAAAAGTATGCAGTGCATCATACAGACAAACAAGTAAGAGAGCGGAACACGTTCCTGTGATCCCTCTTCCGTCCTTACGAAGTGGCCGCCCGCGATTAGAAATATGCTGTAGCTGGCTCTAATTGTCACAGCTTTGTCTGGTTTGGCCAGGCGCCTGCAACAATATTTGCAGCTTCCGGATGTGTGGCAATGACTCTGGAATCCCTCCAGGCGACAAACTAGGAAAACTCCACAGGACCATCGCCTTGGATGAACAGAGCGTGATGTTAGTGGGCAAGGCTGAGATTACGAGCCCAGTGAAGCAAAAGGGACAATCTACACTAATATATTAGTGTCTCCGGTCGATCTGTCAGAGTAAATACTCTCACAGGGCGTCAATCTGTGCAGGCATTGGTTGATGGTCTGACATGTGTCAGAATGATCTGTTTGCTTGGATGCGGGACTCCGGTCCTCCTCGACCGGGCACCGGCATGGTACCGAGCTACTTCCCGGAGACCTCTCAGTTTTCCCGGTGACATGCCGAGTCACTGCAGTCACAATCACAGTCACTGTCACTGTTTAGGTACCTATCAAAGTGTCCAGTGTCAAGAGTCACAGTATGAGTCACAATTGGTTTCCGGCAGGTTAAAAGCGCCACAGTTTACGGTCACAATTAAAACTTTAATAATGTTTCAGTCACAGTCGCAGTCACAGTCTACCACAGTCACAGTGTCAATCATTAAATCAGAGTTACAATCACAGTCACCGGATAGCCGTATTAGGTAGCTGAAAAAAATCGAACCTGATTGACACTGGAAGGTTTGCCCGTCGTCCAGCTACCCGGCCGGCGATAACAAGTGCCCGGATGTCCGCTGTGCAGGTGTGGTACCTACCGGCCAGCTTCACAAATCTGTTCATTTATGGTCGCGGCACGGGAGGGTGTTAACACTGAAGAAATTTCGGAGACACTAATATAATAGTGTACTTTGTCCTACTTGCCCCAGTGAACGACATGCAGCCCGTTCCTTTGTATGCTTAGAATATACTCAAAAAGCAAGGGAAACGCGTGCTACTTCTCTACTTCTCTACACTGTCAGACGCCTCCTCGACTTTTTCGTCCTCGCTTTTCAACTTTTTCGGCTCGACCACGGTCGCGCCTTCCTTCTCTGCGGCAGGGGCAATTTGACGCGCCGCCCCCCCCTCTGTACACTTCCAGTCTCGGCATGTCCATTCTCCTGCACACCCCCCGTCTGCGCACGGCTCCCCGTCGCTTCGGTGCTTACGGACGCACCACCAAACCCAAAGCTGACGTCACCTCCCCCGCCCATCATGTCCTCCAGCGTTCTCAGCGTTCGCTTCTTGGGCTGCACGAGCGTCGCTTCCCGGGGGGCTGGGGACGGGGTTATCCTAACCGAGCCCCTCCCGACCACCCCTAGATTGGTAATTGGGGGCGCGGAGGAGGACGCCGTTAGCTGGGGCGCGTCGAAACTGGAGGACTCGACGGGGGCGGCACCAGTTGCAGAGGCGGGGCGGTCGGTTTGAAGTGCGGCCAGGTTAGGGTGCTTGGCAAACACGGAGCTCGTCGGCCTGCACAAAAGAGGGCAATTCGTTAAGCGTCTCAATAAGTTGCTTTGGGTCAAGGATCTGCTTCAAAACGTTCAAAAGGCTCGCTCCGGAGACTGTCTTTAGGAGTGTCGTGTCCGACGGATCTGCTTCGGAGAGGCCGGTTTCACGTACAACTCATTTGACTGCAGAATGTCCGTCCCTGCCAGGCAAACGTCTCCGGCGGACCAGACGGATGTGCAGAAAGCGGTCCCTTTCGAAACCGGAAATCGAACGTGCCGGCGCATGACGCTAACAGCATCTTCTCCTTAACGAAACCAGAGCCGCCTCTGATCCCGTCACGATAGTACTGTGCGCACTCTCCAATGGTTCCTGTGACTTACAAATCCTACGTTCCTGTAATTTGCAAAGAGATTATGGTCAGGCATATGCCGAGGTGGGTTGAGCCCCAAACTGGGTCAAAACATCCGCGGAGACCCGACGGCAATCACCATTAACGCGCTCAAATCGATTCTCCCCGTGGTGATGCCGTTGCAGTCGAATCGCGTCACTCAAATCCACGAAGTGAATGCTTTTCTGCCACTAACAATAGTGCCGAAGCTCAAAATGCGAGTTGCAAGCGCCAACAGGGGCCCTTGCATAAAATCCTTTTGAGCGACTCTTTCAGGAAAACGAACTCTGCCAATCCCGCGAACATGGACCTCAGTTGCAGACAGCGGGATTCTATTTTCCTGAGATAATAGCTAGGCCCCAACCAGATCTGCCAGTCCGCTCGTTTTCAAGGCTTAGAAACGGAACCATTTTGTATTCATCAGAGCCGTACTCGTCTCAATCACTCCCTGCTTCCGTTTGATTCCCTTCTTCTCGTTCTCACTGCTTGGGGATGGAAACGAAACCTCAAGAACATCCCAACAGGGAGACGGACGATCCAAAGGAGCTTGCTTATGTTAGAAGTATTTGCGCACTGCCACTCGGGCCACACTGGCGCCAGTGTGGCCCGAGTGGCAGTGCGCAAATACTTCTAACAGCTTATGCCCCCCTCACCTTCTCCCGCATGTCGACCAGCAGCGCCTCGATCTCCCAGTCCCCTTCTTCGCCCTATCGGGGCTTCCTCCTTCGGCCCCCTTCTCTGCCGCCTTCTCTCCTCCCTCCACTTCCTTCTCCTTCTCCGGCGCTTTTCCCTCCCCTTCTAGTTCCTTTCCCTTGCCCGCAGGCTCCGCTTGCAGACTCCCTTTCAGCCTCTCTAGCCTCCTCTCACACGTGGCGTTGCGCTGTTGATGTATTCAATGGCAGGGCCAGGCTGCTGCCATAGTTGGTATGCCAGGCACGGCTTGAAGCACCTGGGGAAGACAGGATAACTAACGGATTAGCAGGCATGACCTAGGGGTTAGTAACGTTCTGGCCTCTATAGCAATGGCTCGATTGATGATTCGATGGCGGGGCCAGACTGCTGCCATAATTGTTATGCCAGGCACGTCTTGAAGCACCTGGGAGCTTTATTGCAACTAGGAAAGGTTTGACAGTCAAGCTTGCGCAGTAGTCCTGTAATGGCGGCAAATGACTTGCTTTTCAATGTTACTCATCTTCACAACGAATGATGGAATTCCGGTTTAGCAATCGTGGGACCATGCTGATGTTCAACCCACCGAGCTTTTTGCTGTGGTCAACTCTATATACCTCAAGAGCAAAACATGCTGGTATTATGTATACCACTTTCTATTCAGATGCAGGGCCAACGGCCGCGCGCGGCCATCGCTGAAAACGGAATGTTGTGATGGATGACGTTGTGCCGTGAACTGACCTTTGTAGTACTCAAAAGAGGATCGGAAACAAATTCTAGTACACCGTCACCACCAGAGGACAGCGTTGGTTCGCATATTAACATTTGTATATTGCCATCTGTAACAGTCACTTGAAAGCCACAACGGCCCAAGTAGACTCGGAAGAAGACTCTGGAACATCATTCAGCTCGCAAACTAACAAGTGAAGAACGATTTGCGACTCGTGTCGAGCGCCCCTGGTGCGTAAGCTCAATAACATGACGGGCCACGCGTACATGTATGCTTCCGTGACTCAGTGAACGGGCTAGCTCGCCGGATGATCATAGCGATTGCAAAGGGATGCAGACGACTAGCTGGGGATTGTGCAAAGTGTGACGCGTCCATATGCCAACACCCTTCCTACTCATGTACTAACTGGGTTCAATCACATGTGCATATGAGCTCAGTCATGCCATGATGCATACGAGCAATCATTCTCTTGCAAAAGGCCCTGCCCCATGATTGCATGATTTGGAATGTTATATACGATCTGAAGCTGAGTGATCTGAACGCAGTCCGGTCTGCGTGCATGATCTCAAAAATCTGATCAAATTGGTCCCGAATGGATCCACTGCCAGCTCTGCAACCAAAGGTCACACTTGATCGACCAGCTCGAGGCGGACTATCCGGGTATGGTGGTCCGTGCAATTGAGGTTGAGGGCCCTCAATACGACAAGTTGGCCATCCTTGGCGAACTCACGAAGCCCGGATCTGGTGCCAAGTATGCCCACATCCGAAACGTCTACACGCCGGCGGACGGGCTTCGAGTGCTCAAGCTCCTTGCATCCAGCTTGGCCGGAGTCACCACCTCTAAGTCGCCAGATTCCGAAAGCACTTCTACAGCCGTCAGTTACACGCCATTCAGGTATGAAGAAGATCCTCAGCTCGGCTCAGAAGAAATGACGTGCTAGGTTGTGCAGTGGTTTCGTTGGTTTTAACCTTGCAGTGAGACGAAGGCTTTGCAGCTGCTGTTGCAACCCATTCTGCGTGTCACATGCCTAATCTTAAGCAAACCTCTGTCTGCGGTAGCTCTGCTGGGCAAAGCTTGTGGGAGTCACAGAACACGTTTCTCGGGACTTAGCCAAAGTAGAGCTTAGGTTTGCAAGTTAAACAAATAGCAGAAGGAAAGGACTCAAAACTAACTACAGTGTACGTAGTCAGTTAGCAGGACCTTTCATTGAATTGGATGCCGCTTTGAGGTAACATATTAGCGTCCATTTCTGCTTCTTGGCATGTGGATTATTCATGATTCTCATGGTATATGATAATCACCATGCCCTTCATCTGAGAGCTATTTCGTAATGAAGCATGGAAGACGGAACAAGTGTCTGACTTGTTCTTCAGACAGAATCATTCTTGCTATCTTGGGGACCGCAAATGGTGAGAATGCTTCCGGCTCTGCCATTCGTATTAACCGGGCCACGGCTCTAATGCTTGATCGAAGTCTAAACGACGAAGAGCAAAGTATTTGCGCTGGATCGCACAATATGCTTTAGGCATGCGCTGGGGGTTCGTGTCCGGTGGGCCAAGCTTATGCAGCGCGTCATGCAGACAAACAAGCGGGAGATCGGAAAACGTTACCATATTCCCCTTCTTCCGTCCTTACGAAGTGGACGAGGTCTAGATATGCTGTAGATAGCTCTGATTGTCACCACTGTGTCTGTTCTTGCGAGGCTGGCGACAGCTTTTTGCAGCTTGCGGATGTGGTGGCAATGGGTCTGGAAACCCTCCAGGGAACAACTCAGGAAATACGCATAGGACCATCGCCTTGAATGCACAGATTGTTACATGGAGAAGAGCAAGGCTGAAATTGCGAGCCCAGTGAACGACATGCAGCCCGTTCCTTCGTATGCTTGGAATATACTCAAAAAGCAAGGAAAGCGCGTGCTACTTCTCTACTTCTTTACACTATGAGACGCCTCATCGACCTTTGTCTCCTCGCTTTTCAACTTTTTGGGCTCGACCACGGCCGCACCTTCCTTCTCTGCGGCTGGCGCAACCTGACGCGCCGGCTCCCCACTCTGTACATTTCCAGTCTCGGCGTGTCCATTCTCCTGCACGCCCCCCGGCTGCGCGCGGCTCCCCGTCGCTTCCGCGCCAGCGGACGCGCCCCCGAACCCGAAGCTGACGTCACCCCCCCCGCCCATCATGTCCTCCAGCGTTCGCTTCTTGGGCTGCACGAGCGTCGCTTCCCGGGGGGCTGGGGACGGGGTTATCCTAACCGAGCCTCGGCCGACCACCCCTAGATTGGTTATGGGGGGCGCGGATGAGGACGCGGTTAGCTGGGGCGCGTCAAAACTGGAGGACTCGACAGGGGTGGCACCAGTTGCGGGGGCGGGGCGGTCGGTTTGGAGTGCGGCCAGGTTAGGGTGCTTAGCGAACTCACGGAGCTCGTCGGCCTGCACAAAAGTGGGTTCCCAATCCGTTTAGCATCTCGATACGTTGCTTTGATTCGAGAAGCTGCTTCGATAGTTCGGTCTAGCTTGCTTCGGAGGCTGTCTTTGAGAGTGTTGTGTACGACGGATCTGCTTCGGAGAGGCCTGTTTATTGTGCGGTACAACTTTTTCGATCTGCAGAAGGTCCCTCGCCCCAGATGAAAGTGTCCGGCGGACCAGACCGATGTGCAGAAAGCGCTTCCTTTTGAAACGGGAAATCGAACTTGCCGACGCACGATTGCCGCGGCCTCTTCACTTACACTAGTCCAAAGCCGCATCTGGTCCAGGCGTCACGAAACGACTCAAGCGCACTGTCGGAACGCTCAACTGATTATCAAAGAGTCCATGGCCAAGCAGATGCTAGAAATGCTTGTAGCCCCAAACGCGGTCAAGCATACTGGGAGACCCGACGCCAAGCATCAATAGCGCCCCCCAAACTGATACTGACAGTGGTGATGTTGTTGCATGCCGGATCGCGTCTTTTCAACTCGACGACGTAGATGCCTTCTTGATCTTCACAAGAGAGTGCCGAAGCTCGAAACGCGAGTTGCAAGCGCCGACAGGGGCCCTTGCGTAAAATCTTCGGGGCGACTCTTTCAGAGAGACGAGTTCTGCCAATCCCGCGAGTAGAACTTTAATTGCAGACAGTGCAACTCTTATCTTCTTGAGATAACGGCTATGCCCGCTGGATTGAAGCCCCTCCCGATCTGCCAGTCCGCTCGTTTCCAATGCGTCGGAAAGGGCTCCTTTAAACCTCACTTGCCTCACGTGTCCTTTCCTTCCTTTAATTTCAATCTCCCCACTCTCACGCCCTAGGCGAAAATCAGAGGTGAAAATCATTCACAAGGACGTCATGACAGAAAAGGGTTACAAAGGTTGAATGCATTCTATTCAAACGCCCTTACCTTCTCCCGCATGTCGACTAGCAGCGCCTCGATCTCTCCAATCTCCTTCCTCGCCCTCTCGGGGTCTCCTCCCTCGGCCCCCTTCTCTGCCGCCTTCTCTCCTCCCTCCGCTTCCTTCTCCTCCTCCGGCGCTTTTTCCGCTCCTTCTAGTTCCTTTCCCTTGCCCGCAGGCTCCACTTGCAGACTCCCTTTCAGCCTCTCTAGCCGCTTCTCACATGTGGCAATCGCGCGGTTGATGTATTCGATGGCAGGGCCGGGCTGCTGCCATAGTTGGTACGCCAGGCACGTCTTGAAGCACCTGAGGGAGATGATGATAACCAGCGGGTTAGCAAGCATGTTCTAGGGGTTAGCAACAAGTCAACCTCTCTGTCTCACACGTAGCAATTGCTTGGTTGATGTATTTGATGGCGGGGCGGGGCTGCTGCCATAGTTGGTAAGCCAGGCATGTCTTGAAGCACCTGGGGGGGACAAGATAACCAACGGGTTATCAGGCAAGACCTAGGATTATCGATCTTGAGACTGTGGGGACTTGAAGCACAGTTGGTTCAGGACACAGGTTGAAAATTGATGATTCGGCAACGCGCGTTTGCATCTTCACTAAGTCGAAACAGGGATCGCAATATTTTACGATGTTTCAGATGGAAGCGCAGCGATCCGACTCCACATGAACGACTCCAGTCGGGAAAGTATGGCTGGAGGTCCGACCTGAGAGAGTAGGTGCTAACATCTGGTGGTAGACCAGGCCAGCCTATGTAAAACGATCGAAGCATCCATTTTTCCTGTCAAGGAAACAGTGAACTCGGTGCAACTCTGGCCCGTTCTCCAGCCAGCTCTGCTTCTGCAGCCTGCCTGTGCGGAGAGGGTCTATGTTCCGAAGGAGAAGCTGTTACCAACAACGGGAGGGTTTGCACCAGGAAAATCGAAGCTTTTTGTTGGACAAAGCGTATCACTTACACTTCGGCCAGCATCCTGTCGTCGTTCTGCAGCAGCTCTTCCAGGATGCTCAGCGCCTGCCCATAGTCCTTCACCGCCGTTTCAAAGTCCTCTGCGCAAGTCCACAAGACTTTGTTATCGAATCGAGCAACCTCGGGCGTAATAGAGATGACTTCCATCCAAACTCTTTCGCAGGTCCCTGACATTCCGAATATCTCATCATGTGCCAGAATAGGTTCGACAGCAGTGAGCGATAAGAAGTGATTGGCGGCAGGGGCAATCTTCAGACGGCTCTTACAGCGCACTTGTTTCACGTGTAATGGATGCACTAGGAATCGCACCATCCGCCTCCTTGAGTGCCAATGAAGTCAAATGTACAGTAGTCCCAAAACAAAAGCTTGACTCTCAAGGTGGTCTTAGAGGATCTCAAACCGAAGTCAGATCTCTATGCAGAAGGGTGGTTTCCCTTTTTGGCACGCTTGATTCACAAACAAGTCTGTGACACACGAGCAAAGGAAACTCATACCTCTCTCCGTGCTGATGTCAGCGAGCGTGGTGATGACGTCAGCCTCTTCCACCGTGTGCCCCGGCTGCTTCTCGTGGATCAGCCGCGCAGTCTCGAGCATCTTCCATGCAAGCTCCATATCGGACTCTTCTTCTTCGCCGCCCTCCCCTTCTGCTTCCTCCTCTTCATCTTCCTCCGTGTGTGCCTTGCCCTCTGAACAAAGAGAGTGAAAAAGTCAGTTGCGGTTTTCTGTATCAAGTGGAAAGCACTGTGAAGAGAAGCATGAGAGATGCCACTTCCCGCTTCTCAGTAGATGCTGCAGGATGGGGCCACACATGGATGATGCAGAAGCAAAAAAAGAGTTTGTCTTCTTGAGTGTAAACACTAGTTCGAGCGACTCAGGCACCGAATCGGGCAGACAATTTGGTTACCACCGCCTTCCAAAAAGAGTCAAGCAATGCTTGCCAAATGCTATATTCAACTGCTGTTCATTCGGTGTTCCATGATGTTGTCAAATCTAGGATGTCAGGAGGTTCTGTACTTCTTCTTCCATGAACTTTCTTCTACAGCCAGAATGAGGGGTCACTGGCTTACTTCCAGAGGGATCCGCCTTCTCCGCCGCCTGCTGCTTGATCTTGGTCATCGGCTCCCCCAGAACGTCTGTCTCCTGCTGCGCCTTCCAGAACAGTGCACACCCGTACTTGTAGTAGGCGGTCGCACATTCAGGGGCCAACTCTCCAAAGTGGTCCACCCTGGACAGTTAGCAGTGGCTTTCAGTTGTTCGTATTTGCATGATTGCAGTTTTGGGCCAAGTCGAAACACTCTGATGTCAGTGGTGGAGAAGTAAAGATTTTGAAGCCCTTTTCTGTGGTCCATATTTGCCCTGTCTTCCGCTGCAGTGAGCCTTACAAGTTGAGGTGCAGGTGAGCTGCGGTTTAGGGGGCTGCCTCGATACCCCGGGCATCAAGTGCACTTCTTTTTAATCCTCGAAATGTCCAAATTTTGCCAATCAACTTGTCAACAAAGACTGCTTGCCACCATCAAATTTTGTCAAAAGCAAGCTGCAGCGAACTCTCAAAGATCAAACTCCGGAAGTACCAGCACTTCTATGCAGTGTCTGTCAAGCGACTAACGACTTCTGCTGAGCACTGCAAATCAAGAACCCTAAAACCGGGCTGACAATTCGCCTGGTGTGTTTACTTGCAAGACGCACCTCTTGATACCATTGTTGAACGTGTTTCTCAGAGAACGCCACCGCCCAAAGTATCCAAAGTCAGAACCTTAGAAGTTAGGCGCAAAGGGTGCATAACACGATGGTTGGCAGGAATCCCTTCCAGACAACCGCTGTAAGTGGTGCCCACGGACTTGATCAATTCATCCTGGACCAGAACCCTAATCTCGATTCTCGCCGAGGTCTGTGAGACAACAAATGCAGCGAGCAGGGCATAGGGTTCATGTGGGCCTTCAATACCTGATACCTGCAAGTGTGTGATAATTTGGCCCGTCCTCAGGACATGCAACATAACCCGAAAGTATGCTGACATCATTGTCTCCAACTGCTTTACATACTTCTGAAAAAAAATTGGTACCGAGAAAAACGTGATCTCTACCAAGAGAGCAATGTAAAGAGAATGTTAACAAGGTGCTCCAAGCAAGCCATTCACTGAGCAGACTTACCTTAAGCTCAGCGCCTCTCCGAGTAGCTCAATCGCTGCATCCAAGTCATCCTGCTGCGCACAGGCCCATCCTTCTGTAAGCTTCTCCTCAGCATCTTCCAAAGCTGCCAGTTCTTCCAGAGGTGCTATCTCTGCCTGCGCGCTTGAGCTTGCCATACTCGCTTTCTGCAAGAGCTTTCTGAAGAGAAATCTGCGCCAATCCAGCTCGCGGCCCCCTAGCGTGGCTTCACAAATTAAACCCCGGCTGTTTATCTGGCGCCTGAAAAGGAAGGCCAGCACCAGAGGTTGGGCTGCAGAGTCAGTTTGCTATCTTTCTTTCGCGCCTGCAAGCTCCCTCAGCCTGCAATGGGATACAAGTTAGCTCTTTAGGCAGTCTGATCTGGTCGGCAGTCAAGTTCGCGCGCCAAATTCAAGCGTCAAAACACCTGTGGTTTCAATCGACGGTCAGAGGGTCACCCTGGAAAGCTTTCACCACAATCCAGCGGCTGATGCAAAACCCTCACAGAGGACGTCACCGCGGGCGGCCGCGGACCGGTGGGTAACGCGCACTGCCACGGCCGCATGAGTCCTGACGTCTCCACGATATAATGGGGCATCCTGCTTAGTGCTCTGATGCTACTCTTGGTTGCTAGCAGAAAGGCGCGAATTGGGGCCGTACATGTTCTCTAGACAGTGACAGTGAGGGCCTGGAAAGGACCCGGAAACAACGGAACTTGAAGAGCTCCTATTATGTATTTCTGCCCGGCCCCTGAGCATTGCTTTGCATCAGTCAATGCGGCAGAGAGCAGATTTTGAGAAGGGGCGATTGAACACTGGGCGATTCAATCCTTTGAATCCGCAAATCCGCGCTGAGTCAGCATGGCGGCGGCGGGTGCGTTGGTGAACGCCCAATTAACCTTGGCAAGGTTATTAAGTAACCAGCGCATCCGAGCAGGACATGCGAGTCGGGGGAGTCGAAAGCTGGCGCTTACTGGTACGTCTTGAGAGTTTCATGTCTTAACTTCTGCATCTATGTACAGCGACTATTCTAAGATCAACCGAAGAGAGGAAGAGAGATATGTGAGCACAGTTAAAGACTAGTGATTTGCACTTGGGGAGTACGAGATTCCGAAAAGACAAAGAACATGCACAAATCTTGATCAAGAACCTCATTGCATGAAGGGCCGCGTAATTGGCTGAAGAGGGGTTTCGGCAACAGAGAAGATGGAGTTTAAGGCGTGGACAGCCTGATCTGTTACGAGATATATATCCTCCCATCGCTTCAGATGCCATTGCGGCAAGTTGACGTCACGGCGTTGTTGTCACGCAGGAAGTTTGCGCAAGTACATTTTGAACGACAGAGTATCTTTTGATTGACCTATGCTGAAATAATGTTCATGAAGTCTGGTGTTGGGACAGGCTTGAGAAATATACTTCGCTGAGAGCTGATACACAGGCTTGAATCGTGGATCTGGTGAAAAGCTCTTTGGTGCAAACTCTCCCAATGTCACCTCAGCATAGAGTATCCTGATTCCTGTGAAGATTTTCGTTGGCAATGGTGGCATCGCACCCATCCAGGCTTGATCAAAAGAAGCGATATAAAAGTGAAAGATATCGCTTTTATATGGTTCAGTGAGTGCACCGATCTTTGCTGAGGCTTGACCAAACGAGCTGGCAACCACAAATCGCAGTCAGAGTACTTTCTTTGCGATACATAGTCCAAGCGAGCCCATTCAAGCACGGAGCCTCGTGTGCCTACAATCAGGTCTCCTTCATCAATCTAGGCCCAGTCTAGCTTCTCTGGAAATCTAGTCTCACTTGTAAATGATGAGGATGTAACTCCTGCGTACTTCTAGAAAGCCAGCATGAAACCGTAAAATCTTGTTGTCCAGGTCGACATGTGGCTGTCCCTTTTGGAACACAGCGCCTGCAACGAAGATCGTCTGTTCGACAGCTTCAGATACGGGCAGAAGTCGTTGAGAAACAGGAAGAACAAGGGGAGGCTTCCAGTCAAAAGGTGCGTTTCTTTCCTTTCCACTAAGCAACATGAGCTAGTCGTAATCTTCTCTATCTTCTACGTTGAAAGTGTTCTGAGGTTCTGGTTGTTCTCGGCTTCAGAAGTACCAATCTATTTCCTAGCTTATTCTTCGCATAGGGTAGAAGGGATTCGGGTGTCAAGTTTGTGTCTCTTGAGACGCGCGTTTCAATGCTCGGAGCTGAACAAGCATTTGGTGTTATATCTGAACTACGCCAATGTATCAGATCAAGCACGCCAGAACAAAGCAAAGCTGAATTTTTGCATGAGAAGAAACACAGACCATCTGCAGATGATCATCGTCCGCGTCCACGACGAGCATTTTAAGTTTACCCCAGACGCGCCGGCTCATGCAATCGGAGCTGCCCTGGAGTGCCTTGCTGGACAGGCAGGAATTCTTGTGCGGGCCGGCGACCATTACACCCCGCTTGCAGACGAAGAAGTTCCGGCGGGAGAGTACACTTTCAAAACGCGTGAGTGCAGAAAGCTCTTCCTGTGCTTCTCCGTAGCTTGCGCCTAGCCTTCCCAGCTTCGTTGCTCTGGAGTCTGCGAGTATCTAGTTACGTCTATTTCTTCAAGTATCTTACCTTTGATAAATTGGGAGTGGGATTTTAATGACTCCGAGGGACCTTGAACAGCCCCAACGCTCAGGCGGACTATCGGTCCAAGGGTCCGCCCCCTCAGGCCCTCTTTAGATCCAGACTGCATCGGGGCTTTCCAAATACGGGCTTCGGCTTCTTAGTGATCTCAATGTTGTTTCTCGCTGGGTTCGGACTTGATCAGGTGGTTATCATCAGGATTTCCATGTTTGACGTTTCGTCCCCGACCCAAACGCGTGTCTTCGCAGCTCTCTACGCTCTTTGTGATCATGCTTTTGCTCTTCGCATCCAGGTTCAAGTTTCAAGGAGGAACGGGCTGTCATCAAAGAACGGATAAGAGCAATGAACGAGCGGGTCACGAAGTTGGTGAGTAGCTCTTACTGAGTAGAGTTGCACACGATTCTCCTTGCTTCGCTTCTACTTCTCTTTGCTTCCCTTGATCGATAAATAGTCATTCTGCACGTAAGAATCTCTTCAGCCCGTCTTCAAAGGCGCAATCGCCTTGTTTTAGTTGTCAGCAGAATTTTCGTCACAATGCTTTGCATAACAACCAAAGTGTACCGTCTTTTGGCAGGAAAGAAGACGCAACTTCTTCCGTTTCTGAGCCCCTGCTCCAGCTCATCGAGGTCCCTTCGCAACCGCTCGCTCTCGCCGGCAATTTCTTTAGCTATCTCCAATTAAAGGCCAAGCCAACGTCAGAAGCGGTAGAACGCCGTTAAGGAAACTTTCGCTTTGCAAGACGAATTCATACAAAAGCATGAAGCTCGAGCGCTCTCGCGGCAAAGAAGAAGACACCAGCGACGAGATCTGGATAGACTTGGTTGGCCAGCTGCAGATTCGTTTCTGAGAGGAAAGCAGGAAAAGTAGTCGGCTCTTTTAACAGGCATCGAAAGGAAATAGATAGTTGTGACGAGTGGCCGGGGCCATCGACAGGAGTGACCGTTTCCGCGGAGCGCAAGGTAGCTGTTCTGAAAGAGGGGACGGTTCCAAGAGTTGCGCGAGCTCCGCGTCAACTGCTGAGGCGGAGCGCTTGTGGAATGCTGCGCTTAGAAACTTATAGAGAAAGAATAGGCATGAAAATGAGGAAGGGCGAGTTGCTGTCGTTCGGCAGAGCTGACAAGGGCCGCGCAAACTCCTTGTTCGAGCTGTGCAGCAATCTTCAGAAGACTTGAAAGGTCCCGTTATGACCGTGCTTGCAAATGCTGGTGAGGTGGGATGCGTGCTGTAAAAGCAAGTGAAGATCCGATCGTTGAAAACCGTGTATGCACCGATTCCCGACATGAATGTGTGCGGGAAATTCAAAGCAGGAAGATCACCTCTTTCTTTTCTACAGCACGCATTCGCATTCATCTTTAATTTATGTGAGTAATGTGTTCGCTCGCTGCAAATCAGATTTAAGAAGTCAGAGCGACCGAGATTGCGGAAGCACTCGTCGCAAAGCCGATCATGCTGATCAGCTCGACGCGTACGCCATATCCGTATTGACGTCATGCTTACCTATCCACATGCAGCTCCAGTTCGCATGCTGCGGCCACAGCAGTATGCTGCGTTCCTTACCGTTCTTAGTTTGGCCGAAAGTTTTCTTGATGCTTCCAAAAGCATTAAGTTATGAAGCCAATGAGTGCCCTTTCCTGCAACAGAAAACCCAATCGGTCTGACACCTGTTTAGTACCGAATCTGGACGAAATCGACCTGCATAGAATCCAGGTTGTGCCCTTGTATGCTATTCGAGTCAGGCAATCAGAAAGGGAAACTGCCCCAGAACAATCTGTGTAAGCATCCGCGACCCTTGTTCCTGTCTCAACGTCTTGACACTCAGGTTCTTGAACACTTTGTGGGGGTCCGATCCCCATCCGCAGCCGCAGGTCAGGTCTTAAGTTCCCCTTTCGCGCCCCCGCCGAGATCGCCTCAGCCTTTTCTAACTCGTTTTCCCCTTACCTCCTTGTCGCTCGACTCCTGTTTGATTGGCAGGATCTCGAAATTCATCATCGCATCCGCCGGGGGGGCCTTTTGCCCCTCAGATGCTACCCCCCCAAGCGGAACCGGCCCCCCTCTTCCCAAACTGGGGGCCTGTATCTATCCGCAGCACTGCAGACCCCGGGGCGGCGAGCTTCGCTGTTATGTTGCAGTCCTCCCAGCCAGTTATATGCAGGTTAGGGGGCGGGTTAGCGGCAGGGTTGAAGCCTTCGAGGCCGCTGGGGGCTTGGGCGCTGCCGAGCTGCTAGCGTGACCAGAGGCGGGGTTTGGAATTCAGGTCTTACGGAAGGGCCTGCGGAGTTGCGGCATGCGAAGTTGGGACTGGGCGCTGCCCTGCGGGGAAGCATCATCTGCACGTTGAATGCGAACGGTGCTGATGCCATCGGACGGATGGAAAGGCTGAAATCCTGACGGAAGAGTACGAGGATTCTATACGTTGATAACCCACGGAAGAAACGGAAGGAGACGAAGGAAGCAGCTTAGTACGGACTTGGTCAAGCTCATAATGCGACGAGATATTAAAAAACACGCAGTCTGAAAGGAGCCGCCTTGGATAATTTGCTTGCTCTCCTCACCATCCTTGCCTTGATATTTCAACGCAAACGTTTTCTCACTCGACAACAACTGAGCCAACGTCCTCACATGCTGGCCTTCTTTACCCAAGAGCATCAAGACATAATTCTCGTATGCATACTGTGTCTATATCTACTCTTGCCACGGTGTGAGCCAGTTCTCTCATCTCACACTCGGATCAGTACAGTCCAAATTCTCAACTTGTTCGTGCCGTCGGAAAATACTGAATTTCTGCGGAAGTCACGACGTGCACTGTTTTCCATTCAAATTCTCGAGCTTTTGGGGTTCATCTCCGTTCCGTCTCATCAGCCACTCCGCTCTGGTTGAAGGTGCTGAGCCTCCAGCGGACCCAGAACCTCTACATCTATCAAACGTACCTAGCAGGTGTTTTAAAACACCAATACCGTATGAGCTCGGCGCTGATCGAAAACTTTGACTCGCCCCTGCTCACCTACAGGGGCAAAATCGTCTGTCCACTATTCTATTCACCGAGAGATCCGAGATGCTCGACACCGGCGAGCAAAAGAAGTAATGTCCCAACTCGATCAACCGTTTGCCCCGGCACTTCGGCTGGGTTGGCAGCTCTGTGTTCCAACCGTAAAGCGGTTGAATCTGTTAATGAGAACGTCCTGTAAACTGCGGTTCAAAGCCACGTGGCGCCCCTTCTCGTTCCGCTTCTTTTCCGCTGAATCAGCCCCTCCTGCCGACTCCGGTCCTCCAACCAAACCTTACAGAATCGTACTCGTTGTTTCGTCCTTTTCCTTTTGCCATTGTTCCGCCCCTACTCCTTTCTCCTTTCGCCCGCGCGCGGCGCCGGCGCTTTTGTTTTGTAGCAATTCTGGTTCCACCGGCGGGGTCCTCGTGCTGCTTTTCTTTCATAGATTTGGGGAACAGAACAGAACAGAAATAAACTCGAAACTTCTCAAAAGAAGCGATGCCTTCTGCTTTTCTGCGGCCATCTACTGCACGTAAGATGGGGAGCGTGTTAGAACGAGCATTCCACCCGATGTCGAAAGGTCACATCCTGCCGAATCCTCTTCAAGCAATCGGATCAAAAATGGGAATGGATGGGCTGGCGGTACGAGGGGTTACGTTCATCGGTCTTCAATACAGGATGCATCTTTTCCAAAGACGGAAAAGAAGGGAGAGCGAAATGCCCATCAAGTCGTCCTGGATTTGATAAATCGCGAAGGAGAAGTGCATCTTGATAAACTTCACACGCTTCGCCCGGGTCTTTTCCGTGCCGAATTTTGCTCTGGCTGCTGCCAAACCCTCACACCCTGCTGCAGCGAAGTGTTCCAAACTTTTACGCGCCTGAGACGAAGCGCCCTCGGGCGCCCCTCGGCGCTCTTCTTCTGGGCGCTTTTCCGGGCGAGATAGTGTGCGATTCTGTTTGACCGACGCAATCTTTCCGCGCCGGGGAAAAAGTTCCCGACTTCCGCAGAATGGCCTGCAGCTTGGCTCAAGCACGGCCGGGTCTGAATTGGCCGCCCCCGTCCGTCTCCATAAGGCTCTCCCTCGCGCCGCCGGCCGTTACTGGCGCTCTCAATTGAGGACCCTGCGGAATTACTTCAAAGTTCGGCTCCAGCAAAATTCATGCCCTGGTTCTCGAAAACGATCAACGCGTCATTGAAACCCGCAAGTGCGAACGCAACGCATGACCACTATTTAAGTTTCGCGCGGCGCTTCTTTATACGCTCTCTCATCTTCACCGAACATCTCCCTGCAAGGCAATTCTCGAGCCCGTCAGGGGCTCCGATGAGGTAAGTCATAGGTAAACTTTCACCGCTCACGTATCTTGGGCGCCCTGCGAGCGCACCAACCCCGTCGTGTTCTTTCCCTGAGCGTTCCGTTTCTCCGTCACTTGGGCAGGGCACCCTGCGTGGTCCGGCGGTGAGCGGCTCGTGCAAACGTCCATCTCTACACTTGCGGACGCGTCCTGTCTGGCAGAGGTGATGCTCTAATCATGATTCATCAGCCGGCGGTTCCTTCTTTCTTAATTCGGAAGCGCGTGCACTCTTCGGGGAGCTTGCCTTAGATGATGAAGATTTGGAATCTGTTTCCGTTTCTCGTCGAATCGGAGCTTGCCTGAGCAGCCTTTCGCTCCCCTTTAGAGCACTTTGGAACGAGACGCTAGCTCGGTTCAGCTTGACTGCTTGCTCATCGGAGGGGCTCCTTAAAAACACCAGCATCTGCTCCTCACTCCTTCGAAGACACGTCCCACTCTGAAGTGACGTCAGCATACCCTCCGCGGCCAATGCTTGGCTGTAGGTCAGGACGCCCGCTGTTCGTTTGTTCTCCGCTAACCCTAGCCAAGGCGTTCGGCGTAGGCTGCTTGCTGACGTCACCCTCTTCCCGACCCCTATTCCTGCCGCCAGACTCTGGGGCGACTTCCGGCAAAAGCAAGTCTGCTCGTCTGTCCGGGAGTGGTTACAGCCCGGAAGCTGACCGGGTGATTCCTGTGGGCGAAAGGCTTGCCTCAGGGGTAATATCTACTGAGGTTGAGGGCATCCCTTTCACCGGTCGTCAGCACTGGCGGACCCCATAATACAAGAGGCGGGCGGAAGAAACGGCAATTGGTTTTCGAATGCTGGGCCCAGGAGACCGGATATAGGTCACCTTCCCCCGGGGATGCCAAGCAGAAATGACGGCTGGCGGGTCAGTTCCGCCGGTGTCTAATTTCGGGGCTCAGGATCGCAATCAGGTGATTTGGAGAAGCAACGGAACGAGGGCCGTAACGAGGTCTTCTGCTGCCTGGGGAACACTTCCGGACGTAACATGGGCAGCCGACGTTGCCTGGGTGATGCGAGCAAGCGAACCCGTGGCAGGCTGGGTAAGCCTTGCGAGATGAACGATCGACGAGAACCGGGGCCTTTGGAAGCTGACCGGAAGACTGCATCGGCCGTTCTAAGGTGCACGGTTAGTTCCTCGAGGTGCACCCTCGGGGTCGGTTGAAAGTAGTGACTCGGAAGCGCCGCTCTCACTTCGACGCTATAAGCGCCATCGCTGGACGATCGGTTCAGCCGGTGGATTGACGTGTTAGGGCCTCTGCAGTTGGGGCTGCTTCGTGCTCTAGTACAGGATGACCGAGCTTCTAGAACGCTCTGCTGATCCGATGAGGATTCGCTCTCAGTTAGATCTCAGCAAGGGGAGGGTTTGTGGATCCTGCCCCCACACGTTCTCCTCGCGCCCAAGGCATACAAATGCTTCCTTGCTTCACTGTCGTTCTTAACCCTCCTGCCCGACGCGAGAACTAGCACCTCTCCCTGATAATCCGCTCTTCAAAGATGAGCGCTTTCTCAACCAGGACCCGCGTCCTTTGGCGCACCCCTTGCCCAGCTGTCTTGTACATGTCTCCGGCAGCTTATCACCCGGAGGCAGTATTTGTGTTAAACCCCCTTTTCCTTCCCAAAAGCGCCCCATACTTTTTGGAACACGTCACTCTTCGTCTGCTCTTCGCGTCTTCTCCGCGCTCTTTGCGCTTAAGGCCCCGCAGCAGCTCAGCCGCCTGGCGGCCTTGTGCGCAGCCGGCATTACTTAAAAAAATCCCGAACTTCTGAGTTGCTGCCATCCGCGGCTGTATTTATCTGAGATTGGCCTCCTCGCTTGTGAGTCGTGTCCGAGGGCACTGAAAAGGAGAACAGTGACAAATTTGAAAAGACGGTCTTTTTAGTGCACGAGAAGCAGGGTGAAGTGCTCTATGCAGCCCCGCCTCCATCCTTTCGAGCAATTAGACCTTTACTAAACCTGTACAACGCTCGCCTCCTGCCTCGTTGGACGGACTCTGCGTTCTCTGCTGGCAGCTGCCCGCCGAGCTGACAATTTCATTGACAGGAGTGATAGGAGTGATGCAGGCAGGCGTTCTGCTCGGATCTTACCAGAGACAACGTGCAAACGGCACAGAAAAAGTGCTCGTGATCTCGCGTTTCGATGCTTGCGACTTGAGCCATCTGCAAGCACGCGCAATGATTCCCTTTGTTTGCTTCTACGAAAACCTCGCTTTGAAGGTGGTCTTCCCTCTGACAGAAGCAATATCGGAGGAATATCAGAACATCGGCGCCACTTCTCAGAGAGCTTGCACTGCTACCGAAGATACTTGAAATGGAAGGCGGGAGTCCAGCGAAAAAATCTGTGTTCAAAACTGGCTCGCTGGCCGGATAAAAAGGTGTCAAACAAGCGGTTGTGCCATGGTGGCGGTGCGCGGCGGCGCGATCCTCTAATCGGATTGATGTTCCTAGTCTTCAACGACTTTGGTCTCCTGTCATTCAATTGCTCAAAACATATGCAACCACATCACGAGTGTACCTTATATGCGACTGGTGCTCGTCTCGCTGCTTGATTAGTTGCACCGGGGATCTGGCGCCCTGTCATTATTGCTGGCCGTGATAAATTTGAAGCTACCCAATGTCATGGGCGGGGCTCACCGTTTCCCCACCGTTTCATCACTTTGTCCGCTTTCGTTTAGCTGATTGGCGAGGGTTGAATAGTCGAAGGGTTCCCGAGCAGAAATTTTGCATTCCTGCTCAAGCAATGCTAAATGTTTGCAGGCAACCAGATTCAGTGCAGTGAGAACAGCTTCGAAGTACCGACTTCGAAGTACTGATCACGCTCAAGGGGACATTGGTGTAGCCTTTACGAGTCAAGTGCAAGCTATGCAGCTGCCCCAGCTTGCGATCTCCTTGCGATGGCTCCAAGGGACCCTAACATTTTTGTTTAGACCGTGTGACGGTTTCTGAGCCGGGTCCTATGAACACACATATGATTAACGGCCGATGGAGGTTTCCCTGAGGTTTCTATCAAAACTGCCTGGCAGCCCCGAATGGAGCCTGAGCTTGGTCTCCTGGTCTATCGCCGGCAGTAGAACATTAGCTAAGCGAAACACAATTGACAAGAGATCAAGGCGCATACCCCGCGCATACAAGGACTGCGTGCGCAAACTGTCAACTTATTCAAGGAATTCGCAAACTTGATAAGAAGCCACACGTTCCACACTACCTCACTACCTCACTGGGGCTCTTTCCTATGGACATGGCCGGAGGAGGGCCGGAGTACTTTACAGCCGGAGGGCTCCCGGCCCGTTCACTCCGAGCTGCGCGTCGGCCCGGCCTGTACTCCGGAGTCCGGAATGTTCAGCGAGAACTACAAACAGCGGTGGCAGCGAAAAACAGCGGCCCCGGCCCACACTGCCACAGGTGAAGCTTGAAGGACGTTACGTACTACCTACGTCGTACAGAATCTTTCAGTTGATTTGTACTGTGGTCATTAGAGCCGTCCGATTCATCCTGCATTTCTATCGGACGGTCGATATACACTCCGAGGACCAACTCCTGAATCACGTACGGTGCAGCGTACCCCACTGGTCGCCCCAACTCTTGGGCGCCAGGGGTGCATGACGGAGTGTCACGGAGTCACTACACTTTGCATGATGCATTATGCAGGCAGTGCCGGCGACCACAACCCACAAGTACTGTACTCGAGTCGCCCGTGCAGGCCTATCAATGGCATCATGGCCTACCGCAGATTTGCCGGATGGTTCCTCTGCAGACTCAGTAAAGCAACAAGCTCTTCATGGATCTGCAGTCATTTCACAGCACAAAGGAGGCACCTTTGAGTATGCCCTGCAACCACATGCTCTCTGCAAGAAGCATCTGCCAGTCCTGACCTTATATCTTGTATGAATCTGGTCGTTCTGGTCGTGCAGGGATCCATGCTGCGCTGATTGGGCCTCACTGCATTGATAAGCTGATTTGCGTGCAGGAATGCTGATGGCCTCTTTTCATTCAGCAGGCCCTAGCTCTCAACCTCACAGTCTGCATTCAGCTATTCAAGCAATGCTAGGGCCTCCGTAGGGCCTGTTCTCCGGCCATTTCTTCTGCGCCGGTCCCCTTCCTCGCATCCCCAGTCATGGCAGCCAGGCAGGGAGAGGCGTCCGGCAGCAAGGAAGACGGTACTGCTGTGACTAAACCCCCCTTGGACACAATGGGGAAGGCAAAAGCTGCAACCGCCGCAGCCGCCTTTGTCGCCGGCAAGCTGGATGATGTTCGGAGGGCAATGGTAAACAACAAGGACGCTTTGAAGGCAGTTTCTAGTGCAATGGGAGGGGTGCTGACTGGGCTGACTGCGGTGCCCTATGTGGGGATTGTAGCGCAGCTGGCCAAGTCACTGTTGGAGCAGGTTGACAAGCACTCTTCTGTGGCCAGCATCATTGACAAAACGATGGCAGAAACCCTAGGTTAATTTCAGAACCAGGATTTGGACAGGGTTCTTGGGAGCGTGCCGCGAGCGGCGGAGTCGCTGCTAGAGTTGAAGAAAACCATGGTCGAGGCAGAATTGCTCGCGCAGACAATCCAGGGGAAGGGGTGGGGCAACCGCTTCTTTCTTGCGGCGCCCTATGAGGAGAAGCTTAAGGGAAAGCTGGACAGTCTGAAGGAAGTGAGAGCCAAGCTTGGGCTGGAAGCAGCCTGGGCCAGTGTTGAGAAGTTGGACCAGGTGCTGGAGCTGTTGCAGTCAAGCAGACCGGAGGCGATCATAGGCAAGCACAATGTGCCGGAGGTGGACCCTCTCTTCGGGGGGCGGGAGGAGATCCTGGAGCGGATGTATGATGCGCTGGTGGGGGGGTGCAGGGACCAGGCGGCGGGGGCTCGGACCATTGTGTGCCTCTGGGGGATCAGGGGCATTGGTAAGACGCAGCTAGCGCGCAAGTACTGCCATGCAAACCTTAGCCGGTATGGGAGGGTCCTGTGGATCGACGTGCAAGGCAAAGGGGCGCAGGAGGGCTATGCGGATCTGGGGGGGGATGTCCTAGGGTTGACTCGAGCCCCCGGTGAGCAGCTTGGGGAGTACGTGAAGCGGGTCCGGCTGACGGTGCAGAACCTGACGGAGCCCTTCCTTGTGGTCTTTGACGGGGCCAACGGGGAAGCTGTGAAAGAGTTGCAAGAGTTGCTGCCAGGAGAGGGCCAAGCGTGCCATGTGCTTGTGACGACCACGGACGATTGGGCCCTGCGGCAGCATGGGGCCATGCCGCTTGCAGTAGAAAGTCTCGGGCAGAACGAAGCGCGGGCGCTGTTGAAGAAGGGTCTGAATTTTGAGAAAGAGGTGCTGATTGGGGAGACTTCAAAGAAGCTTAATGAGCTGGCGAAGCGGCTCGGATACCTGACAATCGCTCTGGCCGGAGCGGTTCCCCTGCTGATAGAGCGGCGGAAAGAGGGTGATCCCGTGGGATTGCTTCTAGCAGAGCTTGAGGGGCTTGACGGTGTGGAGCCAGCAAACACGCTGTTTGAGCTCAGTCTCCATAGCCTGGGGCACTCCATCACCGGCGAGGGCGGATCTCCGGACGTGGTGTGCAGCTTTGCCACCTCCATTGCCATGGTGGCCGGGTGGTTCGGGGAGGGGCCTGTCAGCACCGAGCTCCTGCTGAAAGCTTCGAAAAGGTCAGCCCTGTTCTTATGAAGAAGCTTGCTCCTTGGATCTGACTGGTGGTCAGACTTCGCTGACTTTGTCTTATTCTCTTGTGAGAGACCAGAAAGCGCAGCGCAGTGTGGTCAGGGGTTTTTCCACCATAACAAAGCTTAAGCCTAGGTACCCGCTCCTCATTGGGCAGGGAGATCAAAGAAGTTTCTTGACGGTGTCAGATTCGTAGTCCCAGCTTGTATAGCCCAATTTCCGGTCCAACCATTTCTCGATCCACATGCAGCGTTACTGGCGTAATACTTGTATGTGCTGGCGGACGAAGGATTTTTTGCTTTTTTGCTTTTTGATTGAACCTGACCAGATGTATTGAAAGTCGAGCCTAAGCCTCTGAGTACAAGCTTTTTGAGCTTTTCGAAAGGGATTCACTACGGCGTCAGCATCTATGCGTAGCATGTATTTGTAGTCAGCAGATGCGGATACCCTGGATCTTTGTATTATTAATCGCAATCAATCATTACGAACGAAGTCCTTCAGCGAAATTGAATTGAGGGGAGGCTATGAAAGTCATTGTGACGCCATGCGAGTTGCGGACCAGGCTTGAATGCTTCATTATGCTAGCTTTTTCGAGCCACAGCTTCGGGCGATTGGGGGGGTCAACATAGTTCGTTTTGATTGGGGTGGTCAACATAGTACGCTTTGATTGAAGTGAGTCTCTTTGGCTCAATTCACAGGTACCATGATGCAGTACATGGGGATGCCGACGTCAGCCTTTGGGAGAATGGGGCACTGACGCGCAAGGCCCTTCTCCGAGTCGGCCACTACTTGCCTGCGCAATTGGCAGCAGGGTCTGGAACACCAACACAGGACGACACGACTCCTCACGAAGGTCAGTACTTTTCCGACCTTCGTCACTTGTGCCCGTCTGTGGACCAACAAATGGACGGTTTTTATTGGGCCAGAGATAAACATTTATCAACTATTTCGTGAGAATCAGACCTCGGACACTCCCAAGTTGAACAAGAGTTGAGGTCATTGACGGAGTGAAGGTCGGCCAGATTGCCTTACGGCTCAGCAATGGAACCTCAAGCAATTGGCTTCACAACTAGTATGGGACTTCAATCTGCTGCAGAGATCAGCGCACCAGAGATAAAGTTGGCACGGACCTTAGAAAAAGAAAAAGAAAAGCTGACGTTGTTTCAGGTGACGTTAAACTGGTTGACACTGATGTCACTAACTCAGACTCATGGTTTCACACCAGTTCATTATCTCGTACTTCCGGCCAGCCAATGATCAACTGAGGCGACCACAACGCCTTCATTAGCTGCAAATGCGTCAAGAAAAATTGCAAGACTTCACATTAAAAGATCTCGCTAGTACTCCCAATGAAAGTGGGCGAGTCACTTGTCTCGTACTTACTGGTTGACCTCTTTCGCTGCTCAAGCATATGTGCAACTTCGAGCTAAGTTCTCTAAAGAGCTTCGGAGCTTGGCTCTATCACAGCGATGTGGTCGTTTGAACTACTTCCTTTGTGGGCGCAGTTTGTGTGCGCATGATCTCGGGTCCAGTGACGTGACGAACACATAAAAGGACCCAGCGAGTCGGTTCAAAGTCACAGCTCAGCTGCATCGAAGAATCATGTGGGCGCCAACAAAGAAGTCATGACTTCTCGTGCAGGACGCCCTACCCTGACGTTCCACGTGCTCTTCCTCGAGTACGTGAGGCGCCAGGAAGGAGGGGACACGGCCAGAGCGGCGACTTTGGCTACGGTTGCGGACATGGATTGTGATGCGGGGACGGTGCAGCAGTTCAAGGGGGTTTGGGACGTGGTGGTCGTGGTTCTCGGCGCGCTCGACCTTTCGGACTTGGAGAAAGTTCGTGAGATTGGGAGCGAATATGAAACCTACCTCCGAACCAATGGTGGGGATTACAAGACGGCAAAAGCGGTGCTTGAGAGCGGTCTTGAGATACTGGGGACGGGTCCGCGGGGTTGGAGGTGGAGGCTCGATCTTGCAGATGCCCTGGATTCGTTGGGGGTTTACAATCGTGCTGTGGAGATTGTTGAGGCTGTGGTCAAGGAACTAGAGCGCAGAGACGCACCTCCTCCTCCTGTCAAAAGAGTCCGAAAGAACAGCTGCAAATGGTGGCTTCCTTGCTTTAGTGGGCAGGGCGAGACCCCGGATCTAGAAGCTGATGACAAGCATGACGCCGTGGTCTTTCAAGGAGGAGCAGACTTGGCAAACACTAGTCTGGATCTGGCAGGAGCGTGGAATGTGCAAGCGTCTATCTACAACAGACAAGGGAGGCGTGCAGAAGCGCTTCTGCTGTACGAGCAAAGCCTGCGTGTCAAGGAGAAGGCTGTAGACCCGGACCACCTCGATGTTGCCGCCACGCTGAACGACATGGCAGGTGTACTCGTGAAGCAAGGCAGGTTAGGCGAGGCACTGCCACTGTACCAGCGGGCTCTTTCCATCTTTGAGAAGGCTCAAGGACCGGATCACCCCAGCGTGGCCACCACGTTGAACAACATGGCGGGCCTGCTCTACTGTCAAGGCAAATACGATGATGCGCTGCCGATGTACCAGCGGAGCCTGCGCATCGACGAGAAGGCTCTGGGCCCGGAGCACCCCGACGTGGCCGCCTCGTTGAACAACATAGCGATCCTGCTCACAAACCAGGGCAAACACGAGGAGGCGCTGCCGATGTACCAGCGAAGCCTGCGCATCGAGGAGAAGGCTTTGGGCCCGAAGCACCCCCACGTGGCCACCACGTTGCACAACATGGCGAGCTTACTCAACGACCAAGGCAGATACGAGGAGGCCCTTCCGCTATATGAAAGGGCGCTTGCAATCGAAGAGAAGGCACTCGGTTCGGAACACCCTGAGGTAGCCACCACGTTGAACAACATGGGGTCCGTGCTTTTCAACCAAGGCAGGTACGAGGAGGCGGTGCCACTGTACAAGAGGGCGCTCGAGATCCGGAAGAAGGCGCTGGGCCTCGAGCATCCCGACACAACGACCTCGAGGTCTAACTTGGAGGACGCCGAGCGAAAGGTGCGTCACCGGCTTCGTTTGGATGCCTCCGATTTGATGAAAGTTGGATGCTTTGTATCCAGTGGTTGATGATACGAGCATTCGAAGGATGGACTTCAGCTTTTCATGACTTCGATTTTCCCTCTGTTTTTGAAAGCCGAGGGCGAGGCATTCACCGGAGGCAAGCGTGGAGCAGCCCTTATGCTCCGCGTAGGGGCGTACCTGGTTCTGAAAAGCCTGCGCAAAGCCTGTTGAGCAATCTGCGTTTTTATTGCGAACCTGTGCGTCTCGAAGTCAAGGTCTTAAAAGTTGCGTGCTCAAAATATGCGCCAAAAGGAGTGGTTGCTGGCCAGGTTCGTCGACCAGACTTTAGATTTTCGTTCAGCGGGGACGGCGTTGGCTGACTCGTTCCCCGGTTGATATTCGAGGCTGCCAGATGCCGTTACATCACCGTATCTTGTACGACTTTCGCCGAACAAGCCACGTTTGCCTCGAAGTGCGTTCTTAGTCGAGAGCTTACATCATTCCTGCAGTCTGATGGTGGATTGGTAGTTGCAAGCTCGCTGATCGTTCACAAACCCAGATGTTCTCAACGTCGAAGGTTTCCACTCAAAAGCAGACCGGCCCATGCATCTGCGTCGGCGATCAACGAGGCTTCCCGCTGATATCAGCGTTTATGATTGTCGAGTCTTCGCTTGGTCTTCCTTCTGTTTCTAGCTACCTTGTCACTCTAAGTCCATTCTCTTTCTGACTGCAGTTGGCTGCGGTGCGCACGGACCAGGGGATGGGGTCGTCGGTCCGCGAGGATATTGCGGAAAGCAACACTTCGAATTCGGGGGCTCACGAGAACGTCGTTAGTCAGGAGCTTACTTTGAATGATCTTTGAGAGGCCTGTCGCGCCTCGAGTTGTGTAGTCAAATGCATCAAAGCCAGATGCCTTACTGTTGCGCACCATTTCCGAAGCCCACCCGATCTGTGTACTCCGAGTCGTTTTGGTCGTGTATACGAGGTTAACAGGAACTCGTGTTGAGCCTAGGAAGGAAGAAGGTGGCGAGAGTTTGGCGAAGCGATTAATTGATTGACTGCTCCGCCGTTATGATTCTCAAAGGGTGCCACGTCTTGCGAACTGTTCTTAAACGTTCCCAATCGACTTCGACAATCATGTGTATAGTTTTGAACCCCATCTGCTTTTCCAATGGAGTGCAACCATGAGAACATTGATTCGTCATGCATACTAAATCAGCGGTGTGGGCCTCGAATGAGGCCAAAGCATTGAACATGCATCTGTTCTTGCTTCCTGAATTCCCCGGGCAATTCCATGATGCAAATATGTTTCGCTATATGTGAGTCAGCTTGTGAAGGCTGCCAGGTCCAGCTTCATTAGGGCATTGAGGTGTGGTTGGAAGTTCGCCGTACGGCCGGCGCCCCTCATGACTCTTAATGCAGCAGAGCGACCTGAGACCTGTCCGATCGAGAAACAGCGATTCAGATCCGAACGTGTGATGCATGTCACCGTTCAGAATGCCGCCCAGCTTGAGTGCGTCAGGCTTAACAAGCTGCCGCACGGGCTGGCCACTTCAGAGAGTCAGTATACTTAGAACAGAGCGGAGCCCGAGGCGCGCACGCGGCCGCGCCGTCCAGGACCGAGGCCGCCTGAGTACGGTCTTCTATCTGGACGGCGCGGCCGCATCTGCGCCTCAGTAGCTGCATATAGTAGTCAGCATTTTGAAGTTAACAATAAAACCCGGCGCGGGCTGCTCGGCGTCGACTCTCTCGGGGACCACTAGGTCCTACTCGCGCAAAGCGCTGCTCGGTCGCAGTTGCAGGATTCTGAATGGCGCAGGCATGCGGTTCTCCAATCAGCACCGCTTTGGGATTGGGAAGGTTGGAGAGCGATTGAGCAGCAGAAGAAGTTTGACGGGCTGCACAAAGCTGCCGGCAAAGGTGACAGTTGCTAGAGCTGTACTATATCAATCTTGCGCTTCTGAATTGAGGGCGGCCGAGGCGTCACCAATATCTCCACCTTCTAATCTTGATGCTCTGCCGTTTGCACATCCGTTCACCAATCCCTGTCGTTGTATGGGTTCTCAAGACATTTCCTAACAATTTGAATTGTCTCTCCGTCTCCTGCTGCCTTTCTTTCAGACGCCTGCTCCACCAGCAGTTCCAGCATGCCACCAAATTCAGCTCGCAAAAAGTAAATACACGATTCCGGTAAGTGAAGTTCGCGCGCCAACATGTACTCGCAACGCTTTTAAGCACTTTTACTCCCGGGCCGGGTCCCTCAGAACGTTGCAGTAAAGTCAGCTTCAATCTCAAAGATGGGTAAACGTGTGATCCGTTCAACTTGTTTTTGTTCACCATTTTCCCCTAAGTTGCACTAGATTCACCACGTAAAGTCAAAGGGAAGCTGACGCTTTAGTGGAGCAGGTGTAGTCTGGACTTTGATGATGGAGCCTGCAGATGAGAGCTGCCAATGCTTGCATGTCGCTCTACTCGGATCCAGTCATGATATAGCATCTTCTAGTTGCAGATTGCTATCTGCAATTACGAAAATGAGAAGGGAAGCCGAAAACGTGACAACAGGGGTGCACAGGATGCCCACAGCAGCTCGCAGGTAGGATCGTTTCCACTCCTTCTTCGCGTTTGTCAAATCAGCATTCAGCAATTTAAGTTATGTGCAAGGGAACTGTCTTACTTCAGGCACAGACGTTCCTCTGCGTTTCTACATCTTCAAGAAGTATTCCAGGTAAACCAAAAGACTTCCTTCTGCTGGTTGTATGTAAGATCTCATACACCGCTCTAGATTAGGATGAGGATGCCTGCTCAGTCGCGCTCTGGAGGATGAGAACCCACAAATGCCAAAATCGGACCGGACGTCCTTTCTCAAATACGGTGGGCTGGCATCAACTCAGAAAGTAATTCACTTGAATGAAAGAATGCATATTGTTCGTGAAACGAAGTCACTGTCGGTAGGGCGTACGCCGTATACCCCGTCTTCTCATTGTATGTGAATTATAAGAACGGAAACCTTGGGACAGGATTTTTACTTTTCTGCGTCTTACATCGCCATTCTCGGCTTGACACGTGTCACTTCTCTGCGCAGGGAACTTTCGCATCCGATCAGATGACGTTCGCACTGCGTCACAGAGTGACCTCCCCCAGCTCTCGCGGCTGGCAGTCCAAGCAATCTCTCAAGTCCAGCATGGTCTCGTCGACGCACTCAGAACCAGAATCGAGAAGAACAGCGGAGCTCCGGCGGAAGACTGGCCGGAACGACCCCCGCCGGATCTCAAACACCGGATGTCGATCTCGAAAACCATAGAACGACAGGCAAAGAAGATTTTCCAGGCCGCCGAGCAGTGCACATCCGTCGAGCAGAAGGCGCACGAGCTGTGCCATTGCTACGCCGCGCTGCGTCTGTGTTGCTCCGAGCTGCACTACGAGATTGAGCAATCCGCTGAGGAGGCGGAATTCTGGCGGAACGAAACCCGGGGGCTCGCGGAGGTGCGGCTGCAGGAGGCGCGAGAGGAAGCTGCGGAGGCCGAAAAGAGGGTACGTGGACCAACTGTTGAAGTCTTTCACTTTTTCAGGATCCGCTTCCAGCCGGATCGACTGTAAGGCTTGACGGTGGTTACGAAGGCAGTGAGCTTCGGTCATATGCTTGTCGACCGCCGCTGCAGATGAGCCGACGCCTTCGCGTTTTGTGTCCGAAAGCTGTAGTTATTGTGTCTGAAAGCCTTCAAAAGCTCTAGGAGCCTCGTCGTTCTGGCACGCTCTCAGTCAATAGGCGGCGGTTCCAAACATCTGTGCGCGTTTGACGTTGATATCTTGGCTCACAATCTTAAACGGTGCATAAATTTCGATCTGGAATGCGAATTTCAGATCGTTTAGATCTGGGAAACGAAGTAGAGATTTTGTGTCCTACTTGGAACTGGTACTCTCAGCCCGCACAACAATCATCAGATAATTTCTCAGGACATCGGCGTCTTCGTCACGACCTGATTACCTGATATCCTAAGCTCTCTCTGAACTTTTCTTTCGTCGAGCGAACGGCCCCCTGTTTTAGGCGGTTTGGCCACTTTCGACGACACGTGGCATCTCGATTTCCTTTTGGGGTAAGCACCTGGGCCGGCCCACGACGGGCCTCACACATTCCCAGACTGAAGCAATCCAAGAATGGCAGAAGGCCGTGAAGTCAGTTTCCGCTTTGCAAGACAAAATCATTCACCTCATCGAGCTCGAGCGCTCAGGCGAAGAAGAGGAGACCAACGACGAGATCTGGGTCGACTCAGACGGAGAATTGCAGATTCGATGGCGAAAGGAACTGAGCAAGAAGAGTAGCCGGTTCTTTTGGACAGGCATCGACAAAAAAGTCAATAGGGTTGGCTGGCCGTGGCTGCCAAAGGGAGTGACCGTTTCCGAGGAGCGCAAGGCTGCCGTTATGGAGGAAGCGTTCCGTGAGATGCGCGAGGTCTACGAAGGCTTGCAGCGCGAGCTCGCGCGCTCGGCGGCTGAAGCGGAGAGCTTGCGCAGGGCTGCGCCAGAAACGTGGAACGTGGGGGATCCAGTAACGAATGAGGGAGGGCAGGTTGAAGTCGAAAATGATCAAGCAGGAGAGTGAAGACTAAATGGTTCTGACTGCCATTGCGAGACAGAGGGAAACGAACAATATAAATTTAGACTTGTGATCCTCTTCGTGATTTCTCTGCCAACGTCCGGGATGCATGCTGTGAGAGCGAGTACATATTTTTATCACAGTATTTGCGAACCGTACTTAGTACACAACTTGGCCAGGGTCCGACCTGTGCTATGCTGCCGCAGTACTGTACTCGGTCACAATTCTCCGACAACGTTGGACTAGGTATTTAGGCGGACCCTTGTCGGCAATCAATCGAAGGCAGTATTGGCGGGCTGTTGAGCTCGGGCTGAACACTGGGTGCATGTCATCATGCGTGACGGCCGGCCGGGCCGGCCGCACATGCATGGCACGGGCCGCAAAAAATGATTTTGGTTGAGGCAAACGGTGCATACATCTCGTTTACGATATCGAAATGGTTGAGCTTAGGAACTTCACTGCATGTTTGTGAGGCTCGCTGCGCGGCATCCACAGCCACAGTAGTGATTTGCATGACTAGCGAACGGAAGTCGAGATAATCTATATACCGCTTGCAAGCGGATCAAAATTCCCATATATATGTTCCATGGCGCCGGAATCACGATATCATTTGTCCGTCAGGCAAGCAGCTAATATAAAGTCTGCGGATGACAATGCACCGGCTCGGCCATACCACATGCGCGTGCCGCAGCTATATTGAATCAAGTAAAGACCGGTAAACATACTTTTTCCTTTGAAGCAACGTATTAGTACCGGTAGGTTGTTATCACAGTGACAGAAGCTCATGCATGAATTTTGCATATCTTCAGCTAGCCTGCCTGCCAGCCTGAGCCGCGCGCCCTACATGACCGGATTCCGACTCGACACGCAGTCCACGGTACACCACAGAGATTACATCAGCCAATTTATTGGTCGTCTCAGTAGAATGATGAGGCACTGAGCACCAGCCACATGTGCATCGGCATGACGCTCAGTTCATCAGTGGCGGCATGATGCAGCAATGCGTAAGCTCAGTGATGCGTGTTTTGTATCCGGTCGCCGTTGCACAGCACGCGGCCACAGTGGCAAGGCTGTACTCCGCACAACTTACAGTATGAGCGGGGAGCGATTCACGTATTTTTAGTACAATGCGGAACGCAACTCGACGAATCAAACCGAAAACCGTATAGCCGAATATGGAAAACTTACAGAGCCAGCTGGCTCGTTGGACTGGCAAGGGATTCAAAAATCTGGCCCTGAGCGAGTCAATCCATCTACCTACATGCACAGTCAAGACTTTCACGGCAGTCTCGTCCAATCGACATGAACCATTAGCACGTTCCTCGAGTAGGTTCCATGACAATTCCAACTGACACAGCAATCTGCTTTCAAGCGTTAAACCCTCAAACTACTATCCCCAAACCAACCGACCTAAGGTTGACGCCTACGCAGCACCTTCGGCTCCCTTTTACCACCTGCTGCGCGACCCCCCCCTGGGCTCCTCCCTATCCCGCGACGGATACGCCGACGAACCAGCGGCCCTCCTCGACGGAGGCACGTATCCCCCGGACGGCCTCTCCCCGTCTGCCGGTCTTGCTGGGGGGGGCGCAGCAGCGGCCGAGTCTGCCCCCGGTCGGCGCAGGTGCGCCGGAACAAACTTGCCGGGTGCAGGGGCCGGCCGGTCGTCCGAGCGGGCAGGCAACGGCTCGCGGGAAGAGACCGGTTCGCGGGCGCCGCGGGGGCGCCATTTGTCCTCTGATACGGCGGCGGCGGCAGGGGCGGCCGGTGCGGTGTCGCGATCGCCGGCCGCGGGACGCGGGCGCTCCCAGCGGTCCTCTGAGGGCGCAGCACGGGCGGCAGGCTCTGCTGAAGAGGGAGGAACAGGTGTGAGATCATGACGGCTTGTTTACCACGGCAGTCTCGGCAGGTTTGATAGCAAGGATGATAGCAAGGAGGCTCAGGAGCAAGAAAATATCAAAGGGCGCCTGAAAAGCCAGCAGGACTGCCAACAGCGTGGGCCACGAGTACGAGGACCAAGTGGAAAAGCCTAGTGATGAGCAGCCCGGCTGCACAAAGTGTGAAAGACAAACAGAAAAAACCACTGTGCTATGTGAGCATCCCTTCGCCAAGCAATCTCTCGACGCACCACTTTGCGGCGTTCTGTTCCAGCACTAGATGCACAACCACAATCGTACAAATGGCAGTGAAGAAGCGACTTGTGATTGGCACAACTGCTTGTGTGATCAGACCGCCAGACTACAATCCCCATACGAAAGTGCAAACCCGAAAATAGCGCCAGCTCCCACCTGGGCCATTCCCCCGCCGGCTGGGCGGCAAGAAGTCAGCACAATTGCTTCAGCCAAATTCCGTTTCCATTACTTAAACGGAAGTGCAAACACGGATTTGGCGCCAGCTTTGACGTGTGGCCCTGCCCCGCGCCTTGGCAGCACGAACTTGGCCGCCTTTTCTCGCGCTTCAGACCAATCGCCGAGCCCATGTTTCTCAAATGGCAATCCACACAAAAGTTCCAATCCTCAAAACGGCACTGCCAGAACAAAACTTTAAGCTTTAGATATGAACTTAAGCGACAGCTCTCACCTGTGGCCTTCCCGCGCAGGCTGGGCGGCACGAACTTGGCGGGCTTCTCGCGCTCCTCCTTGAGCAGGCGCTCGCGCTCCTCCTGCGCGCGCCGCTGGGTCTCCGCCTCGCGCTCGCGCTGCCGCGCTGCAATCTCGTCCAGCTTGCGCAGCCGCTCCTCCTCCTCCGCGCGCTTCTTCTCGTCCTCTGCAACACGCGAGAAGTCGTGAGTCATTGGGTGCAGGTTTGGCCAAGCAACAGAAGGAGAGTGGGCTTCCGAGCAGACTCGTGAGTCAGCAGTCCAGTCGCTTCTTCTCCCCGCTTCGTGTCCTCCTCTACATCCCCCAAAGCAAAAGCAGGAGGCGTAAGGCTTCCTCTGAAGTGGAATAACAAGAATCTATGACCGAAGGTTCCAGCAGCGGAATAACGGACCACCAACCCGCACTTTGCCCGCATGATGGTCCGCCAAAACAGGAACATCAGCAATAACCGGTTCGTCTCAGAATCAAGCCTACACAAATTCATCACCCAGACCTCAAAAGAAGCGAAATGAACTCGGTCCTCACCTTCGCGCTTGCGCGCCTCCTCCTCCTCCCGCTCCTTGCGCACGCGCTCCTCCTCCTGGCGCCGATAGTACTCCATCTTGCGCCGCTGCGCACGCTCCTGCTTGCGCAACTCGCGCGCTTCCGCGAGCCGCTCCTCGCGTTCGCGCTTGAGCCGCTCGAACTCGCCGCGGCGGCGGTCGACGACTTGTTCTTCGAAGGTGCTCTTGTCGCCCAGCATGCGCGTAAGGCGGTGCTTCTCCTTGAGGTCCTTGGCGTGCTGCTCCTGGCTCTCGCGGGCCAGCTCCTGCGACGATAACGAAGTTCTCTTTAATCCTCAACCGAGACGAGAAACGGTATGTCAGGAATAAACAAGAAATGCTTTCCCTTTTCACAATTTTCGCGTGCTGCTCCTGGCTCTCGCAGGAAAGCTCCTAAGGGAGTACGGAAGGTGAGTGCTTTCCAGACAGCGTGCTCTACCTAAGACCCTTCCTGCGATATCTACTCTGTCAAATGCAGATTCAGACCGTCCAGAACAAACTTGTTTCGACAGTTGCTGCGGAGAATCTCGGCAAAGGAGAGCTTGTTTTGGGTTGACAGAAAGTGTGTCAAGATATTCAAAACAACGTTTGACGGGGTAAGAGTAGAAAAAGATAAGGAAAGAGGGTTCAGGCCTTGATACGAAGTTCGTTGCCTCTTATTGACAAGACACTTGTTTCGAAATTAGCAGCAAGAAGCGCTGCCAATGATGGCCAAGTATGACACAGGATTGGTGAGTTGTGCTCTTCTTGGCTGAAGCGGACCAACAGTTACGCTGGCTCCTAACCCATATCTCCTGGCTGTGGGTTAAAAAACAGTAAGAACTAATCGGATCCGCAGCTCCCGTTGCCACTACAAACTCCCTCCCGGCTCTGAAGTAAAGCTTCTAAGGCATAAATAAGAGAGTCAAGCAACAACCCTTACCTCCTGCTGCTGGTTGTAGTAGACCTCGTCGTCCTGCTGGCGCTGCTTGAAGGCCTCGAGCAGCAGCGGGCGCTCGCGCTCGCGCTTGGCGCGCTCGAAGTAGTCCATGGTCTTGGACAGCTTGCTCAGCTTGCGCTCCAGCTCCTGCCGCTCGCGGATGCTCTCCGTCAGCGCCTCCTCCATCAGCTGACGCTTGTTCAGCTTGCCGCCCTCCTGGGAAAGAGGTTGACGACCCGGGAACTCAGCAACGTTGTTAAATCTTGTGAGGCAGTCAAGCTGAGTGAATAGACTCCCTTTGGAACCCTCAGCAAACAATGGAATCTAGTGAAAAGAACTGGCCGCATGTGGAGCATCCTCGATGAGCTGCAGCTTCTTCAACTTCTGAAAGACTACATCGGATGCGAAGGGGTCATGAAACGTCAACAGATGGCCCACATTCAGAACACAGGCCGCCAGAGTCGTAAAATTGGCTTCAAACAGTGCAAGACACCACGAACCTGATACAGCGGATATCACAATTTGACAGACTAGGGACCTGAGATCAAACTGAGCCCTATCGGACAAGTTCCAGGAACGGAAGTGCCGACTGGAGATACCAGGACTTATTGGAATGACAAGCAGTCTCTCGACGGAACTCTGCAACAAGCAACAACAGGCCAACAACCAACAAGACCTGCTTGATAAAGCAAAAGATACACTCAGATACATTCAACCATACGTCTCTTCGACGTAAGAAGCCTAGTCCCCCACTTCCTCACCTTTTTGAGCACCTTCTCGAGGTTCTTCTTGCCGCCCTTCTTGGCGGCCTGCGCGGCCAGCAGCGCCTGCGCCTCGGCCTCCTCCTTCTCCGCAATCTCGGCCTTGATGCGCTCCTCCTGCCGCCGGTGCGCGTCCTGCGCCTGACGCTTGCGCTCCGCCTCGTGCGCCAGCGCCTCCTTCTGCAACCGCTTCTCCTCTTCCAGACGCTCCTGGCAGGGTCAAGGAAAGCGGGTTAGGTCGAGGAACCAACGCAAGGAACCAAGCAAGGGTCGACAAAGAATAATGGAGGGATCAAAGAAGCAGGTTAGATGAATCACATTGGATTGCACTACAGAGCCAACGCAAGGCTTGACAGCAGTTTCATAATGGCAAAAGAAAGTCTTGACAAAGTCTTGACTGCTGAGCAACCGCCCCTCTTACATCTGTTTCTGTACACACATGGCAAGCAGGGAACCAACGCAACCAGACAAACCAAATGATAAGAGGCTAACAGAAGACCGACAAGTTTGAGAAACCACTACAGCGGACTTGGGTTACGAAAACGAAGTGAAACAGGCTAAGTACTCGGTTGCAGAACTGCAAGTGGACCAGGCTGACTGCTTCACAGAGGATGGAAAACTCCTAGCCTGCTTGATGACGCAACTTACGGCCTCCGGTGCACACACCAACCCAATTCAGGGCCTTTGTTCAAACCCTCACAGCAAATGACGAGGACCAGAGGGGCGTCGTCAAAACACGGGGAGCCGCACGAGAAAAAGTCAAGCCCGGCGCACCTGCTCGAGCGCGCTCCGCTCGGCATCCTCCTTGCGCCGCTCGATGATGACCTTGCGCACAAGCGCCAGCTTGTGTTCCTTGAGGATGCGCTCGCTCAGCTCCGCCACGCTGCGCGCCTTACCCTTGCCCTTGTCGTCCGCAGCCTCCGGGTGGATTAGGCTGACGGCCTTGTTCAGGCGGCGGGCAAGAATCACCAGGTGGTTCTTGATGCGGTCAGACTCGAGGTCCTGCAAAAACCATGGCCTCGGGAGGATTGATCACCAGTGCAGTGGGTTCTCGAGGCGCCTTTCTGAAGGAGCCAATGAGAAACAGCAACTAAAAGTAATGCGCCCTAAAATCCCTGTTCCAAGACCTTGCGAGTCGGTCATGGGCGGTTTGGCAGTTGAACTGCACGTGCATCTAGATTCAAACTATCGGCAGCACTGAGGAATCACCACAAATAAAAGCAAGAGCAAGTCTGTTCTCCGCAAAGCTCTGGAGTCGGTACGACCAAGCCAGGGAAAAGCGGATCCAACACTGGACGGATGTCCTGGCTCGATTGGGCCCTCAGATATACGCACAACAACCAGAATTGCACCCGGATAGAAAGCCTATTCTTGTACCCAGAATCGCAGGTAAAAACAAAGTGGTGCAGAGGGAAGCGGCAATACCTGGATGCCAAATCGGACGGTGCCCATTTTGTGGTCGATCTTGGCGGGGAGGAAGCCGTACTTGATGGCGTCCACGGCCACCTTCTCAATGTAGCCAAAGTCGCCGAAAGGAATCAGCTTGCACAGGTGCGTGATGCGGACAGTCTGGTACACGGACGACAGCTGCAGCACAGAGGGGGCAAGAGACTGAGAAGGCGCAAGAACAGGCCGACTTGATAAGATGTACAAATGCGACAGAAATAGGTTCACTTAATGGAGGAAATCGGCCAGATCGTTCCTACCAAAGGACGGGCGCTCATTACAACGAAGCCCCTTGTCTTGAAAGCAGATTTTGGCAGTTTTTAATGTCAACACATGACATGGTCAATACCTTGCAGTAAGGCTTAAAGAGTCTGCTGAGACACTAAAAACAGGAATCAGTCTCCGAGTGTCGCTACTGGGACTGCTGCAAGACTCCATATGCTGATCTCTCCACACTCCGGCTCCAATGTCCTGCCACTTGCCAGTTTGACCTAGAATCCGCTTCGTCAGTGTTTGTGCTCCTTTGAACATGTCCCTCCAGCAAAACAACCAAACACTGACACAACAGCAACGACATCATCATTGTACTTCAAGGTCGTTTCGCAAAAAGGTCGTTCTTTCTGCCATCAAGGAAGACCAGTGAACGTACCTGAGCTAGCAGCTTAGCGGTGGTGACCTTCTGCAACGCAGCCACGTACTCCTGGGGGCGAACCTCCGGGACCGGCGACGCTGGCGAGAGCGAGTCGCCAATGTCAGCGAGCTTTGCCAAAAGGGGCTCCAAGCGAGTAGCCAGATCCAGCGGGTGGAACTCCGTCTCGAGCAGCGAGTAGAGGTCCTTGACTTCTTGAGGGACATATGCGAGGAGGCCCTTGGAGACGATCTCGGAGAGGAGCGCAGAGCGGGACAGCTGCAGGGCAAAACCGGAGGGGTGAGCAGGAGCTAGAAGCGCAGAAGATAGGAGAGAGGATTGACAAAAGGCGATATAAGAGGCAGAGGGGTCGACGCTGTAGTAAAGCCAATTCTGGAGTGATCGCTGGCAAGGCTTAGCAATCAAGTCCCCTTGAGGATCTCCGCCCTGACAGGTGGACGAATGATGACTTGGGAACAAAACAGTGCAGTCTTTATGAGCCGACAAGCTTCTGCCAAGAAGGCAACCGAACTACTGCTGGGATGTATGCCCTTGGGAAGGGCTTCATCGGAGGACAACAAAGCTGATTTCTTACCTGACGTCAGAAACACTCATTGGCAGACACAGCCTGCTAAGATGATTATAGACAACAAACGCCATAAGCAGCAGCTCTCACCGCGGGCACCGCCTCCTTCTTCAGGTCGAAGCTGAACGTGAGCAGGCTGCCCATCCTCTGGCTCTTCTCCTTCTCCAGCTCATTCTCAAAGTGACCCGCCCCGAACTTGCGGTCAAACGGCTCGATCGCCAGGGTGGCGAGCACCACGGCAGATGCCATGAGCTGCTGGTCCTTGGCGGTGAGGTTCTTGTTGTAGTTGCGCTGCAGGTTGTACAGCTTGTACCACGTGTACGCATGGTACAGGTGGCTGCCCGCAACCTGTCGTGAAAAGAGGCAAGTGAGGTTAAGGTCATCAGGGGAGCGTCTTTTAGAAGTAAGTCGCGACTTCTTGCACAAATACAGAGGTCACAAATAGGCACTGCAAGTGAAGGAATGCTTCTCTGCAACACAGAAAAAGGCAGCTGCTGCTGGTAAGTGTGGCCAGGTATTGATAACCATGCTACAATTGTCAATGACAGCATTGCAGGCATTTGTCATGAAAGTCAGGCCTTGAGCACGCAAAAAAATGGAAGTAAAGTTAGGTTCCTTCATCATGAGAAAGACTCCAGAAAGAGTCCTGAACCTCAGACACACATTAAACCTTGTCCTCATACACAAAGAGTAAACTGACAACACCTTATAAAAGAGTGTAATGATTTACGAACTTCTCAGAACTCTGCATTCGTGGCAAATCTCCAGAGCTGGCATCCTCCAAAAGTCACACAACATACTAACACCAAATCTTCCAAAACCTTCCAGCAAGGGAACACCAAGAAACCCGATCCCCAGGCACAGGCTTTTCCTACCCAATATTAGCAAAGTCGTAAAGCCTCGCACCTGGAAGATCTTGGTCAGCTTGGCGTAGTACGCCGCCATCAACTGCGGCTTGGGGACCTTCTTCACAAGCGACATCAGCCCGTGGATGTCCTCCACCGAGCGGAACGCCTCCTGCCACAGCTCCAGTTCGGTCGCAACCTTGAGCTGCTCAAAGCGGGTCTCAGTGTACAGCTGGAGGGTTTCGGGGAGGGACAGCTCGGGGCGGTCCCTCTGGTCGCGGTACTTGTTGAGGTTGGTCAGGTGGTTCCGCAGGATCTCGCACAGCCGCCGGAACTCGGTCGTGCGCTTGTACTGGAGGCAGAATTGGAACGCCTTGTGGGCCGTCATCTGCAGCCGAGGAAGCGGGGAGTGAGCAATTGGAGCAATTAAGCAATTGAAAGTGCAAGAGAAGAACGTTTCTGAAGAATCTGTCATCTACTACGGGCCATCGCATGCAAAGGCCCTGATTACTGAAATGAAGCAGGATGTAATCCGTGAGCCACAGCATGACCAGGAGAGGAGCACTGAACAGTTGGTTCACATCACGGAAGAATTGGGCATGTCCAGCATCGCATCCAAATAAAGGACAGATATTGTCCAAAGTGGATTGCAAGACATCCCCCCTTCAAACCCCCAACTTCACGATTGCAAGTTGGATTGAGGGTCCAAAATCGCTTCTTTCTTGTGCTGTTAGAGAAACTCACAACCTTCCCGCAAGACGAACGACGGCTCTTCTGAACAAGGCACCTTATTGAACGGGTGCACTCCACCCACCTTGTTCAATCCCACAAGTTTTTGAACTCAAACATTGCAGCAGATAACTAAAAGTTGCATTCAAGTCACTTCATCCGAGCCAAGCACACGCCAACATGCACAACAGAGACAAACCCTCACCGCGTACAGCGACTCCAGCTTTGAGTTGTTCCTCAGGATCTCCAGGCACGTCCTGTACGTCTCCCACAGGAACTTGAACCACGGCGTGACGAGCTCCCTGTCATTCCGCTCCTTGCCCTTCTCCGCACTGACGTACGACAGCATCAGATCCTCGGGCCGCTTCTCTGCCTCCAGGTCATCAACATCGAGCACCACCTCCGCAGCCGCAGCCTGCGCCTGCTCCGCTCTTTCCGTGGACAGCTTCAAAAAGTATTTGATGACCTCTTCCAAGGAGTTGACGTTGACTTGCTGGCAGACGATCCGGTACTGGATGAGTCCGTCCTTGGCGAAGCGCCCCTTGCGCATGTCGACGCACAATTCGACGTACTTGAACATGATGCGCTCCAGGGGCTTCTGCCATGCACGATGGCGCTTGGACGTGATGAGGTCGTGCAGCGCCTGCAGCGCGGCCTGCTTCTGGCCGACATTGACCAGCTCTGCAGAGTAAAGAGTGGTGTTTTTGAGAGGTAATCACTTGGCAATATGTATTCTGCGTGAATCTCACAGTGAGAAGCAAGGACTGATCAATGACAGAGTGCTCGAGAAAAGGCTTCAAGTGCATCATGAGTATCAGCACAAAGAACTCGACAATTTCAAAATGGGTTAATTCCAAACAAGGGGCCGAAACCTTCGTACAATTGCTCGGAGACAGACGGACAGATGTCTGCCGTTTGAATTTCACAAACCACTCTTATGCATCAGAATCATGACCATTGAGACACCAAACATTTAAACTGCAGCAAGCAATATTGGCAATTGCTGAGAATGTAGGAGCTATCGCAGTGGCAATGCTTGACTGAGCAGCCATAGCTCGCATATGAACACCACTCCAATGGAGTGATAATGGTTTGTTTGATGGCCTCGTCAGTACATCCGCCAAGTGATGGCGTTGAAAGGTTGAAACTATCGAAACCATTACCAACCCAGCTTTCAAAAGCTACTTGAGCAGACTCAACTCTGGCACACAGTCCGTTGATATGTTTCTGACTAACAATTGACCTTAATAGGCCCTCAGCACAATTGAAAGTCCACTGGAACTCAAGCCTTCGTCATAGAGACCGCTCTTCAAACCCCACCCTCAGAGACAGAGTTGCCTTGCATTGATTGGTTCAACCCTTGCGCTTCTGATATGAATACACAACATTCTGCTACAAGGCTTCTACCATTGGCGTTGATTTTGGTGATAAGCATTTCACTGCATACAATTCAGGCATTCTAAAAAAATCCATACATAGATGAAGGCAAGGATGGCTTTTGTTTGAACGCATCACTTGATGACAAGGATAAACTTCCCACCGGATCCCTTGAGTCAAAGCGCTTACCTTCAGCGCGCTTGAGAGCATTCTCCGGCTTTGCAAAAGTCGACATGTCTGCGGACCTTCAGACAATCACGGGCGCACCGGCCAGTTTTATCCTACTATCCACTCCTTGACACCTTGGCGACTCAATTGCACAAGAAGTTGGGGCACCTGATTGGCTCAATCTGTCCAACGTCTTCGTCCTCCTCAGACGCAAGTCAAACACTACCAATGCGCCTTGAGCGGGCGCCAAGGCCAACACACTTCAAGTTTGACTCTCAGTCTGATGAGCTGCTCGCGCCAACTTTGTTGTGGACAGCTTCCTTGCACTGACAGCTTGACACTACCTTGCGCGATGAATTTGTGGCCAATCCAGGTTAAGATGCAAAGCATCGACAGTGTCAAAGAAGACGACAGAAAGCCAGCCTAAGGGTCTGTGACACTATAGCTAATACCTTAATACTAATAGGTCTAACAATACGGGTCAGGGAGACATGGTGCCAAGTTTCGGGCCCAGCTTGCTCAAAATCTTTGTCGTGCTATGAATCAGCCTCAAGCCTCAGCCTCAAGCCTGTGTGATGCTCTGCCTCTGCCACTGGTCAACCACTGGTGCCAGTCCTTCCCTGAAGAGAGACGCGCAAAGGCATGGGAGCTTTATAGGAGGAGAGGGGGCCAGAAGGGCGAGGGATAGGAACTTGGAGTCTAAAGGCCGGATCAAATTGCAGAAATTGGTCGAATCAGCAAGCATCACGGGCAGCAGATCCTAGGCGGCCCAATCGTGAAACTCAGAGCGGCCAGTGTTGAGCGTCTTTGTGCAAGGATAGGTACTCTGCTTCCGTTCACTCAGCAAGACCTTAATACGTAGAAGGCAGATTACGGTTCCCCCCTTTTCAAGGTTCTCAAGCTCAGATCAATCTCTCGGGGGTTAGGGTTTTGGCTTTGCATGCCCTACTCACACGAATTTGTGCGCTGAACGCTGACCTAAACTTGAGCATTACAGACGTTCATCATCAGGTAGAACTGCAGATCCATTGGTCTTGAAAACACCGATTGCCTCATCCAGCATGGAAGGGAGGGGGGTTTTGGTATTGATTGTTGGCCTGTCTCTTCTGGGGACTTTCCAGACAGCTCAGAGTAGTGGGGTCCAGGAGAATTCCCTCTTTCTTCCAGCTTTCCTGTGGTCTGACCAGAGGTAAGATTTGGGCAAACCGCAATTCTCACATTCTTCATCGTCAGCTTTTCCTGCTCGTAATTTTGTATTTAGGAACCTGCACTCTCGGCTTTGATGTGCACCATCTTGCAGAACGTCGTGTCGCAGCTTCGATTACTTCAGGCAGCTTGTATCAAACCAATCTTCGAAAGCAGTCTGTCCACGAAAGAGTTTGCGGCAGTATCTGAAAGGTGGACTTCGCGCTTTTATGATGCTGGCTTGTATCTTTTATCAAAGGTCCCAAATCTGGCTTGCATCCATTGGCATTGTGTATGCTTCGTCGATTACGCCCGGGATGTCTTGCCACAATGAAGGTGATCTGGAGCAATGTTTCTGTGGATTCTCAGGCTTAATTGTCCTTTTTTCTAATTCTTGCCTGGGCTGCTCTTGCCAACCACCTCCAATTGTCAGCCTTTCAGCAGCTGTTGGGAGTCTTTAGCCCTTGCTGGATTCAAGTGAACCTGTAAGCTGAATCAGAGTACCTACAACTGAGCAACAGGAAGTTGACTTGTGTACAATTGTCCTGCTACAGTTACTTCGATGGAACTCATCACACCAAGTATGAGACGATGCCAGCCGAATCCGTCATGAAGGGATTGCTACATGGCCTGGTTCAAGCCTCCAACAACACCGTTCTTGATGCAAGGCAGCCGTCGTTGCTCCTCGTCTTTGTTGGCCAACAGGTATGATATCTTGACAGTGAATCATCCACTTTGCTTAATCTTCAACTTTGCGTGAATATTAGTTTCTTGGATTGTGAGTGGGACATTAGTGGCAGAAAGTTGAGAGCAACTTACCATAGTTATCAAGCAATTAGGTTCTCTTTCGTGTTGCTAAGAGGCCCTGCCTCAGAAGAGCTATGCCTGAAAGGATGCATGCCGAGTCTCGTTTAAGAATTCGGAACCCAATATTTGACATTTTGCGCTCCATCACAGATTCGCACCAAGCATCTTGGAGGGCCAGAATCGATTGAGAGTGCCCTCGCTCCTTTGAAGGTATGTCTCCTGCAAATGTACACTGTTGGCCTGGCATTCTCAAGAACGCACGCAGCACTATCTGTCCGCCCTTGCAGGGCTAATTGATCACGTTACGGAGCCTTCAGCTTCCACCGTTGTGTTTTCTTTGACCTGGATCATTGAGCGCGCTGAGCAAAGTCAAACCTTCTGAGCTGCTCTGCCAGGATTCTTCTAACCACTCTTTACCGAGCTTATCACTGTCGGCCCCCCCCCTTCTACAGAAAGCGCTGGGTGACTCTCAGTCCTCCCTCGTCCTTCCCTACGTCACGCTATCCACCAAGCGGGCCCATCTGGCAGTTGCGCTCCAGCAGGGGCTGAGCCGTGCAGCGTATCAAGGGGCGCGGATAGGACAAGTCGCAATCGCTGGGCCCTGTGCAGCGGCCCTTGCTGAGACCGAGTTAATCAGCACTGCCGAAGTCAGGGTGAGAAATTTTGCTTTGGCACGCCTCGTCTGGCGCATGTGTCCTGAAACATTTTCTGTACCGTGCTCCTGCTTTATGAGCTCCCATTCAATCGTTTTGGCAAAGGTCCGCAGTCAAAGGTTGTCTGGCCAAGGTCAACGGAGTTTTGCGTAGAGGGCTACTGAGCGACGAGCTTGGTCTTGATCTGCATTAATGAAAGGACGAACGTATCAAAGCTTGAAGTTTGAGATGCAAGATTTTGATAAAGTAACCTCTTGTGCTTCGCCAATGTTATCGTCTCTGATAAGTACCATGCTAGATTATTGGAAAGACCCAGTATTTCAGGGCTGCTCGTCGTCAAAAGCTTGCTTTTGGACGGATTATAAGCTCGTCTCGTGCTACTTCTCGCTCACTTCCATAGAACCTGTATCTCCTCTTAGCCGAAGGTTGAAGTGCAAGTCTATTAGAAAGGTATGCGGACATGGCTAAGCACCTGTTCATCTGCTGTTCTCAATGTCCAGAAACTGAAAAAATTTACCGTTGCTGCAGGCTTACCTGGGGAAGCGGGCAGACGAGAGAGAGGCCGGCTCCACTGATGTCCTCGTTGTGTGCTCCTCTGCGGCTGCTGGGGATGCCTCATCAGAGGCAGATTGCCTGGTCAGCGAAGGTGAGCGTCAAGCCCTATCTATGCTTGTAGGAGGATGCTTCTCTTTTTCATGCACGAGTCAGTGTCTCCGGCTCGATGTATCTCCACCCTGACAGATTGTTCGGGTTCTGACATGACGCTCTAGACTTGATGGAGGCTTTTGACGTTTTCCCTGAGTCTTGAAGTCCACAATGAGGTTGCAGCATCGGACACGCTGTTTCCCTACAGTTTTAGCGGATAGCATGGCAGCAGATATGGCAGCCTCTTCACAGAGGGTCAAGCTACTGCACAAGGTTTCAAAAGGCCAATTTAGCCGTGTCTTCCTGAGGCATGGAAACGAAGCAAGACTTTCCGTGTTCTGGAGATCAACTGAGGCCGACTGCAATCCTTTCCACGGTTTAATCCTTATTCGTTTACCTACCCAAATCCAATAAGAACTCTGCGACCAGCCAGTCCGTACCAGCGCTGGAATCCTGAGTGCAATTTGAGATTTTGGACGGATTCTTGAAGAGTCAAGGAGGTCTCAACGACAACTTGATTTAGAGTCCCCCGAATTGTCAAGTCGGAACGTTTTTTCCCTCGTCTATTTGCTCATAGCCGCCCCTCCTGCTGCAGTGGCCGAAATGGCCGAAGTCCACGAGGCTGTTAAGGAGACCACCTCAGACTATTTGGCGGCATACCTCACCGACCCGTCAGATGGGACACGGCTCGGCCGCACGCACCGGGTCCTGCAAGCTCTCAATGAAGACCCCGCAGCGGGGAATGCTACCACTTGTAACGAGCTGTGCAAGACGAAGGCCGTCATCATCGAGACCGCTCTCATTGTGAGTATTTATCCGAAAGATCATAAGGCTGAGTCTGTCTTGGAGACCTTCCTTTCGTCCGTTGCATTGAGAACGATCAATAGCTAACCAGTCTGATCGCACTTGCCGCGGGAGCGTATTCGATCCATCATGGTCTTGATTTAAATCATTGTTCAGAGACTTCTGTCGAGTCGTGTCGTTGTTATCCTGCCTTTGTTGCCTCTAGTCCTGATGGACCTCTCCTTCCTTTGACAGGGCCTTCTTCTGATCGTGATCTTGTTGTGCGGTCTGAGCTGCGAGTTCCAGTTGGACACCCCTACCAAGTTCGAAGTTGCAAGGGATTGAGGTTAGTGGCCTGCTGAAGAGAGGGCTATTGGCAGTGATAGTCCGTATCTGGACGCCGTGCGGCTTTGCTCTGCAATCGTACTCCCACAGTCTGCTCAGCAGTAGGGGAAGCATCGCATCACCAGTCACGAGCAGTGGAAATTTGTATAGAAGCAGAGAAGCGTAGATGTCTCAGAACCCTTTCATTAGTTGACGTATACTCTCTGAAATGAGAATGCTCTCTTCTTTTCCTTATATGACTCCAGCTGTATCGTCTTTACCATGAGCCGAGTAAGTCGAGGCTCGACCTTTGGTCTTGGTAACACCTTTTGTGAAATGCTCGCGCGTCGTGCTCCACAACTTGATTAGCAGGCTGTCAGGCAACTTGTTGAGGCCAGAGCGAGAGCCAGGCCAGGCCCTTCGTACCCCTTCCGTTGATTGAGGTGTTGGATCATGCAACACTTGACATTCTCAGGGTGGTCACCCGAATGTCGGAAGGTGAGATTGAGAACTCGAATTTTGCATGTACCCTTGTCTAATGAACCAATCACCCCTCGTAAGAGATGCCACAATCAGTGTGCTGATGGATTGGAATGGAACAAGCGATATAGCAGCTCATGGTCGGGCCCTTGCAACCATTTTATGCCGCGGTCATTTGCATACGCCAAGCTCTAGAGGTTGCCATGCTTGGACGTTTAATCTTGATGCATGCAGCTCCCGCATGGCTCCTCTATCGTAGAGCTGCAATCGTTTGTGTTCTGCGGCTGCAACCATGCACTGAGCCTGATCGTATTATCATTTGAACGGACCCGGGCCGCCCTATGGGCGGCCATGCATGCCAGAGATATAAACGTTCCGAGTAGTGAGTATATATCTAGGTCATGGCGGCACCGTCGCAGCCCTGGCATGACCCTTATGCACTGAGTACTATAACGAACGTACCGTCATGAGGTGCCAGCACTCAGAATGCAGCTGTACGGTATGGAAAGCTAGCCTCAGTGCTCGTCGCACATGTGCAACTAGTTGTGCATATCCGCGGGCATGTCAACGGGCCGGATGATGCACATGTATATAGCTTCGGACCGTCTGGCACATATGCACGCAGCCATACGTGTACATAACTGATTTCGATTGCTTCGTCTGCAGCACGTACATATATGCACTGTGCTAGGGCGGCCGCCGTTACATACATGCATGCCATATGGACTAAACAATGCATCCGATCCTCAAAATCATTTTCAAGTTTGCTGTCATTTATACTAACATGAATTTATAACGGCCCTACACAGTCACTTTGTTCCGTTAGACTAGCTAGTAGACCATCAACTTACTTAAGGCAGATTGGATCCGACAGACCCGCGCATCAGTTGGCCATTCTAAGAGTTTCAACATAAACTTTGGTCACTTGTTCGGACATGATGCGCATCAGTTCCAATGATGTATTGCTTGAACATTTCACTACCGGTATGTACAACAGTTAAGGATCTGCCATTGCACGTTTCTGCAGAGCACCAGATGGACCAATGATCTCTCGAGAGATGCCAGAGATGAAACACTTACAATTGAGGAGTCTGTCAACTTGTGGCTTCAGAGTAGTTGCTTAAGCTTGGAGCCGTTGAGGCAAGCCACAATAACTTAGCTACCTTGCTTCTGGCAAACTTCCTTGTGAGCAAGTTTCCACGCCTCCTTCTGGCACTCTCTACTACAATATGCTGTGAGCTTACATTGGCTGCACATTCTGAATTCCCTCGAGCGGGTCTCAAACTGCTTGCAACCAGCTTTTGAGCACTTCCTAGGAGGCTCTGGATGAATTGGATCTTCCTTGGGGGAACAACTGCAAGGTATGCTTGGCTCTTGGGTTGGGGGAGAAAGGGGTGCAAATGCATGTCCCAAGCATATCTTCTTTCCTTGGGTCGCGTAAATCTGAGAAAGAGCTTTAGACCGCTCTAAAGCAGAGGCGCTTCGACGGGCCTCCTCTTGTACAAGGAGCTCTTGTTGCTCAGTCAAGCCACCTACCAAGACACGATCATACTCCTCTAGTTCTATCACCACCCCTCCCTTGGCTTGTAAGTTCGTCCAGACAACTGCGCGGCCTAGGTGACGAGCAAAGGTGGCAGCATTGGCGCAGACAACCAGGGCCTTGGCAGAATCAACTAGCAGCGGCTCACCACAAAATTGTGAGCGGTAGGTTACGAAGTGGGCGGCAGCTATTCTACCCATGAACTTTATCGCATACTCAATCTCGTACCGTGACGAACTCCTGCTCAACACTCTGGTCAGAACTTTAAGGCAGTCCGCAGCGATCTTTTCGAACGTGCTAGTCGGGGCAAGCGGAGGAACATGCTGGAACACAGCGAAGGCCCTGATCACATAATCCTCGCGGTTGGGATCTCCAAGACTGTCCAGGATCCGTCGTAAGAGACGGCTGAGAAACCCATCGAGCCTCGCAATCTTCCGCCGTGCTTGCTCCGACCAGACCAAAATGAGGGTTAGCACCCCCAGAATCTTCATCCCAGAATCGTAGACCACCATCTCAGGAAGACCCCCCATGCCGTCCGGAAAGCGAACGCTCTCCATCCGGTACACCTTTGACAGGGTTTCGAGCAGGCCCGGCGCATGGTGCAGAATGAACTTTATCGTCCTCGTGTCGTGGACCAGTCTCTTGAGAAGGCATGTGTACAAAACCACCTTGTTTATTGGCTCGTCTGCGCGCCCGGTCGTGCGTGCCTCCAGCACCTCCACCCAGTCCCCCCTGGCAGCCGTTTCTAACCCGGAAACGACCACCGGCAGAAACCCATTCTCCAGCATAAAGATTGCCGCCCCGATCGCATTGTCAACACGGCCTAGCAACTGCAAAGGGTCCGGAAGCGCATCTGCCAGCTCTTTGAGCGCAAGCAACCTCTCTTGACTGGTTCCAAAGAGTGAAGTCCCCAGGGCATATAGGTATCAGGAATGGACACGCCCCGGATTCCTCGAAATTCACTGACTGGGTGGGCTTTCGAAAGAGTGCGTTCCTCTGGGCTAGTTCACCTTGTCTTAAAAAGCTGCTTCCACTGTTCTGAGCCATCTCAGAGTCAGAGATGATCTCTACCCAAGCTGCAGAAAGCGAGGAATTGTGACAGAGCAGACTTTGTCAAGAAGCCATACCTTTCCTAGCTCTGGAACACACGAGGAAATGCACGCCAGAAGCCTTGGCCTGCCACCTTCACGAACAGTACTGTTGATGACTGCTAGGACTGTACTGTTACAGGTTGGGCAGGCGCATTGAAGTTGAGTTGATGCATGATGTCAGACGCCATGATGGGCCCCGGCTGGCCATTCAATGCCGCCTTGCGGAAGGCCCGCACACCTAGTTCCACAACCTTGTGCATTCGTGACCGTCGATTGGCAAATATGAACGAGTAGACGGCAGGATGCTGTTCTCAGCAGAAATTGAGCGCACTTTCGAGCCGTCGATCGCGACAATCCTTTCAGAATTTTGAAACTACGTAGAATTTGGGCCCTTGAAACGGCTACTTTAGAAATCGGACCGGGCATTTGGACCGTCCGATGTACTGGATATGCAATCTTGACCGTCGGCACCGCCTTTCCGCGGATTTCCAAAGCCAGAAAAACGGCAAGAATCTACGTCTGAATTTGTTGCACAAGTCAAAAGCAAAGTCGCTCTGTTTGACCATGCAGCTCCTGTGGACCTGCACAGTGCACTGGCAAGAGTTGGGGAAGAAGGAGCCCAGGAGGGCATCTCCATGGACGAATGCAGGAGGCATCTTTGAATTGGAAGATTGGATTTGACAGCCCCCTACCTTCCTAGGGCGTTTCCATTAGGGCCCAAAGGGGCGATATTGAGACGCTTCAGAGGCTAGCGTTGTTCTGTCCTTGAACAAGTAAGTTTTGCAAGGAGAACTCGAATCTCTAGGGGAGGAGGTAAGCCAGCAAAGGGCCAGTAGGTATTGGTCTTCCCTTGCTTGTAGAGCGCTTCGCAATTGCAATATGTAGTAGCATCTAGCCAGTGGGCGATTGTCATTGAAGCAGCACGTAGAATGGCAGCAGAGTTTGAGCAACTGCTGGCGGACCTCCGCACGCTTGTGGATGAGAAGGTGAGAAGCGTACCTGCCCACAGTAGGTTTTCCACTCCATAAGAGATAAGAGATCCACTGCATGGTAAAGTTACTGGAGTCACATTGTGGTAGCTCACGTGCAAACATTGCGCTACCTTTGTAAGCCCACTCTACTCATAAGACAAAAGCTCAGAACGTTCCTGCGTCCTGCCCATCTCTCCTTTGAGTAGTTACACGTTGGTGGCTTGCTCATTGAAGCTTTGCAAAAGCTGATCTCCAGCATGCTGAGGGGATTGGCAGGCCGTTGCTCCCTAGTATGACCAAAAGGTCCATTCTGCTGCAGAGTGCGTGTTACGCAGCCTAGCCGTCTCCTATGCTTGGCTCAAACAGCCTCAAGACAGCAGCAAGGAGACCTTAACTCCAAAAGCTACTCTACCACACTCCAAGTCAGTGGGCTGCCTGGCTCTAGCCCGTGCAGCGACAGTTGCACCTGCAGCCCCATCTGACTGCTGAGTGTCTTCTCTGTGCAGCTTGGCGAGATCGAGCATGCGCATCATGGGCACGCCAGGTGGCTGGAGGACAAAGGGCGAAAGTTCTTGCGGGCCATTGACATGGTGGCCCAAGGATCAAAAGATGGGGGATTCAAGGTAGTTGCCTTCTCTCTGTTCCTTTGCTTGAGCGACACAGTTTTGACCGAATGCAAAAGCCGTTCCTGCCAGGCTTGAGCATCGCTCAAAGCCAAGCACGCAAACTTGTTTCCTCTCGAGGTAGATCAAGCCAGAAACTCAAAGGCCCTCCAATCAAAGCAACTGAAAGTGAGAGTCTGGTTGCAAGTCCAAGATGCATCCTGCGTTTGGTTTGGCGCAAATGCTAGGTCAAAGAAGGCCTTTTGCTTGCTAGCAGAACACCTGTTTGCATTGCGGTCTTCATCAAACATCCCAAGGCCTCCGACCAACTGGTCTGATGGCCGTCAAAGTTCTCTTTTCACCTGCTCCTGATCCTTTCAGAAGGCCGTTCCAGCCCAGTGCTGCTCCTTTCCCATAGCAGCCCAGTTTCTGGTCCTGTGCCAGTTTGCAGACTCCCTCTGATGAGCTGTGTGCAGCTTGATCTTTCATTCCCAAAAATCGGCACCTCGTTCTGCAGGTACCACAAAGTAGGAAACCCAAACAGGGGGCGCGGGGCCCTAATGATGAGAACATCCCCCCTGGTCAACATGCGTTTGCGGCACAGACTCCTGCGGCGGTCAAGAAGGCGAGGGGTCTCGCAGAGGAGGCGACGCCCGCACTGCGAGTATCCTCAAGGCAGCGGCAGAAAGTTCTTAGGTAAGAAGGCTATCGAGCGTGCTCCTTGAAAAGTTCAAGATGAAACTGTATATTGGAGAACTTCGCTCTTGCTGATTGGCAGAGATAGCAAGCCCTCTGCCTAGTGTTTGGGCCAGTTAAAGCCAGCTGTTCTTGAAGGTTCTGGCAGTGCAATATTCTCAGTCTTCGCAATACAAATGAGCAGTAGGCCATTCTGCGGCAAGGGACTTGCTTAAAATAATCATGCATCGGTTCCTGCAACCTCAACCCTCTTGCATGAAGTCCTTGCCAGTTCACATCTGAGAGACAAAGTAGCACATCTTTCGTTGCAGAATTTTCCAGCTCGGCGGGTGGTTGGTCTGAACAGCGCAAATGGTAGATGCAGCTCAGAGCTAGCCCTCTTGAGACAATGGAACATCTGTGCAACACTTTGAGCCCCTATTCTTGCTAGAGCCGTTGACAACTCTGAGTTTGTTGTAACCTGCAGAGACGTCCCGCCAAGCAACAAGCTCTCATCTGCAACACCTGCACCCCAGTCGGCCGCCCAGCCATCAACCAGAAGCTCTTCCCGACAACCTACGGAGGATTTGACCCCTGCGCGAGATGACAGGACAACCACTCAGGCGGTCCCTGAGAACGTCCCGGCTTCAGTTCCCGCCGTTGACACCGCAGTGCCAAAGGAGAGAGCAGAAGAGAGCGCACCAGCTGCTGCTGCTGAGACTGTCGCTGCGGAAAGTGTCAAGCGGTCCTCAGGGGCGGATGCTGACCGATCAGATAAGGTGGAGGTTCAGAAAGAGGACACCGGCGAGGGAGAGGCCGAGGCAGCGGGTAGAGAAGAGGCTGCAGAGGTTGCAGAAACTGAGCGAGTCGTTTACACCAGGCGGGCGAAACAGGCTGCGGCGGGTCAGGTTCGGTCAGAGGAGAAGAATGAGGAAAAGAGTTTGAGGAAGCGAAAGGGGAAGCGAGGAGCCGAGGAGGCGGTTGCCGATGAGCAAAAGGGGTCGGCTGAGAAGGAGGCGCCTGCTGGCGTCATGCAGGCGGCTGCTGATGTCGCGGAGACGCCAGCTGAGGCCAAGGAGACGCGTGCTCGAGGTAGTGGCGGTTCAAAGAAGCGGAAGGAAAAGACGGGCTTGGATGAGGCGGTTGTCAGTCAGGAAGACGGGCCCGTTGACAGTCCCAAGGAGCCTGCTGAGGTGAAGGACTTGCCTGCTGACGTCAGCAGGACACCTGCTGGGGGCAAGGAGTTGCCTGCTGATGTCAGCCAAGTCCTTCGAGACCAGCAGGACTTGCTGCCACCTGGCGAGGCCCCATTGGTTAACGCTGCTGTAGAGCATGGGGGGCCTGTAGAAGGGCCCAATGTAGCAACGGAAGTGGTGAAGGAACCAGAGGCGGAGACGGGGGCTAAGCGCCGGGGGAAGAAAGAAGCGGTTGATGATGCAGCAACCAGAGGGGCAGAGGCAGACTTGAAGCAGACGGCCAGTGAGACTGTGCCAGCTGGTGGGCGGATGACGCGGCGGCGGGCCAAGGAGTTGGGAGTGGACTTTGAGGCTCTGCCGTCAGGGTTGGTCGACGGGAGTGAGGTGAAGGCGGGTAAGAAGGGGAGACAGACAAGGAAAAACAGGAGAAAGGAGTTGGACGAGGGCGCAATCCGGCAGCAGGCCTTGGAGAAAGAACTAGAGGCGGCGGGCGCACAGGTAGAGGCCGCTGCTGACGCCAAGAAGCCGGCGGAGGCGCGGGAAAACGGGGCAGGGGGGGAGACGACGCCTGCCAAGCCGAGCGGGGGGGATGCGAAGGAGGGTACGGCCGATGAGATGGTCTCAGCGGAAGAGGGAAGTGGGAAGCAAGTGGACAAGGCCACTGTTCCCGAGACTCCCGAGGAAGGGCCTCCGGTTCGCAGATCGCAGAGGGAGAAGCGGGCGAATGAGGAGGCGCCAGCTGGCAGGGTGACGCGGGGGAGGGCGGCAAAGGGGACGCCACTTACTGCCGCCACCGAGGCGGAGACTGTGGCAGAGGCCTCTGCTGAGAAAGCGCCTGAGGCTGCGGCTGATGCTGAAGAAGGGGGTTTGGGGGAGGATCAGGCAGAGCCACCTCTAGTTGATGGGAGTCCGGTTGTCAAGGAGGGGGTTGACGGGGCGACCCTGCAAGAGTCGGAGGCAGTGCCGGAGTCTGAAGATGAGGCGCTTGCGACGAAGAAAAAGAGGGGTAAGAAGAAGGGCAGGGGTAGGCAGAAGAAGACGCCCCCAGCGCTGCGGGCGTCAGAGGACGGGGAACGAGAAGCCGGGAAAGAGACGGCAGGTGAGAAAGAGCTCTCTCATGAAGAGGAGCATGGCAGGGAGGAGGCAACGGTTCTAGAGTTGGGGGGTGCAAACACGAACGCAGAGAGGCAGCCGAAAGGCAATGACGGGAGTGAACAGGAGGGGGCTGTGGAGGGCGTAGTCTCGGGCCTTGTGAGCAACCCAGCCGAGCCGGCAAGCACCACGCCAGAAGCTACTCATGAAGCCCCAACCCCCACAACAGGGCCTTCGGAAACCGTGGCAACCCCTGTAGAGATAGACGCAGCCCCGGTATTGGAGCTCGGAAGCCCGAAGCCCCCCACCCCAGGCCCCCGGCTAACTAGATCGGGCTCAAAGGCGGGGGATAGCTCCCGGGAAAACGGGGGAAGCAGCGCTTTTGGGTCACCGGTGCCAACCGCCCCTGAATCTGCACTTCGGGGCACTCAGTCGGGCGCCCTGGCTTCGCCCGGAAGAGTCCTCCGGTCAGCTTCCAAAAGCCCCGGTTCTCCTTCGGCCGTCGACAACGCACAAAACCCTGTTCCCAGCGCCTTAACCCCTGTCCCGAGCACCCTAACCCCTGACCCCAGCGCCCTCAACCTTACCCCGAGCGCCCTTAACCCTGCCCCGAGCTCCCTTGACCCTTCCCCGGTTTCCCTAGGCAGAGCCACACGGGCAGCGTCAAACGCCCAGATTACACCCGGTACTGTTCCTCAGGCGGAAGAAGAGCACGTTCCGGCCGTTGCTTCACCGTCCTCCTCTTCCGCGGAAGAGCGTTCCGATAGGAGAACCCGGTCAGGATCTCGCGCCCGAAAAGAGACCGGCGAAACTTCCCCACCCGCCGTCCTTCCTGCCCAGGACTCTGCGGACGCTGCATTGTCCCCCGATTCCCCAGCCCAAAAATCGGCGTCTCTCTCCCCTGTGTCTCCTCCTCCGGACCCAGCCACTGATGGCAACCAAGTGCCGTCGATCTCAGAAGATGCAAACACCGCGGAAGCCCCTCAGCCGTCCGTTTTCTCGCCTGTTATAGTCACCCGATCAGCTTCACAGGCCCGAACGCCTCCGGAGCAAACGAAAACGCCCGTCTTTTCCAGCGCCGACATCGCGCCAGGATCTGGCAGCAGGAAGAGGAGCCGGGGAGAGGGTGACGTCAGCGACCAGCCGACTCCGGAAGGTTTAGCGAGGGTTAGCGGAGAGAAAGGCACTCCGGGCGTCCTGACCCGCAGCCAAAGCAAGTTGCGGGGGTCTGCTGACGTCACTCCGGGCTGGAACGGGTCTCCGGAAATATTGGAAGGAGACCTAAGCGGGGTCCTCGTGTCTCCAAAGAGCCCCTCTAGTGACGAAGCCGCCAAGTTGACCGGAGCTAGCGTTCAGTTCCCAGCTTTACCCAAGCAGAGCCCCAAGGAAAGTCCCATCCAGATGAGGAAAACGGAAACGGAGCCCCAAACCCGAGCGCCTGTTGCAAGCCCCCCGGTAAGTGCACGGGCGTTTGAAGCGGAGAAGAAGGAGACAGTGGCTCCATCTCCCCGTCAGGATGCTTCCCCAAGTGTTGACATGGACGTTTGCACGACGCCGCTGACTGCGGGGCCGCATAAAGCACCCCGACCAGTGACCGGAAAACGGAACGCCCAGGGGGTGAGCAAGGGGCTGGTGCGCTCGGAGGGTGCCGGAATAACGTCAGCGGTGAAAGCCGATGACGTCAGGAGCCCCCTGAGGAGGAGCCCACGGTTCCAGGGCGATAGGATGACGTCCGCAGCCGGGGTGACGTCAGCAGCAAAGCAGACGGGCGTCCGAAGCTCCCCGCTAGGTGGGGGTTCTTCGGTGAGGAAGAGTGAGCGGATCCAGGACCGGAGCGCAAAGAAGATGCGGTTAAGCGGTGGGTTTGCGCTGGCAGGTCTCGGAGGCGAGTTGATCGATCTGGAGAACGAGGACGAGGATCTGATGGAGCCAAACTTTGAGATCAATTCTGAGGGCCTCCGGCGGAGTGCGCGAAAGACGGCCGACGGCGCGAAGGAGAGTCCCGGCACAGTCGGGAAGAACCGGTTGAGCTTCAGCGGAGCTGCCGGCCTTTCCGCAGACGTCCGGAACATGTCCCCCGGCGGGAAGGCGCCGGAGTCCGGCGGAAAGTCGTTCCGCTTCAGCGCCCACAAGTCCACACGGAAAAGCGCCCGGAAGAGGAGCGCCGGCGGGCGTCCGAGCTTTGTTTCCGCGTCGGACGACGGGTCGGGGGAGTTCGCGGCCGCAGGGTTTGGGGGTTTGGCGGCAGAAGCGTCTGCGGGAAACTTGGATGCGTTCGCGGCTGGTGCAAAGTCCGCACAGAAGAAGACGCCGGCGAAGCGGGGCAACTTGATCGCAAACGGAATTACGAGTCTGTTGTCGTTCATGACGAAGAAGGAGCCGACGGGACCGCCCATTCCGGGCAACAACAAGAATACGGTCAAGGTGGGTTCTGCAGAAGATATTGGTGGAGAAACTGTTTGGAATTCTGGCAATACCCTGGTGCGTGAGAGGCTGGACTTTGTGAGCCTGCATCTCGAAGAAGGCTTCTTCTCAGAAGGCTCGACTGGCGGGAATTGAAGGATTACTTCGTGTAATTGCGCCCCTTCTGATTTGACTGCTAAGACCTTGCGACACATTCTCAACCCGGTGACTTGCCTTCCTTCTTCCACTCTCACGAGCCGCTGGACAACGCAACCATTTTGCGCCATTCAACGTTGAATCATCCCTAGGAAAAGCCTGCATTTTTCAAATTATCTGCCCCGCCTTTCGCAAATCTGCTGCGCTTGAATCTCTTTCGTGTGTCTCCTTCCCCCTGGTCGCCTTAACTTCTAAAAAGAATCTCTGCTTTCTAACGCTATTTACGTCATCTCCATGCAGGGCTCCGTAAAGGCGCTCGAGGCTGCCGAAGCCGCCCGGCGAGAGGAGGCCAGAAGAGCGGAGGAGCGAGAGAAGCGGAAGGCGCTGACGGAGAAGCGGCGGGAGGAGAAGCTCCGGGAGGCAGCCGCCGGTGCAGCGCAGGTGAAAGTCGAAGGCTGCGTTCGTATCTCTGTTGCCAACAAGATTGCGGTGTCCTTACAATTTTCAACTGTTTCTGTGCAAAGGCCCTCGGTTCCTGGAAAGTCAGGTCAAACTTCTCGAAGCACCCATCGCTCCGGATCATTGATGGAAGGAGCTCTAGGACGCGGTAAAGTTGCTGTCTAAAGCACAGTCATTGCTTCACTTTTGAGCAGGAACCAAGTGCTGACTGCTACAACACTTTCCCCGAAGATCCTTTCGCAAATGTTGCTAGGTTGCACCGGGGCAAGAATCTTCCTTTTCTGATCGTTTTCAGATCACTTTCGGTTCCTGCCAGTAACGCTGTATGTTATCGGCTTGATCCTCATGACCGCTCTCTCGGTATGCCCATCTTTTAGCCGATTACCGACTGTCCTCGTCTCTTCAGGCCCAGCCTCCTCCCGCAACCGCCCCCGCCCCCGAGCGACGCACCGTTTCCTTGATCTGTACTCCGCACATCTCTTTGGCTCAAATCCAAGCACTAAGTTCTTATCCATTTTCCCTCTCTGCAGCCCAAGTTTTCAATCCGCAGCCAAAGTTTTCAACCAGCCGACCCTGCCTCTGTTGCCATTCAGGAACGTCTCTAAGTCGACCATCCCTTCCGCCCCATTCGGAAGCCGATTTTTAATTCTTGATTTCTTTCCAGGTCCAACCTGCTCTGGCAAAGCAAGCCGACGCCGCTCCCGTCCTCAAGCGGCGCACCGTGGTTGGATGAGTTCGTAACCCTCCCATATGTTTGGCCCAAGTTAAAAGCCAATTGCTGATTCTTGTTTTCTCTCCAGGCCCAGCCTCCTCCCGCAAAGCCAGCCGACGCCGCCCCCGCCCCCGAGCGGCGCACCGTCCCCGGCGCGGCCGCCGTTTCCGCCACCGTTATCGACCAGAAGCTCCGCCGGGCGAACGAGTTCCGGTCGCGGATCGAGGACCAGAAAGCGCGGCGCCTGGAAGAGGATCTGCGGAAGAAGGAAGAGGAGCGGCGCAAGAAGGAGCAAGATGCGGTGCGGAAGAAGCGGCAGAGAGAGGAGGACGAGAAGAAGGAAAAGGAGGAAAAGCGGCGGCGGCTGGAGGACGCGCATAAGATGAAGAAGGACGCCGAGGAGCGGCAGCGAGCGGAGCTGGAAGAGAAGGAGAGGTGAGAAGAAGTAGACTTCAGATTGGTTGCTGCTTCTTAGACTCAGTTCGCCTCAAACTGAGACTGGTGGTTCGGCCGCTGTTTCTACCTTACAGAGCCTTAACTCGAATTCGTAGGCTTTTCAGTTTTTAGTACTTCGATCCGAGATTCCCACGAAGAATCGGGCGAAAGAAGAACGACTCGATGGTGGTCTCCTCCTTTCCATCCGCATCCTTGCCTCTCCCTTCAATAAAGCTGGGGTGGAAGAAACCCGTGACATTAAACCTTTTTCTTTGACTTGCTTTAGCGTCCGTTGGAGAAAATAGTTGGCGAGACAAGCATGCGGAGATTGCGCACTCCGTTCCCAATGCTCTCCGATTCTTTCCGCACAAAACAGCTGGCAGCAGAACGTATTTTCAGTAGGTTTGAAGCACGTGTACTTGAAGCGTCCAACATAAAAGAGGCGAAAAAATGGGATTCTACCGACAGAATCTTATATGTGCGCCGTTCCGTCCTTCCAGGAAGCGGAAGCAGCAGGAGGAGGCCGAGCGGAAGCAGAAGGCGACCGAAGAGGAAGAGCGCCGGCGGCGGCGGAAGGAGAAGGAACTAGAGGCGGAACGGCGGCGGAAGGAGGAGGAAGAGAAGCGGGTGGCCAAGCTGAAGGAGCGGGAGGAGGACCGGAAGCGGCAGGAGGGGCTGTTCATTCGGCGGAAGGAAGATGAGCGGAACGAGAAGGTGAGTCGATGTAAAAGCCGCGAGACCTGGGTTTTTATAAAGGTCTCCACGGAAAGGCCTCAGCCGAATGGCATTTTGGGATGTCAGAGGGAGGTTCTGAATTTGCCAATCCTGACCTTTTCCGTTTCGCTCTTCCAAATCTGAACCCACACAGATAACGTGCCGGCGTCGAAGAAGCGGAAGCTTAACGGGATTGAAAATCGGACAATCAGAATCCTTTGGCAAGTAGTCAGACTGGACAGCCGTTGTCTTTCAGATTTGCAGATCTTGTAGGACGTGCAGCATCTACAGGCTCTGAGATGATGTTAGCACATTGAGTTGCTCTGAGCAATATATTGAAAGGAGTCCTCCAACTTTCGCAGATGCTGCGCCCCAACGGGCCCAAGCCCCTCACCCCCATCAAGACGTACCTGGCGGAGAACGCTGCTTCGGCCAGGCACTCCCCCCTTGTCGGCACGGACAAGGTGAGGGGCTGTTTCCACGGGCGCAAGAATGCGTAAGACATCTGGCACGAACCGCAGCAAGAGAATGATAGGCCACAACGCACAAGCGCTTTCGTGCCCACTGAATTCTGGTAATGCAAAGGCAGCGTGTGAACATTCGCACTGCAGTCGTGAACGGAAACTGTTTGCATTGCACTCGCTTACAGGAAATGGTGGGAAAGACCTTCAAAGCCGCCGGCATTGCTGATTGAAACTGCTCTTTGACACCAGATGCACGTCTCCCCGTTGCCGTATGCACGTGCGGCCAGAAAGGGCTGTCCGGTTTGTCTGTTATCCAATCGTCCTTTTGTTCCTTTCTCGGGCCACCAAGATTTGACGTAAGTCTGATCTTCCGTCAGGATCTGCAGCCCTGTGCTCCGTCAGCTGACGTCAACCTCGGTCATATCCTTGCAGATGATGCCTCCCCCCAGGACGACGCCCAGCCGCCACGCCAACGCCGACGCCGCAGCTCAGAACCAGTACCTTTCCGCCAACACCGCGAGCCGCAATCTAAACCCCGCCTCCGGTTACGCTAGCAGCTCGCTGGTGGCCAAGCCCAGCGGCCTGCAGTTTCCCAAACCTGCCGCTAACCCGCCCACTAACCTGCGTGTAACCGGCTGGGAGGACCGCGCCGCAAAAGCCAAGCTCGCCGCCCCGGGGTCTTCTTCTCAGAAGGATTCAGCCCCCCATTTCGGGAAGGGCGGGGGCGGTTCCGTTTCCGGGGGGGAGAATCTGCGCTCGCGGACGCCCCCCCCCGCGGAAGCTGTGGAGAGTTATGAGATCTCGCCGTTCAAGGAGGAGTCGAGCGACGAGGAGGAGGAGGAGAACGAGAGCGAGGCGAAAAAGCCAATCCCGGCGTGGGCGCGCAAGGAGAACCTGGGGCCCGCGCTGCGGCGGCAGATGGGGATCGACCCGGACGAGGTGTTCCAGAACATGAGTGTCAAGACGTGCAGCCTGGACCAAGGTTCGTGAACGTTGACACCATCTGCTTTTGTCCTCCTCTTTAAGTGCTGAGAGCAGCATAATCTAGATGTGTCATCTCAATTCTCTGAAAACGTGAAGTGATGGTTTCTACTCTGCTGAAATGATTTCAAGATAGTGAGCCATTCTGAGAGTATCTGCAGGTTGGGAATGCGGCGAGTTGTTAGGCCAGTCTATCAAGTGCAGCATTCGTTAATAGAGACACGTCGCGACGTTCTTTAGTTGGGTCGAATCCATCAGCTTTGCTCGATTGTGGGTTTGCAGAAAGGGACACCTGGAGCAACTTCCTTGGTCGCCAGAATGGTACGGGTCAAATTCTCTTTTCGAGAGCGTTCGAAAAAAGTACTCAGGCAAAGCGTCCGCTGCTTTATGCTGCCTGAGACTGAGCCGCATCAAAGCACTAACGTTTGAGTTTTGTCAACTTGCCAACTTCGTGACGCTAACAAGGTCTCTGCTGTTTGGCCGCAGTGTTCGGGACCAAGGGCAGTAAGAAGAAGAAGGACTTTGGGCGCCGGAGCAGCAGCGGCAACTGGCTAGAGGACCGGCTGACGTGGAAGGAGGAGCTGCAGTATAAGAAGGGCATGGGGTACCTCTAGCGGGTTTGCCGTGTCCTCGTCCGCTGGCATACTAAATCAAAGCGACCCTGGTAACCATTGGGGTTTATGTTGAGCTCCCGAGTTGTACGGCGGGTGATTCTTTAATTGAGGCAGCGCATGCCTTGGCTGCGCAAGGGGCATCGTTGATTTGGATGCTTCGAAAGTAGATGCTGAGAGCGATCCGGAACTGTGCAGACGAAATTTGTTGTGCGCAAATTCTTAGTTGGATGTGTAGATTAGAAAAAATGGTCAGGAACTTACGAATGTTGCTTCAAGGGCTCGCACTCTACAAATTTTTAGTTTCCAAGCCTCTTGACGCGTACTCACACGGCCTGGATGCAACTCACAAGAGTCGGACATGCAACGTCAAGTCTTCAGCTCCGCACTCTCCGCAGTGCGGACCTTTGGATCATGTGAGGTCACCTTTTGCACAAGGTGCCGTTTCCCACTACAGGCCCGCGTTTGATTTCAAGGACTGTGAAGATCCTCAACAAAACAGTCGATCCAAATTTAGACGAAATGGCAGGCTGCATGGTCGGCATATAACATCATAAAATCTTTTCAATCGCCCGCAAAACGCTTGATCAAGTGCATGCCATGGTGGTCAATCCTGCTGAATCAGCCTTATGAGACGTAGGTGATCTGAAGTCGATCGGAGCGCCGTCCTCGCACAACGGTGCACTTTTGTTTGGCCCTTGCAAGGCTTTGTGTCTGATTGGCTAGCATGCAAGAATATGTCCACCCCGCCATAGCCCCCGCGGGCCTATAGCTTGACCCATTGTGTGACAACCTTGAATTCAAGGAGCTGGCGCACTGCCAGGTCACTCGGCGTTTCAATGTTCGAGTCCGCTCACGCATTGGCGTCCAGTGCTTCCACTGAAGGGCACTGAAGGCGTTGCAACATCTCCATGAGATCCTTTTCACGCCCGGCCGCCAGGATGTGCCACAGTATAGGCCGCCACGCACAAATATTTACCATGCGTACAGTTCATCGCTTGCATGAAGATGGTTTGTCATGTAAGACCCAAACGGTCGTTTCAGACACCTGTTGCATTGCGCACCCTGGAATAAACGTCCTTCGTTTTCTTGCAATAAGAGCAAGAGTCTGAGAGGGATTCAAAGGGCTGATGTTCGCCTCCGGTGCCGAGGACATACAAAGTATATGTCCAGCAGCTCGACGAACTTTCTTTTATCCGTGTACCCGTGCAGTCATATTAAGGCAGTTCCACCGAGGTTTTACACTCGCTTTGATTCAATATTCTCTTTCCATGCGGCGGTCCGCAAGGCTTCTACCTCTTCGACGGAACGAGTCAGCTCTTTGTGCAGAAACTCATAAAGAGCCCACATCTGCCAGAAGCATTTCTCCACGATAGCAGCCTCCTCTTCGGCAGGGCCCGCCTCATTTGCCTTCTCAACCATGTCGGCTAGTTCCAAGATCCGATCAGCGATCGGGCGTCCGGTTTTTGGATCTGTAAGGCTTTCCGGCGAAACTTCCATCGCAATGCTGATCATGTCATTACGTTCTTGCTGGATGAACCTAACGAGACCGTGCTGCAATTGCGAGGACACTCTGAGCAGGTTCTGGATTTGTAAGAACAGGGCCGCCGCAGGCCTATCCCAGCGGCTCATTGAGTAATCATGTAAGGCTCTTTCTCTCTGCAGATAGATAGAACCTGAATTCATGCTAGTCTCGTCTCTATAGCTCAGGAACCAGTGTTGAGAACGCTATTGAGGCGGAGCGACGTCACATACTCAAACACTCAAACGAAGCGGTTCTGCTTCACAAAATTTCTCAAACTCCGTCGCTGGCAAAGTCCAAGGAGACAATCAGAGAGATGGGATCCTCTGCCAGGAACTGCATCAAATACTTTTTTAAAGAGCGACGAACTTAATACCTTCCTGTATAGGCATAGCGCAGAAAAATTGGACACAAAATCCGGCACATCAATAGCTTAGGAAGCTTTTTCAGCTTTGTGGGACTTGTTTCATCGAGAAGAAGCCTGAAGCACGGAGACGACGTTGAAACTTGCCTGCTTTAAGAAAGGAGTAAGTGGTTTCAGGGCGCTCAGCAGCTTCAGCTCAGCCGCTTGGGCCTCCAGCGGTCCGCTCCGCCAGAACTCGGCCTCTCGAAGAGATCGTGGGATCTCGGCTTCGAGGTCGACACACAGAAGACGTAGCATGCTGAATTCGGACTTCAGCTTCCACAGCTTGTCCTTTGCGGAATTATATTCGTTGGCGGACTCTAGAACTTTCCGTGCACGCTGCATCGCCAACCGGCTTTCCAGGTCGACCGCGACCAGGAAATGTGGTGGGCCTCGATATTTTGGTCTGCCTAGGGGCTCGGAATCGGTCCTACCGTTGTCGAATACAGACTCGAGGAGGTCTCCAGAGCTCTGTACTACCTCAAAAGTCGCTTTCCAAAGCTCACAAGAGCTTTGGAGCGCCTTTTCTCGAGAAGCGGAAAGGCCCCAGGGTCCCAATGTGACGTCAGAGGATCTCTGCAAAGAGACACAAGAATAGTCAGTCACCGACCAGAGTTAAATTCCGTTTTACTTCCTGAAGGACTATGCTGTAAACTGGCTTCGCTTGACATCATGTTCGCAATCTGTTTTGTTTGACATTGTTTTCAAAATTGGAACAAACTTAACAGTTTCCATCGATTTGGCAAACTCAAGCTCAGGGTGCATCAGGTCCACATAGGTAGCCCTAAACGAATGTCTATCATGGACAACTGATGTACTGTAGCATATTGTTGACTTCGGTTTTCCAAATAGGCAATGCGCTTCATCGAAGCCATCTGAGGAGCTTGTTCAAACGAGGTCTTCACTGAGAAGGCGCCGAACGTTTAGCGGGCCTGCTTCTAGTCTTTTTGTTACTTCCATAGCTGATTAGATTTTCGCAATCAAAGGCAGTCACAAGAAGGAAAACATAAAGACCTTACCTCCGTCTTCGAAGCATGCTCCTGAAGATGAGCTGCGCGATCCCCGGGGCTTTCATTGTGAACACAGCTCACCTGTGACGAATTGTCAGAAATCAGAGCAGAATTTAATGGCATCAGACAGTGTGGCAGAGTAAGTTTGCGGCCAACATTAAGCCAAGCTATGTAGTAAAGAGATTGCGCCGTGCTCGAGGCTGTTACTTTTGGTCAACGAGGCAAGGCAGGACAGAAGAGCTACTCCAGATTCTTTTGTTGTATATATGTGCTCAACTGCAGATCAAAATCATCAAATCAATTATCAAGCATGTAATGTACAGGCAAGGAAACCGTAGGCAAGCAAAGTCGCATTGAGGTGTGTAAAATAATTGCCTGCCTTGAGAAGAAAAAATGTGCAAGGAGGCTTTTCTTAGGATGGTAAGAACCGAGATAAGCTTGCCGGAATAACCAGGCTGGGGCTACACGTCCTTTCAAAAAGTGGGAATACAGTCGGGGTTTATAAACATGAACACGTTAGTAAGCTAAGCTGTTTGGCTATGTAAGTGGCGCCTAGTTGCAGCGACTCAAGTGCTGTTGCCAGCCATAAGGAAGCATTCATTCTAAACAAGCAGATCAGACAACCTTCATTAGTTGATTACTTCCAGCATCTGCAAAGCAGAGCCGCGTTTAAAATGCGGAGACAATAAGATCAAGCACAAAAAAACGTTTGCAAGTTGATCTCAGAGATAATAAAACTTCCCCTGCGACAACAACTCTTTTCCATTCTCTTCTACAGTCCGCATCATCCAATATCCTGATACCTTTTGCGTACCTGTGGCGTAGCCATCCGCTTTATATCCGTTCCTCTCACAGGCCTTCGTTATAGGTTCAGCAAAGCTGTGCTACTGGCACCTGCTGAAAGACAAAGGTGCCCAAGCATGGCCGCCATTGTGGATCGCTGAGCTCATTGAAGTCTGAAGCTCAACTACCTGCCAACTGCACATTAGCACGACCGGCGGCCGCGCCTTCGAGAAGCGAGGGTTTTACAACGATACGGTGACACAACCAGACGCAACCCTGACGCAACCGGCGGACGCATTTGGTGCCCACTCTGATTGCCGCGACAATATGCACTGCACATGCACTCAGTGGCTTTCGTAGGACTTTCTCCAGATCGGGAACCAGGAAAGGTGGTAGGTACGATCGTTGCACCGCTTGACGGGTAATATGGGCTCGCATGAGCCACCTCACAGGCAGCGAAATATGACATGCATATACCCATTATTATGTACCATGAACGTGCCCTGTGCACATTTTCTTGATTTGGTAAAACTTGATTCCTTCTCTATGACGTCGAAGCAGCGATGTAGTATATCGTAAGTCTGTTGACCACATGGCATGAGCTTGAGGTAGCTTAGCCGTGTGCCTGGATCCAGAGAGAACTCAGGCCGACCCGAATTAACGGACACGGGCAGATATCCCAAAGAGAGAAGTCAAGTCGTGAGCCGCCGTTTTGGACATGAGAGTCGTTTGCCCAATATAGCTAGTAGGCGATTCATTCCAAGCTTTATAATCCGCCAAATGAATCATGTAATCGGAAAGCGCTCCATTTTGGAAACACTCGCTTAATCTGCATTCAGGTCCTCCGGAAAGGAAAGCTTCGTAATATCTGCATCAGCGGCATAAAAGAGTGCCCCGTATCACAGCTAAGTACGGTTTCTCAAATGCGCTCTAATTCCGCTGCTTCCCGAGCGATCTTTTGCCAGGCAACGGCCTCCTCATTTGCACGGGAAAGCTCCCGGTGCACGATCTCGTACAGGGCGCACAGCTCCCAGAAGCTTCTTTCTACAACAGAAGCTCTCTCTTCTTGGTTTTCCATCTCATCTGCCGCCCAGATCCGGTCCGTCAGCACCTGAATTTGATCCCCAAATGGCAGCCCGCTCACCGGATCTTTCATAGGCTTCGGCGGACTGCCGAGGATGTTCTCAAATTTCTCTTCGTGCACACGCTGGAGCAACAGGATCAAGCTGTGCTTCACTTGAGCGGCGACTTCAATCGCGTTCTTTGCTTGTTCGATTGCCGTCATGAGGGGCCTGTTAAAAAGGTCCACTGTGTACGGCCGCAAGAAGCCTCCTCCCTGCACAAGAACGGAGCATGAATCCGAATTGTTTGATTTCGTGCCAAGAGAGTTATTGCAAAAAGTTCCCAACGTGGTCTTCCTGTCCTTGATGGCTAGTACCCCGGCCAGCTTGCTTTGGAACATTGATGCTGTTTGCTCACAAGATTCCCTTCGTTTCTGACGCCAAATTCCAATCGAAAACCAGTGTTTGCACTTCAGGCTAATGCAGACATATCGAATGATGACTTCCCTTGAGTAGTCTAATACGTGCTGGGTGCTACAGAGCGGATTGGAGGCCCCCTCGCTCAAAGGGGAAACTTCTGAACTGCGCCCTGATTGGTTTCACTGGCCAAAATATCAATCAGATCCGAGTCCCTCGGAAGTAACAAGCGATTGAAAATGCTGAGGGCAACAACCAGCAAAGAAGCGCTAAACTTACCCCCTTCATCAAAGACGTGGCGTCCTCGAGGTCATCTAGCAGGCGAAGCGCTGTCTCCCTCGCTTCCTGGGGTCCGCTACGCCAGAATTCCGCTTCCCGGACGGCACGCGGAATCTCAAGCTCAAGCTCGAGGCACATGTCCCTCAGCTTCCAGCAAGGCCATTTCAGGTTGTATGCCCTCTGCTCTACTGTTTTAAATTCTCCGGCGGACTTTTTCGCCTCCTCTGCTGTTTTTTCCGCTTCCTTTGCGAATTCTAGGCGGCCCTTAAGATCGCGAACCGGGCTTGGTAACAGTGCTCTGTATATAGCCGGACGTCCCAATGACATCTTTCTCTTAGACTCATCAACGATCTGCTCAACCGATAAGAGTTCATCGTAGCTTTGCAGTACTTCAACTGTGGTCTCCAAAAGCTTTTGCGAGCAATGAAGAGCTCTTCTTTGAGGAGCTGTGAGGCCCCAGGAAATCTGTTCGACGGCAGACCGATCCTGTAGACAATAAAGTGGAAGTTTTAGAAGAGACAACCAATCCGGAGTCCATTGTGTAGATGATGTTTCTGATTCTAGATGGTTTGAACCTGGTTCTCAATCCCAAGAAGGCGTCTCTATCGCCTGTGTCTTCATCTCCGTTCCGCTGCGTGCCATGAAAACGAGACCGTACAAGCTCAAATATCCTTTTCTACCATGATCAGTTGCCCTGAGCTAGCCGATCGTTAAGTCTGCCACCGGCTACGACTTTCACTAGACACGAGAGAAAAAGAGCGTTTGGAAAACACCTCGAAGTGAGGAGTCTAAGCAAAGCAGCAGTTAAGATTTTGCTCAGAACCACTTGATGCCAGAGCAGTTTACAGTGGATGATTCTCGTACCTCTTTCTTGGCACGAACGCTTTGATGCTTGTCCTCATCAGCATCTTGTGAATTGAGCGCACAGCACATGACCTGCATGAAACAGTCCACGAATGAGCACAAGCGCCTCCAGATTTCAGAATTTAAGTGCACGGCACAACTGCACAGGGAATAACTGATTTTAGTTCACCTCCACGAAATGAGCAGGTTATACCCTTTGGAGATGCAAGGTTGTGCAAGGCACGTGCAATATAGATCGTCAGGAGATTGAGACAAATTGATCACAGGAGAAACCTCAAGTACAATCGTAATAAAAAAACATTGAATTCAGCTGCGCTACGATTATTTCTGTAAAGAAACGTCGGCTAGGATTTTGATGTGCTGGGAGGAATCAAAGTGGAGGCTTTTTCAGAATGCTATGAGTTGAGTCCGTGCCTATGCTAATCAACAAGTGGCGTGAATCAGCTTCAAACTCTTTGTTTGTATGTGATTGTATACGACATCGCTGTGGCCAAGATTGGGAAATTAAGCCTTGGTTAGTTACCGGCGGGTTGCGAGGCCTCCATGCCACATCGCTCGTTAACTTGATTCTCCTAACGCCCGAAGTCACCCAGCCGCAAGGTACCTGACCAGAATTGAATGTCAAAGCTTACGTACTGCATAGCTTGGGCCATTGTAATCCGGTCCTGAACTTCATCAGCAGTAATGTGCAGAGACCCTGTCAGTTCCATACTGTTGAAAATAAAGAAGACTTCTGCAGAGAGTTGGCTTTCTGTGGACTTGGGATGGTTTCTTCAATCAAAATCACAAAGCAAATCTATCCAGAGCAGCGCAGCTTCTGTCCTGCAAGCAAAATTACTCTAAGTGACTTCAAGTACAGCTTTACTTGTTCAAAGACCGTTTCATTATCACCTTCATGCTGGTATGACTGGTAACCTCCAGCTTCATTTTTGTACGCCGTAGCCCGTCACCTGATGGACTTGAACATGAGATCGTCACGGGACCTGCCAGTGCAAGAGAAAGATGCGGGAGAACTCAAGAACAGATTGATTGAAAATCACCTATATAGCTTGCTGCCGATCGATCGCCGTATATCGCGGCTGATATCCTCGCGGCCGCGGCACCCCTCAAGGGTTTGAAGTACTTTGAGCAATCCCGAGTTTTGGTCGACGGCTGCGATTGACCGTTACGAAACCACGTGTTCTTGGTGACGCAACTCGCCGTAACCAATGGTGACGTCATGTTGATCTCGCCCTTCGAGCGCAATGCACATTGCACACGGCCATTGGCATGAGTGACCATACCCGGCAGCTAGCTGCTTGTAGGTACATGAGCTGCTACTATTACGATAAATAGCGGCGGCAGCAACATACCTGCAGATATCAACTCTATTTTTCAGACCAATGGCGTCATCGCAGGCCACCATCGCGCCCCCCTGCCAGATTGCCTCCTTCAAGCAGTCAGCTCCAGAAGCGGGCGCTTCCACGAGCAAGGAGGTTTGCACAAGTTGTCCTGCTAGCAAATGCAGGTTCCGACAATCTCACACCTCTTCTAGAGTTGAATTCATTCACATTTCCAGCTTTTATCCATCAATTTACAAAGGTCGTCATCTGCATTGTTCGAATCACATAACACCACACATCGGGGCAGCCGTTCCTGCCCCAAGAATCAGCACAACTCGAGCTGCATTACCTGATTCAAGCACAGCCATGACAGAAGGAAATGCAGGATTCAGCAGTGGACTGAGGAGACCATCAGAAGAGGGGGCCCCTCCAGAGCAATGGGACGCGGAGCATTATGCGGCCAACATGCGCTTTGTTGCTGACATGGCAATGCAGCCGCTCATTGACCTGCTGGCGCCCAAGCAGGGGGAGAGGATTCTGGACCTGGGGTGTGGGGATGGTGAGCTGCATTCGCCTTGGAAACCGAATCAGTTGTTGCTTAGATGGTGTTTTGCCACAGCCACAGCAACAGCCAGTTGACTGCTTGTTTGCAAGAACCACCAGGGCAAAGGAGTCCCCAGAATAGAAGCATGGTTTTAATCAATTTGCTGAATTGCGGTAGCCCAAGGCGGAAGTCAAACCTGTACTTAGTCCTTAAACCGCTGTCTTGCGTCAGAAGGGGCTCAATGACACTGGCGGACAGGATTGATTGCTTGTATCTTTCGTAGCAGGCATCATGTGCGGGACTAGGCATGTGTATTTTTACGGTATGGCCCATTGGTTTACTAATGCACCTTGATTGTTGGGGTGAATTCTGGTGGATGCTAGATGAATGAAAGCCAATGTACTCTGCAAGAAGCGCCCACTTCAGAATATCACGTTCCTCAAGTTATGGTGGCAATCCAGTGGAGAGACTCTCATTTGGTTCAAGTCTGAGCTACCCAGATACACGCAAATTCTTGAGGCATTGAGCGCTTCTGCATCGCCTGTGAAATGTTTACTGCAGCCCTTGATACTCATGGCTAAGTACTAATGCCCTCTCTTTCAGGTCCCCTTATGGGCCCAATTGCAGCTCATGGCTGCTCAGTGGTTGGAGTGGACTACTCAGAGGACATGATCCTCAAGGCCCAAGAAAAGGGCCTGGATGCTCACGTGGCTGACGGGCAGAGCCTCTCCTTTGACAACGAGTTCGATGCCGTCTTCACAAACGCTGCCCTCCATTGGATGAAGCGGGATCCTGACGGAGTCATCACTGGGGTGAAGCGAGCGCTCAAACAGGGCGGTAGATTTGTTGGGGAGTTTGGCGGTCATGGAAACGTTGCTGCGATCAAAACTGCACTTCTTGCAGTGTGTAATGCACGGGGGATTGACGGCTTCTCACGCATTCCATGGTACTTTCCAACAGTTGACGAGTACAGAGCCAAGTTAGAAGCTCAGGGTTTCGAAGTCGAATACATTGAGCTCATACCGAGGCCAACTCCGCTTCCGACGGGAATGGCTGAGTGGTTTGCCGGGTTTGGAAACACATTTTTTGAGGGGATGGATGAGGAGACGAAGAGCGCGGCTGTAGCTGAAGGGCTGGCCCTTCTGAAGCCCAGCCTGTGCGACTCCAAGGGGAATTGGACAGCGGACTATGTAAGGCTCCGCTTTTCTGCAAAGCTTAAGACGTAGCCATGCTACCAACAGAGCTCATCGTTTCTGATATTGTCCCTACTATTCCTTCCGACAACTAAATCAGACTGATGAAGGCACAGAAACATTGAGTCTACCGACCAGAGTATTGAGCTAGGTACGTATGGCTTCTGTTCCATTGCGTGCCAGACGAGATATATATACAAGTAAACCACCGTGTCGTTCAAGCAAAATATTTGGATATATGATTCTTAGTATGCATCCAGACTTTGAGCGATGATGGTGGTGTGACTGTGATTGACTGTATTACGCGTATCTCGATCAACTGCATATTCATGTATACAACCCCCGGGCCGGGATATAGTGAACGATGCCAGCCCTGAAATTCACATGGCAAGCTTGAGCTCCTGCAGTGCAGCCTGGTCTACAGAGGATGGTATTTATATCGTGTACATCATGCATGCATGGCATGCCGGCCCATGGCCGCGCCCGGCGGCCGGGCGCGGCCTCAGATGATTTGCTATGTGCGCCCATGCAGTGACCAGCTCAATGCTCGGGCCATGTGCATGATCAGGTTGATCGGTCAACTAAATCCATATGCAGACCTGCCAGGCCTCTAGTGACGAGGGCGTGCGACCGGACGCGGCCGAATTGCTGCCGAAAGAATTACCCAAGGTCGTGCCAATGTGGGTACGGATTCCTGTAATACCAAATCAGGCAGATTGACGAAATAAATGCAGTCAGGCCGGACGGACGACAATATTTCAAGCTCAAGTTTAGTCGTGACACCAAGGGTCGAAAAATACTATCCTGCGCTAATCGCGTTCACGGGGATTAGCGTGCTCAAACATGTATCTTTGAGAAGTCTCAAGTTGTGCGCAACCAGCTACGGTGCCAGACGACCCTTTGATCGTCTTTTTTGCAAGACAGCTATGCATCTTACCGGCGCAGCCAAGACAAAGTGCTCAATAGCTTCTCAGAGTCTTTGAAAGCCGTAACCAATTCACCCTCGCTCTATGTTACAAAACCGTGTACATCGCTCTACACGTCACCAGCGCTCTCTACGGGCGGCGCTACCGCCGGAGGTGGCGCGCGGTCTTTGTGCACTTTGAGCCGGGAGGCCATGCACACCCGCAGCATCAGGAGGAGCCACGCCAGCAACAAGTAGCCCACAACCATCGCGAGAAGCGCCCACGTGTCGGCGGTTCGCCGCTCGCTGTGCTGGCCAAGGGTGTCCAGGACGACCTCCCCTGCGAAAGAGCGAAGTTGTTGTGAGACTTGCCGCAAATCTCCACTGAGAGTCTGCGAACGAAAGCTTGGGACTGCAAGTTGGATTCAAAGGACCGGAGCAAATTTAACGGTGGCAGCTTTCGTTTTGAGGGAAACTCTTGCGACCCCTGGTGGACGGATGGAGATGTCATGAAAATTCGCGCAGTCCTGGAAGAGAGCAGAGTAGTGGAAGAGTTGCCCGAAATTCGCCAGAGGCACTTCGAGGAGACCGATGCTGGGCGGAAGCGTGCTGGGGTCGGGCAGAAAAAGCTGATGAACAGGGGCCCGCACGGAAACACAATCCACAAGACTGGCACTGCCGAAGCAGGGCGGTCAGAACGCCTTGGTCTCAATCCAGACACGAATACCCAAGTTTAGTGAAAGGAGTGGGACACGGATTGGCACTATAGGACAGAGATGATACAAGATGGAAACGAGATGGAAACGCATTAACGGACGGAATCGACGGCGGGGAACAGACACAAACGACTGGACGGACTGATGGGATCGGTGCACGGGATCGGACGGCAAAGGTCGCATTTGGACAGGTAACGGACGGAAATGAACGGCATAGAGAAGAATCGAACGGCGAAGGCTCACCAGTTCGGCACGTGTTAGAGAAGCCGGTTGAGGAATTCGGACGATAAAGTACAAGATAGGACAAATTGGAGAGGGAAACGGACGGCATGAATGAGAATCGAACAGCGGAGAACTGGGACAGGCTAGGGGAACTGGCGGACGGCAAAGGACAAGATTGGACGGAACGGACGGAAACGGACGGAGAGGGACGGAAACGGACGGAAACGCGGACGGCGTGAATTGGATATGCACGGCTGCAAACGCTCACCTTTGACGGGGACGGGCTTGGGGAAGCCGTTGGACGAAAATCGACGGCGAAAGACGAGATTGAACGGATACCGGAAACTGACGGAACGGACAAAAATGGACGGAACCGGACGAAGGAAGACCGGAACGAACGAAGAGGAACGGTAACGGACGGCTCACCTTTGACGGGGACGGGCTTGGGGAAGCCGGAGGGCTGGAAGAGGATGGTGAGGCCCTCGACTTGGCTGGTCATCAGCACCTCGAACGCGTAGTTGAGGAACGACAGCTTGAGCAGCCACTGGAGGCCTGGGGTGATCTTGTCCGAGTTGACGAGCGCGCCTGCGAAGGTTCGGCGGGTGCGAATTATCAACTCCTGGTTCGACTGCATTTAGGGCTACTGTGAACGGTAAGGAGTTGGTGATACGAGGTTACAATTGGACCAGAAAGTGCGCTCGCTACAAACTTCAATCTTCAGATTGGGATCAGGATCCGTGACTAAGAGAACCTTACCTATGACGAGAGTCATGGGTAGCAACACAAATTGGCACGGTCCAACAACTCCGCCACGAGGCTGAAGCTTCTAGTACTTATTAACACCTCTAAAGCTTATCAACCGTACTCTGGATGCATGACCGAGAAAGTAACACCTTAAAGAGAATCGTGAGCAGCACAACGAGAACGGACACAGATTCTGCAACGTCGTCAGACGCTACACCCGTATGATATAGCTAGTGCGTAAACAACCCTAAACCTGATTTGAAAAGCTTCGGGTGCAACATTGCCGAGAGCTCGAGTGTGTGAATTCAGAAGGATAGAGAAGAAGCTCACCTGTGAAGAAGATCATGAGCAGCATAACGACGATCGACAGGAAATTTGCGACGCCGACGGACGCCGTGATTAGGCTGAACCAGAATCAGTAACTTGAATCGATCACAAACCCTACAGACCCTACATTTCTTGAGCCTTGGATCCAGATTTCCCCACCAAGAACAGCCAAACTCAATTTCAGAGTTTTAGAAGGCTGTACAAGAAACCGAAAAGCTCACCTGTAAAAAGGATCATGAGCAGCATAACGACGATCGACAGGAAGTTTGCGACGCCGACGGACGCGGTGATGAGGCTGATGCAGGAGCAGACCTCGCCCGCCGTCATAGCCACCATGACCATGATTATCAGGAAGAGCAAAAACTTGGCGCCGTCCGGGCGCAGGCCCATCAACCAGTACATGATGCTGCATAAAACAAGTGCTGGATTTTAGGGTTTGGACCTGGGTATGCTTAATTTTCTGGCGGTGATGAGGGTTGCTGCGAACCGTTCCACATCAGCCAAAACTTGGCGCCGTCCGCGCGCAGGCCCATCAACCAGTACATGATGCTGCACAAAAGCATGTCTAAGTGTTGGGGTCTTTAACTTCTGCTTAAGCGTAGTTAGTCGATGGTGATGGGGTTTCTTTGTAGAAAATACTTGCGAGCGACCACTTTACGACATCCAAAACTTGGCGCCGTCTGCGCGCAGGCCCATCAACCAAAACATGATTGCAAACAAATGGCAGGATTGTAGGGTTTGAAGTTTCGGTTGAGCTTCATCATCTGGCCGTCAAGAAACTATTTGCTGCGAAGCAATTTCTTGCGGCCAAAGAGTTCACAGCAGCCAAAAGTTGGCGCCGTCCGCGGGCAGATGCACAGTCTGCGTAAATGAAATCTAAATCAGAGGGTTTGAAGATCTGGTTAAGCGTAGTCAGTTAGGGGTGGTGAGGTTTGCGGCGAAAATTTAGTTGCGGGCCAACTTTCACAACGGCCAAAACTTGGTACCATCTGCGCGGGCCCATCAAGAATTACATGATGCTGCACGGTCGAGTTGTGGATGTGACGTCGACTGATCAGGGATCAAGGCATGGTGAGCTGGCAGATCTTGCGCAGGCAGGAAGCATCTCTCACGACTTGAGGTGCCCTGCTTCCTTGTTTGAAGAGGGTATTCAGATGTAAGAGCCGTTTCTCAGCCCAGGAATCTTCTGCAGCAACCACTGGCGAAACGACCGCAGCCCCACTTAACGGAGTTTCGAGTCTGTCGGTTTGACGGGCACGTCAGGAACTCATTTGGTTTAACCCAAGCACTTGGACTGTCTCGAACACCATCTGAATGGACTTGTAAGGAGCTGTTTGATGTCTTGCAGGTGTAGAAGTTGGTGTAAAGCACCAGGAAGTGCGTAGCATGAGCGCAGGAACAGCGCGTCGAGCATATTCTGGGGCAGAAAGCTGGTTAATTCAGTCGACCCATATCTTTCAATCTCCATCACTTCTGATTGTCCGGCTTGTTCCAAAAACATCGCACTTAGACACCTATTATGAGTAGGCAACGGCGGGGAGGATCCGCAGGAACAGCGTGCCAAGCGTATGGCGAGTAGAAGGCCACTCAAGTTGTTCAAATGATATATCAGCATTCCAAAGTCGTCACCATCAAAATCTTCAGGGTTGTCCTCCAAGACATCGCACTTCGGAACGTACCATGAGTAGACGACGGCGGGAAGGATCCGCAGGAAGAGCGCGTCGAGCGTGATTTTAGGCAGGAAGTAACTGATGGTGCGGTAGTATTTGCCGGAGCCCTCTTGCGTGAAGATAATGCGCTCCGTGATGAACGCCTCCAACGCGCTCAGGCTCGCGAGCGAGAAGAAGGCCACCGAAAAGAGGAACGCGCCCTGCCGGTTCTGCAAAAAGAAAGGCGAAAGTCTCTTGAGTATGTTTTCCATTTGGGACATATTCTGCGAGAGACAAGTCGGAACAAAGCACACGCTGCGACGCTGCCGGGAAAAGCTATGAAGACCCAGAGCAAAGGAGAGAAAACAAGGGAAGGCAACAAGGGAAGGGAACTCTGGAACAAGCGTGACGCTTCCGATGAAAGTCTTAAACACCAACTTAAAGAGGGCCGACGGGAACCAGAACGTTATGCAGAAACGAGAAGGGAAGGCTATTAAAGATTGGTCTTCCGTAGACTTCTCGGAAAGAGAAAAGGTGGAACAAGAAAGGCGCTGTGATGCTTCCTTATGAGGACAACGACAACAAGGGCCGACGCGCTCTGCCGATGCTGGGGGGGGGAAAAAGCTCCTGCAAAAGCAGGCGACCCGTGCAAAGGGCAACCAGATACACGTTGCGCCCAGTCATTTCGCACGAAAAGAGGCAGAGGGGCCTCAAGCTCAGCCTTTCACATCAACAGAAGCAGGAAAAACTGATCTTTGCTCGTTTCCCGCCTGATCTGAATCCCAGGTCTGTCGTTGGTCCAATTACTGTAACAACCCGCGCACAAGGAACGTCAGCATTTGGCTCACAAACAGACTTGACCATTCACTTTCTGCGTCTGATATTGACAGCAACCTTTTGCCACTTTTGCATCTAACCAATACAACCTTATGTTTTCTCACCTGGTTCCCCGCAATGTCGTTCGTCACATTTTGGAACACCCCCCCCAACGAGCAGCGCCATGAGCAGGCTCGCAAACAAATCAACCTCTCGCTTTCTGCTTCAAAAACTTGAATGTATTATCTTTGCACTCTCTGGCTTCCAAAATCGTGAAACTCTTTCTATCCTTACCTGGATCCCCGCAATGTCATTCCGTGACGTTCTGGAACACCCCTCCCACGAGCAGCGCCATGAGCAGGCTCACGAACAGAATCAGTGTCTCGCTTTTGCTTCTAAGACTAGACTCTTTTCTTGGCCTTGCTTCTACTTATCCGATATTCTCTCTCTTCTCACCTGGATTCCAGATATGTCGTCCTTCACGTTCTGGAACACCCCCCCGACGAGCAGCGCCATGAGCAGGCTCACAAACAGATGCAGCGCGAGCAGCGCCGGATTCCGCACCACGTTCGTGATTTCGCGTCCGTACAACACGCCCAATTCCGTGAGCATGCTCCGGTGGAAGTCCGGTCCGGTGAGGGACGTTCTGAGCGTGCGCTTTTCCGCCGGAACGTGGGACTGCTTCTCCTTCCGACGGGCGAAGCTTTGGAAGATGGGGGAGAGCATTTTGACTGCGAGCTGCGAGGGAGGAAAAGAGCAATCTGTATATGCATATAGACACTCAAGCATGAGCGGATCTTTCGATTCCGGTGACATGCATCAACGAGTTTCAGGTGTTGTGAGCGACTTTTTGTGCGTGCGCTCTTTGGCGGAAAAGTAGAAACATCTCCCCTTCACCCAGGAAAGCTAAACTAGGGATACGAACTTGACTGCGAAATGCGGAAGGGAGGCTGGAAATCAAGCCAGTTCATTGGCGAAGCTACTCTATCCATGTCAAGCTGCAAGGTAAGGAAGACTGACAAGATTTCACGGGGTACGCAGGCATGACTACGATCGACCGTGAACGCTCCTTTGCTGATGGACTTTGCTGATGGAAGTGTGCCCAGAAAAGCGGGTCGATCATCGTTTCAAAATCACACGGTCTAATCTTGCAGAGAGTATATGCAGAAATGCGAAGAAAGTGCAGGTTTTGGAGAGCAGGCAGAGCGGATACAGCAGGATGCTGACGACCTTGAGAGAAGGACCGCTCCAGTGCTAGTATCGCGAACAAAGTTTGACGTGTGGGTCCGGGACCCCAATATCGTAACCCCAATCAACGTGCTGGCGATAGGCTATCGCAGAAGTCTCATAAATGCAATTAGGCATCCGTGGTCGATCACTTGACGTTCACGAAAGAAAAGCAGAGTTAGCCGGATGCAGATTGTACTAGAAAACCTCTTTCAGTGTTTCGGGGTTTTTGGGACCCTAACGCTAAAAACCTGAAGAGTCTAACCTGCGGAGGAGGGGGCTTGTCGGCACGGGTTTTCAAGGGAGCTCCTTCCACCATGAGGGGGGTGAGAGAAGACTGGCGAAAAATGCCCTTGGTAGGGGGGTTGGACGGTGGGATAGGGACGGTCAGGGGGGCGTGATCGACGGAAGGGATGTGGGCGGTACCATTGACGTCGTCATACTTGCGGGAGGCAGCCTGGAAATATACCACAGAAGAGTCGTGAGACGGAGAAAAGTTTCGAGTTTTTCTTTGCAAGACACGGAATTTGCATTGGCAATCCACTCACTGGAATTAGGTTCAATGCGAGACTCTACCAACACTCAATGAGTAATTATAAGCTCTTGAAGTTCAATTCCCTCAGGTCGCTGTCCCCTGGTCAGTGAAATCGGCCTTTGCACACGCATTCAAAACGAAGGCTCTATACGTTAGTTACATAATGCATTCCCGTTCTTCTCTTAGCTCCGCGGCCTAATTGTGTTTAAGCAAGTTCTTCGGCGTTTCGAAGGGTTCTATCGGCCCCAGTTGCTTTCACTTAACTGCGTCAGCGCGTGCGGTGGCACCCATTTCGGGTCGTCAAATTCCTCCGCCTCGCTAACCACTTGCAACATATGGTCCGCAAAGTTGCGCCCGACGGCGCACGGGTGCCCTAACCGATCGAAGTAACCGTAGATATCCCTTTGCGGGCCGAAGTAGATGACGCGTCCGCGCTTTGACATCAACAAGACTTGGTCGAACTCTTCAAAGGTCGCTTGACTCGGCTGGTGAACGCTGAGAACGACGATGGAGCCGCGACGAGCGGTGTCGTGGAGGAGGCGCACGAGGCGCGCAGCGGTGTGGGCATCGAGGCCGCTCGTGGGCTCATCTGCAAGAAGTGCGTGAAGACACGGTTAGACCTGAGGGTTAAAATCGATGTTGAAGTGCCGCTTGGCTGGGCTGGTGCACGCTGAGGACGACATTATAGCAGCAGCGCGCGGCGGTGTGGGCGTCCAGGCCGCTCGTGGGCTCGTCTGCGGACAGTGGGGTGATAGTAAGGTTAGCCCTAGGGTTAGGGTCGGATCAAAAGTGCGCGAGGCGCACAGCGGTGTCGGCGTCGAGGCCGCTCGTGGGCTCTTCGGTAAAGCAAGGGTTTACAGAAAGGGTTAGCATCTACTCGTTGGCTAAAAGAGGACATGTTGAGGAGGAAATGCACAAGGCGCATATAGTTGCGGGCATCGAGGCCGCTTGCCAGTCGAAATGAACGGCCGAACTTTTGTTCTAAAATTTGTAGATTTGGCTGGGCGCTTGATCAGTTCTGACATTATAGGCCGGTGCTTATGAATAACTTTCAATCTGCAGTAATGGGAACTTAGACGAGCTCACCTAACAAGACAATGCGCGGGTCGGACACCAGCTCCATCGCAATCCTGACACGCCGCCGCTCCCCACCACTCAACCCCGGCCGCCCGAAAGTGCCTCCCACGCGGTTATGGATAACCCGGGCCAAACCTAGGTAATCAATAATCTCATCCACCTTCTGTAACTTCAGTCGCTTGGGCATATAAGCTGGTAGCCGCAGAAGGGCGGCATAACGTATGGTCTCTTGCACGGTGAGGACGCTGTATAAGAAGTCCTCCTGGGGGAGATAAGCGGCCAGGTAGCGGTACCCGTCATCTCGTATGAGGCCGTCGACGGTTATGCGGCCGTATGGGGTCGTGCCTGCGGTGCGCCCCCCGCCGATGCCTGAAGCGGGGAACGAAGAATGACGTCAGCATGGCAAAACCAGAAACAGCGGCTTCGCACAATGAAAAAAGTGAGACATCGAAGTTGAGAGCGATTGGAGGCCACAATATCAAAGAATTTAGGCGAGCTTCGAAGTACGAAGCAATTCGCCAACTCAATCTGAGTTTGCAGGGATTCAAAAAGCATGAAGACAAACCTGTCCGAACAATAGGCTCTGCAGAAAGACGGACGGCTTTTGCATATGGAAGCAGCTGCGTGTAGGTCTTCCAATCGAAACATTTTGAGAGCGGGTAGTCGAGTGAAATGATCGAGCGAACTCACACGGTCCCAAACAATTCTCTATGTCGTCGTCTTCTTTCATAGCCTGAACGGGCATGCCGATAAGGCATCTGCAACCACGTGTCCAGTAGCAGCGGGAACAAGGACAAAGCTCAATCTGGCAGATGTGATAAGTTCCAACAGCACGAAACATCGCCAACTCCGAGATGACCCAAAAGCACCCTGCCAAACGCAAGCAACAATCTTCCCAAGCACCCTGCCAGCCGCCACCAAGAATCTCTAGACTTCCCACCTGCCAGAACGTTGAGGAGGGTCGTCTTGCCGGACCCCGTGGGCCCCATGATCGCGAGCATGCTCCCGCTCTCGAGCCGGAGGCTGACGTTGGAAACAATGAGCGAGCGCTCTTTGGAGTAAGACTCGGCCCCGCGCAGACGGCGCCGCAGGGCGAAGTAGCGGCGGACGCCCAACCACGATATGCCGACCTGCGCAAAAAGAGTAGAGGGTCAAGGTTTTGGATCAAAAAGGTTTCTAGGAAGTAAAGCAATCTATGTCGCAAATGTTCCGATCAGCGGCGCCGGATGGCGAAGTAGCGGCGGACGCCCAACCAAGAAATGCCGACCTGCGCAGATGGGTAAAAAGCTTAGCCTCTCTTGTTCAACAGTCTGAAATATCCTGCAATCTATGTATGCAATCCAGAAGTCCCCATCGGAAAAGTTCCGATCAGGGCAGCGACAGAGGGTGAAGAAGCGTCTGGCGCCCAAGAGAGATACGCCGACCTGAGCAGAGGGATAAAGCTTTGAGCTCTACGAATCAGGCTTCCGAGGTTCCAGTAGTTTTTCAGAGAGGTTTTGATCCTCGCTGTTAGGCAGCGTGGAGGGCGACGGACGCCTAGACAAATCTTGCGGACTAACGGAGTTATAACGAGTCAGGATTTCGAGGTTTAAGAGGAGCCGATAAAAGGAGCATGCTAGGTGAAGCAAAGACTGGACTGATAAGGAGGATTAGGGTGACACGTAATCTGCCAGACTGCGTAGATCATTGCACAGGTTGTTTGCTTTACAACAGTGAACCCTCTTGGAGGCGCTCAGGTCACCCTCACGTTTTCGACGGACTTTCTTTCCTTGCCAAAAGCGCTGTCCCCTCCTATTCGCATGTTGTCTTGGTCCGCAACAAGACGCGTGCAGCTTAGCTTTGACCCTCTGGATTAAACTCTCCCCATTGGCTACCAACAGTTTCTCAACCACAACCTTTTCACTTTCAACCGATATCCAAGAGCGATTTGCCTCTCCCGTTCGCGAATCAACGTGAGCCGCAAGAGATTTAAAAAAGCGCGTTCTGCTCACCCTTCGGATCAGACTTTCCCCCTTGACCACCGACAGGTTCTCGACCACGAGTTCTCTTCCGGGCGCAATCGGGGCGTCCTCAAATTCAGGCGCGCCAGCCAGCGCGTCGCCCAAAAGACCGTCCACGTCAGCGAGGGATGCAGCCCCGTTTGCGGCGGCAGCATACGCCGCAAAGCGCTGCTCCTTGTAAGCCATCCAAGCCAGGAACTGCTGCTCCTTTTTGGCTCGGTAACGAAGACGGGCCCATCTGAGAGAGAAAAAGGGAAGCTTATATGAAGCGTCCCAGTGGAATGCTCCGAGCAATTTGTGGCGGCTGCATATGTTGCGAAGCGCTGCTCCTTATCCGCCATCCAGGCAAGGAACTGCTGCTCCTTTTTGGCTCGGTAACGAAGACGGGCCCACCTGAGAAATAAAGAAAAAGCTTGATCGAAGCGTCCCCGTAGAATGCTCCGAGTAATTTGCAGCGGGTGGCGTATGCCGCAAAGCGCTGCCAATGAACTGCGGGTCCTTTTTGGCTTGATAGCGGAGACGAGCCCACCAGAGTAGAAAGAGAAGGATCGGAACGAGAGTGAAGCGCCCGGTAGAATGAAGCGAGCGGTGTTTAACGGAGGCTGGAAAGCATGCAGTATGCTCAGATGCATCCCCCGATGATTTGTAAAAGTTGGGCCGATCCAGCCGTGCTGCGTGGCCCACAGAATGCCCAGAATTCACTGTTCCTTCCCTGAAAGGACGACCCCAAGCATCCCTCCATCGAAGAACTAAATTACGAGGTTCTGAGCGGGCAACGAGGGCACCTCTGGGACCTCACATCCCACCCGACTTCCCCAACTCCATTAGGCCAGAATCACGCCGAGGGATCCCCCGATCAGACAGACCGCAGATTTAAAAGAATGGGGGTTTGAAGGTGCTCTTACCTCCCAACCACAATCCCGACCCCCAGTACGGCCAGAACGCCCCCGAGGGATCCCCCGATCGCCGCCCAGTTGGTGCCCTTGGTTTCGAGGACGAAAATGCTGGCTCCGTTCGAACACTCAGTCGCGGAGCATGTCGCGACAATGTTGACGGGAAAGCCGACCACGATTAGCGTGCAGTCGGTTCCTCCGTTGCCCGTGCATTTGAAGTCGGCCGATCCGGAGACTTGGGGCACGATGCCGTAGACTGTACTGTCGGGACGACAGGGAATCTGCAGCGAAGAGAGGCGGCAGGAACCAGAGTGTAAGAAACTTAGCGAAAAGTTTCGGAGGGTCGTCGTTCAAGAGAGAAAAGGGAGAGAAAGAGAGGACGGAAAAAGATCACACAGCATATAGGTTGGTGCACTTTGCAATCTGGTAACCTCGAAGACAAGGACGCACCGACCCCAGAACAGATATTGTCCATAAAGAGTACTCAAAGCGGAACCTTCTACATCTGGCAAATCCCCCGCATTACAGCCGATCCGTTCAGCAGATTCACCGTTGTGTTCCAACGTTATCGAGCTTTAAGACTTGAAAAAGCTGAAAAAAAAGGCTACAGGGGATTTCCACAACGGAGCCTGCGTGAACTAAGGCGTTTGGTTCGTGGCACGCACGCTGTGCAAGACCTCTCAAAAGGAGGTATCGTAACTCCAAAGCAACAACCACAAGACAAGCAGGGAGACAAGAAGAAAGGTGGCTTTCCGAGTCCCCCCGGTTTCATTTCAGTTCGTAGCTTTAAAACCGCTCCGAAGTGTTTTGGAAATCATTCAAACCAATCGTCTTTAAAGAGGGCGTTGGCGGATGCATCCGCAGTGACGTCAAGAGCGACATACAGCCCCGAGTATCAGGTTGATTGTCGCCAAGAAATGACATCAGCAAGAGACCACGTGGTACCATCTTAGCGACCAGATACCAGCATTCTCACTCTTATTGTCGCTGCTTTTTTGTCGTATTGCCACGCCCTCTTTAAACAAGCACTACGAAATAACCGCGCTTCTCAAAGCACGCACTACGAAAGAAGAAGATCCAAAGATGAAAACTCACAATCGCATCCCCGCAGTCGCACTTGGTCCTGGCGCACCGGAACGCGGTCGTCCCCGCAGTGGCCGTGCATTCGTAAGCCGTGCAATTGACGGGCGTTCTGTACTTGTCCGCGGCCCGAAACCTGACGTCAGCGAGGCCGCTGCTGACATTTACCGCGATCGAGACCCCCTTGTCGACGACGTTCTGGAGGTTGGCGTCGGTGATCTGGCAGTCGTAGTTCTTGGTCGTCGTGTTGAGGCCGTACAAGTTCGACTGTTCGCACTGGCTGTAGCCAATGAGCTGCGGGTTGAAAAGTAGTGTCAGCAATGGCAAGCGTTTACTAAGCCGGACAGTTTGACACAGAACGTAGAAAGAGTATTGCTGGAATTTCAGACAAACGATGGACAATTCAGTGAGTCCAACCTACTTGATGCAGGATAGAACGCTTGGTCAAACTGGGCGGACGAGCAAGGTGCCAAGAATTTCAGCAAGGAACTAGTGTGGCGTAAGTGCTTTTGCCCGTCGAGTGGGACGCTCGAAAAGTAGATCGAACATGCAAAAGCGGAGCAGCTGCAACGAGAGATTCGTGTCTCCATTCGGCGGCTAAAAACATCATTACCAACTTTTAGATTTCGAGCTTGGCGCATAAGCTTATCCTCAGAACCGCAGCAGCCGCTTGCGTCTTGAAAGGAGTGCAACAGATTTCGTCTTTCTGTTTCCTTCCGCCTCCTCTGCTCAGGTCCGTGCTGCCAAACTTGTACAGAGTAACGAGTGGCCACAGAATGACCTTCTTCCTTCTCGGTCAGGTTCTTCGCCGCAAAAAACAGGAGGGAGAATGACAGACCCCAGATCACAGTAGAAGGACCGAAAAGTAGCCGAGAGGATAGCGGAAAGAGGCACAGAAGTTCCCAACGAAAGGCACAGAATCACTAGGTAGGTGACTAGAAAGAAGCCGAAGAGAACACCAAAAAAGAATTTTGAAGTCACCGAGCACGCCGCATCCGTCTTGCAGATGTTGCACCCCAGGCCCGCCCACCCCGCCTTGCACGTGCAATCGCACGTCCCATTTACGTCAGCAGTCGCTGGGTATCCTGCGCACTCGTACCCAAAGTTCAGGGGGCAGTTTGCCGGGTTGAGAGCCCCCCCCGAAACGGGAGCGGGCGGCAGAGTGGCCACAGGGGGGGCGGATAAAGTGACGGTAGATTTGGTCGAGCGGAGGGTTTTGCGGCAGCCTTGGGAGGCGATGACGGAGAGTTTCGAGCCCAGGGGAGCGGAGGAAGCGTTACACGTGGCGTTGTTGGTGCCGATGCGGGTTAGGGAGGTGCAATTGAGGCCGCCAACGGAGACCTGCGGCGAAAAGAGAGAGCATTCAGAGAGACTTTGAGGCTGAGCCCGAGAAGATCAAGGCCGCGAAAAGATGCCGGCAAAGTGTCTGAGAAAAGCGGCTTTTGTCAATAAGTGACACTTGTTCAACTCCAGCTTCCATCGACCGACAGACCGACAGACCGAATCGAGATGATGGCAGAATCGAGACAGGAGGAATATACAAGTAAAAACAAACAAAGATGACAGGATCGTGAAGAGTTGGAAAGGTTCAAAACAACTCATCAGGTCAATCAAGGAGACAAAGAAAACGTCCGTCACCTGAACCGGCGGTACTGACACGTTGTTCACCGCGGCCAACACCGCATCTCCCAGCCCCGGGCCCATCAGTGCCACGTCAGTTCCGGCATCGACCGCGGCAGAGCTCAACACCAGAGGGGGGACGGTTTGGCTGGCGCAGGACCCCCCTGAAAACCCGCAATCGCACGAACACGTGCCGCTGGAGAGCGCCGTCGGACCCGGAACACATCGGCCGTTCAAGTTGCAAGAGGACGAGCAACCGAGTGTCGACGTGGCCAAGAGGCGACCAGTGAAGATGACGGTCGCGCCGTAGCTGCCGGTGATGGAGAAGGCGACGGCGATGCTTGGGAAGTCGAGAGTGGCAGTCTGCAGGGGCGCGAGAAAGTGGTCAGTAGTGCCCTTCCAATTCTGCCCTCCATCTCGAAACTTCTCGATTTTACGAAATCTGCTTTTTCCTGGTTCCATCCTCGTCATCGTCGCTCTGGCCAGCTTCTCGAATAAGCAACCGGCTGTGCCTTCTCCATTCGTCTTTTCTGCCGAATGAGCTAACTCGCTCTTCGTCTTTGAAGGATAAATGTTTTCTCTCTGGGTCCAGTTGAACCATAGAAATACCCCACTGCAACTGCCCCAGAGTGCGGGATAGACCATTTTGTCAGTCGTGGGGTAGAGAAGCAGACATTGCTTCTTTGACTGGTTCAGGAAAGAAGTTCAAGGGCGGGTCAAGCGTCCAAAGCCACATTCTTCTTATCCACAAAGAATCACCTGGAATGTCACGGGACCGTCCCCTAACAGAGAGTCTGGAGAGTCCTTACCCGACCCAATGACGTCAGCGTGCCGTTCCCTGCCACACTCGTGCTCGCCCCCCCCAAATCCGACAGGCTTGGCGTCCCCCCCGCCAGGGCCACTGCCGCCATAGCGTTTCCCACAACCCACGTCTGGTTCACTGTAACCCTCTGAGCATTCGTGGCTGGGACTGTTACGGTGGCGTTCATAGGGGCGCTGGTCAGATTGACCGTCAGATCGCTTATGGTGACGGTCGCCAGGGTTTGGATGCGCGTGATGATGTCAGCGGGGGCGACGCTCAAAGGCACGGGGTTGGTCGCAGGGGGGCCAGAGAAAGAGGCGCCGTTGAGAAAGACGGAGGACCAGTTGGAAGGAGGGCAGGGGCCGGTAGAAGCGAGGGTGATGTAAAGTGGACCTGTAACAGACAAGGGACCAATCGTTTCCTTATCTGGAGAGCAGAGAAACGGACGAAGCATACATACAGAAAAAGAGGCCTGACTGCCACAAGTTAGAAGAGTGCGACGGTTGTTTGCAGGTGTCCAGATGGATACACGTCCGTCCAAACCATCGACTTTTTGAAGTCTCAAATCGAGCGGGAGAAGGAGACCACAAAAGATGAAGGAAAAATAAGCGAGTACAAATAGCAGTCAATTCAAGGTCTCTCTAGACCAAGGACTCTTTTATGCTTGCACAATTCCTTGCATCTGGGAGCGCGCTCTACAACAGACTGTTTTCTGAAAGCAGGGTTGACCAAAACACTAATTTCGGATGATAGATACGCGATGCCTTTCTAGTGTGATTGGAGGCCTCTACTTCAAGCCCAGTCAGTGCCCGCCTTGAAGATGGCGAAAACCTCATCCAGGCTGTGAGGCAAACCGATATTCCAAACACCTACTGAGAAGCAGTTAAGAGGGTAACAAACCACTTTATGGAACCCAAGGGTGAAAGATAGGGGAGTCTCAAAACCTCTTTTCCAGATCTCTCAGCTGGGTAACAGGACAAGGCAGGCGATTTTGTGGTGTTATTACTTTGAAAGCCTTGAAAGCCTCGGGTACAATTGCACCCCTCAGGTGATTGACCATAATTCTCGAAGTCATCTTCTCAAGATCAACGGGGCACTGGCCGGATTTTCTGCTGCCAATGACCCCAAAACGAGTGCTGGAAAACATCCAGACAACGAGCGTCCTGCATATGTCTGAACTTGCGGATGAGGGGCGACGTGGTTCCTTCACAACAAGCTTGGGGCCTTCGTTTCTACGCCTCAACTTGCACCCTACTGGGTCCTGTCAGTATTTCAAAAAGCGTGACAGGAACCAGGTTCGAAGACCATGATGAAACAACAGGGTATTGCGGCGCATCAGCATCTGTTCCGGAAAATCACAATGAATCAATGATCTCTCACTCCAACACCTGGAACTAAGAGCTGAAGCCATCAGAGCGCCCTTCTCTATCACCTGTGCTGACTACTATCCCCGTGATCGTGTATACTTGCCAGCTCATGATTCTGCACATCCCCTAAAGTTTTATTAGATCTTCGCCACATTGACATTGGCTCCATCACTTACCTGATGCATTCACCACCTGGCCAGCATCCCCCGTGATGGGCGCCGTGAGGGGCTTTGTCACTTGGCCAGATATTGTGAAGTTGGAGACGGCGGGGTTGATGTCGAACCGCAGGACACAACTTTGGCCCCATACGCCGCTTGGGAGAGCGAAGAGTGCCACGAAGAACAGAAGCGTTCGCCCCCAGCCATGCAAGCCCCGGGGGGCCGCCCGGTGCATTATGTGCCTACCACCGTCCGGATACCAGTTGGACATAATCAGGCTTTTCTGTACACTTCACGGTGGACTTCTAGACGACTCCACGCAAAGGCCAGAGAATCTGTCCTCTGCACCTTTTCCAACAGCAACTGTAGTCTGGACAATCCTAAGCTACGCGTGCCAACCGTTCAACCGGACTGCTGACTTTTCCAACTGCTTCTGCGGTGGTGGCGTTCAAGATGGTGTTTGATGCGTGTGCCGATTCTTGAATCTGGAGAAGTTCTCAAAGCTAGCAGTTCTGCAGACTGCGGCTTCAGCAGCTCGGCTACCCAGATGGCAATACCTTTTCAAAGCTCTAAGCCCAATGCTTCAAAACCCCTTCAAATGTTATCGATGGGAAATCCTGAGATCCCCATGCAATTTAAGCGCGAAGGGGGTATACTCCAAACTCGCACACAGTTGATTGTTCCCGTTGTTCAAGGAAACCAACTTTAGGGAATGCCTCAACCCTCTCACATCTAGCGACTTGCGCTGGCTTGAAAAGATGTCAAGACAGAACTTCAGCTCAACCTGCACCCACAGAAGGGTGTTTCATTTCCATGCTACTGGGTGTTTGAGCACTGCCCTTCAACACACATTGCCAATGAAAAAGCAGATTTTTGGACTCAGAGTCATCCTTGTCGGGCAGTGCCGTCCTCCCTGCTGCTGTGCATTTGCTCCAACTCTGAGACCGAGCTGATCATGCAAAGCCCTAAACCGACGGCCGGTCTAAAACCCTAATACCGTGGGCGGCCGCGCCGGCGCCTGGGCGGCGAAGACGTCTTGACGTCCGAGTCTTGACGTTCTGACGTCTTCATGCTTCGCTTCATGCAACCGTTTTGAATTGGTTGAGCTAGGCGAATGTCAAGAGCATTTTTGGCAGCAAAAAATGATCGGGCCAATCCAGGCACGTCATGATCATATCTTTGAATTCGTTTAAAAGATTGATCCATTGCCCGCGATCCAAAAATCCCAAAAGAGAGCATGTATTGCCATGCCAGATCACCACATTGTATCGCATGGGGGGTGGGGACTATATGAGCAAATGCTTTTTTTCTGAACTTCGAGAGCCGTATTGACATATTGA